AAAATGCTGTTCTCTCGACAATATTTTTGACCTCGTGACCTAGATTTATGGTAGCCAATGTCATCGTATCGTTCTTTTCAAATTTCATAACAACCTGTTTAAATTATTTTTAAAGAGAATTTAATCATGTATATTATTAGCTTATATACAATGTGTATTACCGAACATTACTACAGAAATACACACATTTATTAATTTATTTTAATTTAGATTAATTAAGATATTAATTTAACGTGGTCTATTTTATGGCCAAGATTACATGAAAAAATCAAATAGTGAAAGTATCTTCACCTAACTTGTACCAGGTAACGCAGGCAACTTTAACATAAATTTAAAATATTCAACGTTAAAAAAACAGCCTGTGACCTTCCATCAGGCCTTGTTCAACTGAATGCGAAAATTTAAAGAAATTTAACAAGTTATTAGTCTGCCACACGAACTTACTTACTTAAATAAAAAAAATACAATAAAAAAATACTTTCGATCTTGTTGCTCCCTTCATACATTTCTAATTAAATACTGTTGTGATCCAACTTAATATAAGATCATGTTCAGATAACGATCGTTGTATAGAAGCGGGGAGCGCTTCTCGGGTGCTAAACACCCACAATCTAGTTGCTTATCACAATCCAGTTTACCGTATTTAGTCGTTAACAATGAACGTAAAATAGAAAAAAATGTTGCACATGAACATGCGAACGAATCTATGGTAAACCAATTATTGCAAACGGAAAGTCAATAGCACGTCTAAAGTTATTTATTTAAACTCTGTGCACTTGCAGAACAGAAACGGACTACTAAGCCTTAGGCATTATCTGCCAGTCAAACTTTGAACGATACAGAGAAAACAGGCAGTAGGTGCACTACAAATATATAAAAAAAAGAGTAATAAAGAGAGGAATTGCTCTCAAAATGATGAAATGATTAAATGATATTTATTTCTGCATGTAAATCTTTTCAGATATTTTTACAAGTCGGACTTTACAACTAGAAGGCGTCGGCATTTCCCAAGACTCGCTCTGGGATGAAACGCCGAAACAAACCTTTGTCTTGAGGTGTCTTTTTTTTTAAGTCCGTGTACAATGTTAAAAATAACTTTGTGAGTGCAGTATAGGGTCTGGGTATGCATTTTGAAGAAACATAGCCAGCCCAGCCATTGTATAGCGTAACCGATATAGTCAGGATTAACAACCCGGAACACGACACTGCCGCCTGCAGGACACTTGAGTTTGCCGTGGATAAACTCAAAACCACCAGAAGTTTACTAAAATATGAACTAACATTACAAGCCTATACTGTACTCACATTTACATACTTACACAATTGCATTTACAAAAAGTTGGTAACACTGAAATAGGTCTATAATTTGTAGGATCAGACGTGCTACCCGCTTTAAATAAAGGAACGATCTTACTATGCTTCATTAGGTCAGGAATTACACCGCATTCAATGCACTTATTAAAAATTAAAGCCAACTCTGATGCAACTACACTAATAATTGACTTTGTCATTTGTACAGAATTACCCAAAGTACAGAATTACCCAAAAAGAACAGACTAAACTAGCCATTAGCAAGAGAACATGCACAGCGCTAAAAGTTAGATTTGAATGATTTGAAAATTGTTACTCGATGGGCAATGTATAAATAAATAATAGAAATTAGTGTCTTTACGACATTCTAAAAATAAATTACTATTTGTCACCAAGTGATCCCATTATGTTGAGTACATGTAAGTTCGTAAGATCGCAAAAAGTAATTGGATTTCCGAAGAGTGTTCTGACGAGGGCTTGCTAAATTAAATTACGAATGAAGGAGACGTCTAATTTCACACTATATTACATTTTTAGGTATAGGCACGCATTTTTAGCGTCAAACGCGCATTTTTATTTTGAGTATGAATAAGTGAAGCTTCGTTACGCCCTTTCGTGTGAATTAGTTTGGCAAGATGTTCACGTTTAAAGAAACGTTTGACATACGACGCAGATGTACTTACCAATTTTTTATATTTACGTCGTTTGGGCTTTCTGCGGATGCAGCAGCGGTGCCGGCATATGCCAGCCGAAGGACCACTGTCAGCTCTGAGTCAGCTCTGTTAGATTAAGGATAACTAACTGAAGTATAATGTGTAGGTACTTGAAAAATTACGCAGAAAATACAGAATTTTCAGCAATTACTGGAAAGAAGTGGTACTTCATTAAAACAGATCATAAACGTAATTTAAAATAGTCGTAAACTACGAAGATCTACACTACGCGTGGTTTGACAAACACATGGCATTTGGTTGCCGCTCCTCGCTGATGATGATTTGTGTCAAGTGCCGAATAAACCCGATATGGCGGCGTCGTCGTCGAGGACCATTCTCGAAAAACGGTTTTAAGTTACAAGTACATAACATTACATTTTTATCACGAAATATAATTTACAACATTTTATAGCAGCTTTCTAATTTAATTTTAAGTGAAATTAAAAAAAAGAACCCTTTATTACCTTTAAACACTCCTCATGCTGAGCGCTCTTTCACTCACCTTGAAACAAAACTAATTTATAGTGTCTGCTAATGAGTAGATAGATGCCCGTTTTATGGCTCTTACGATAGGTAGCACTATAAAGTACTGCTTAACAGGTATTTTTTGAAGGAGTTATCTCCCCCTTAGGGTTTAATTCTAATGAAAATCTGCTCTGCCTCTAAACAAAAGAAAAGTGAAATCGAAAAATATATCTGCAATATGTAATGAATCTTGAATATAGTCAAGATTCTACATAAGAAAATCGGCCTAAATTCGCTATTGTTTGAGTAAAAACTCTCGCCTTAAATATTTAATTAATAAATGGCTACTCTTATACCTAATACAATAAAATCAGCCCTAAGAGATTATAAACCAATTGAGTACTTAAGTCATTTAAGAAAAAGTATGTTTACACTAACACCCACATTCTTAGACCTTTCCTGGCAAATTCCTCTACTCAGAATCAAATAGTAAAGTAACCGTACTTTAAACAATGTCAGAAAGTCTTGAGAGCCGTCATTTCGTATTCGTAGCAAAATTTTTTCTATCCAATTTGATAAACTTGAGAGACTTCAGAATTTCTGTATACGATTTATTTTTGGCTTGCGTAAATATGATCATGTTTCCGAATTTCGTACAAAACTCAAGTGACTCCCAATTCGGCTTCGGCGGAATACTTGCATTCTCTCCATTACTGTGTAGTACTCTATTTAATCCTACAACCTCTATCTACTCAAAGAAGCGATTTGCATTTATTCATGACATACATACTCGATACTTGAAATCATCGAAAAATCTGACCTTTGAAATTCCAACACACTTCACAACTTTTACCGATACATCTTTTTCACCTCTGTCATTCTTTACCTGAAGCTATAAGGCAGGCAAAGTCAGTGGGGACTTTTCAAGAACTCGTTAAGGATCACTATTTATCTCTGTAATAACTATATGCTATATGAGTATGTGTATGTATGTTTGTATTCATATTTATATATGTATGTAAGTGCATGAATGTGTGTTCGTGTATATTTATGTGTAATTATGTATGTAAATATTCGTTAATATACGGCAATTGTAAATGCGCTCCACACGCTACATATTACTATCTTGTACTCGTATAGTCCATCTAAAGGTTGCCTGGAAGAGATCGCAGACTGCAATAAGACCGCCCATTGTATCACTGTTTATGTTTTGTATGTCTCATCGTATGTATCCTAATTATGGTGCGTAATAAAGAGTATCTATCTAATGGCTAATGATGATAAATCTGTAAGCTTTAAAGTAGATGTCAATATACCATGAGTATGAGCATTGTTTCGTCCGCTAGACCTTGGAGAAGTTCGAGTAGAATTAATTGAAAGAGATTTGTTGCTACTAAGACTAAAAATATCTTTGCTTCATCAATCAAATTGTACATTTTAGCGGGATTAAGCAGCGGGATTTAAGAAATATTAGAGAAAACGTCTTAGGATATACGTGAGTGTTAAGAACTGATAAGTAATAAGCGTAGCCCGTCTTAATTTTATTCAAGCAAAGTTATAAGACTCTCTAAACTATTTTTAAGCATCGGCATTTTCCACCCGGGCAATATTATTTTCTACCAACTGGCGAATAAAAATCTTGTCTTTTTAGCCTTGTGAATTATATTATTACATATATTTAATTTAGCATCTGCCGAATGTGCGACATGATGTTATGACGTCATTAGGATTCATTTGTATTCACATAGCACATTTCAGACCTACTAAATGACAAACGTTTCAACCTTCAAATACTTCAGCGTAGCCCTAGGAATGTCACATAAGTCAGCGACCATTAAGCCTACTGACTTCAAATAGTTTTATTAAGCATGCAATATTTTCGTAAGTCAGAAACTAAAATTGTTATAGTAACTTTTGCTTTAACTTATCTGGTTCTAATTATGTGTATTTCCATTTATACAAAAAAAAATGTATTTTTCTTAAATAAGATCGTGAGTACCAGGTCTGATGAAGTCGTACTACTAAAATTAATATGTTATTTGAAAAAAAAATAGTAATTAGGCTAAAATAATTAGAGGTCTTAAATCTGCTAAAGTCGCATTAAACGGCGAGCCGGTTTAAAACAATCAAACTTGTGAATTGCCTATTAATTTCTTATCTAAAAATAGATAAGGGTTCAAGATGCTTTCTAGATGTATATTTGTAGGCATGGGAATTATCGCTACGTTTAATAGAAAAAATTTATAAACCTACCTCTTAACATCGGGACAGTAACATTTAATTTATAAAATATAACTACATATAAAAAGTACAACCGAAACGTTGTACTCTAAGTTTTAACATTACATTTATTGTTTATTATTTATTTATCTATCATAAAATAATGAACATTTCGAAACTTAAAACACTACTTGTAAGTCGAAAATCCTTTATTTTCAGAAGTATAAAAATAATATTATTAATTTTCTTATTGTTATTTTGTGTCAGGAATGAAGAATAAAAAAGACCAACATGCGATGGTTCTTCTACTTATTTTGTTTAACATCGACCGAAGCAACAATTGATACTAAAGGGTTTTTTGACTACTGGACTGATTTATTCCGGCCCTTTCCGCGAAATCCCAAAGAAGGGTTTCTGCCTGACTACACACCTAGAGATAATGAAGAGTTTGACTTTATAGTTATAGGAGCGGGTTCCGCTGGGAGCGTCATTACTAACCGTTTAACAGAAGTGCCACAATGGAAAGTCTTACTATTAGAAGCAGGTGGTAATGAAAACTTCTTCTCCGACATTCCCATATTTGCTGCATTTCTATCTCTTACCCCGATGAATTGGGGCTACAATTCAATGCCAGAGCCCAGAGCCTGCAAAGATCTAAGAGGCAAAGTATGTTTCTTGCCCCGAGGCAAAGTTCTCGGTGGAAGCAGTGTGCTTAACTTTTTAATCTATCAACGAGGGCATCCCGAGGATTATAATGATTGGGCTAGAATGGGTAATGAAGGTTGGAGTTATAAAGAAATTCTTCCTTATTTCAAGAAATCGGAAAATATTGGTATCATGGAATTACTCAATTCAACTTATCATGGTACTGGTGGATATATGGATATACAATATTCTCCATATCGACATCCTCTTGAAAATATATTTAAAAAAGCTGGTGAAGAATTGGGGTATAAATGGAGAGATCCAAACGGAGAAAAACTGATCGGCTTCTCTAAGCCACAGGCTACAATGCGCAATGGCAGACGATGTAGTTCTTCAAAAGCGTTTTTGGAGCCAATTCGTTTCAGACCAAATTTAAAAGTTTCAAAATACTCTACAGTAACGAGAATTATCATAGATCCCAAAACTAAAAGAGCTATAGGGGTAGAATTTCTTAAACGAAATAAAATGTAAGTATCTAGAGAAATCTGTAAATCGTATATTAAACGTATGTGTACACAAAATGTTACATAAATAAATGCTTACCTTAAAGTTTAATATACTATATCTTCCTAAAAATTAAATCCTAAATTTAAAAACTTTTAGGCATGATGTATGTTTTGATGCTTACTTCGAAAAATATAAAATCTAACCCCTCAAGTCCTTTCGTAATTTAGCAAACCTCTAGTATGTATGAATTCGATTTCTAGTTTGAGTACCTACTTAGTATCTTTATATAGTTCAACAATATCTAACTTCACAGAGTCAGTGGAGTTACTTGTTTGATGTGACTGTGTATTTTTACACACATTATTTCGCTAAAACTATAACGAAAAACAAAGGTTGTTAGAAGCTGTAAATTAAGGATGCTGATTATTTATGGAATCATGCAATACAGCGGAGAATAACGACAAATATACAAATGTTGACATAACCCTACTGTTTTAGCTCACTATCATATAATACTCTTCCTGTGAATATGTGTGTAAATATGCATTCATTTGTGAAAAATCGTTGCAGTATACGAGTTCGTGCCCGAAATGAAGTGGTATTATCAGCAGGAACTATTGGTTCGGCACAACTGCTTATGATATCAGGAGTAGGTCCTCAAGAACATTTAAGTGAAGTTGGGATCCCCAGCATAATAAATCTTCCTGTTGGATACAATCTTCAAGATCATGTTACGTTTTCTGGAAACGCATTTATTGTTAATGAAACAGGGGTCACTGTAAATGATGTAAGTTAATTTCGACACATCTATCACAACAGCATGTTCATAATTATAAACTAAGTATTAGTTTAATTCTAACAATAGCACGGACTCTATCTAATAAGTATGTAACTAGATTCGTAAAGAAAATTAAATTAATAATTGAAAACCAATGAATGATAGATAATACAAGTTATAAGATATTTTATTTTTATAATTGGACAAGTCGCAATAATCCTAAGATTGTAAATAAAATCCTTCTGGTGAGAACAATAACTTTATTGGCTTCTGGAAATATGGCGCCATCTAGTGATTGTTCTAGAACTAATGCAAAAACATAAGTTAAATTAAATAGTTTCCGAACAATAATAAGCTTTTTTCAAGACAGTCCAATTAAGTAGTTATTGATGACGCGACAATTAGGACAAAGGACAAAATAGATATTTTAAAGATTCATCATCATCATCATCAGCCTATCGCAGTCCACTGCTGGACATAGGCCTCTCCTGGACTGAGAAATGTAATATTACTTAACTTTATAACTTCAAGTTCCCACAGCAAATTCTGCACTACATATGTAAAAGAAATCTACTAATGGCATCTGGCACGGGTATTAATGGATATAACTTTTTGGAAGTTAAATATATTTTACAAAATGTTGTGAAAGTGTTAATAAATAGGCGCTTTTCCTTGGTAGGGCAGTAGACTCAATATATCAGCGTCCTTAAAATTTCAGTCCTGCCTTATAATTCAAATTAATAAATAGGAAAATACTTATTATATAAAAGAGAAGCTCAAATAGCCTCTTTTTCTTATTTACTAAGTATATGTAATTTTTATCGAACATACTGACAAATATGACATAACATACAGTTCTCTGCTGCTTCTCCTCTGGCGGCGACGGCGTACATGGCAGGTGGAGGCCCTCTCACATTGCCTGGAGGAGCGGCTGGCCTGGCCTTTATCCACACGAAGTACTCCTCTGACCGGGATAAAAGCCGACCCGACATTGAACTCGTCATGGGTGCTGGATCATTAGCTGGTGAAACGATCGGAATTTTACGGTCATTACTTGGTAAGTATCATCGCTGTTATAATAACTTGAATAGGTAATAGCCAAAACAAAACGTTTACATAAATCGTTCCTATATGTGTATACTGCACGGATGCCGTAGTGGCGGTTAGTTAGTAATTTAAGCGGTCACCTCGTTGCATCCTACTGTGCTAAGTGTTGTGGTTTCGATCCCCACATAGTACATCACTTTGTCTGATCCACAAATTGTTGTCCTGAGTGTGGGTGTGTCTTTGTGTCCGTTTCATGTATGTTTGTAAAGTCCCCCGCGACACAAGATTACATTCCTAGCGCGGGTGCTGTCTTTTAAACATAAAAAAAAATCGTACATAAGTGATTAACCCTAACATTTATCTATTTTTACTTCTTTCATACCGAAATTTGAAAAGTGACCTACACTGAGTAGAAATTGGTAACCTACGCATCCATATGGGTCACACCGCACACCATATGATTGTACCGAAAATACGTTATTTTAATATCGTAAATATGTTCGGGAAAATTATAAGTCGTAATGATCGCCCTATATTTATTTATATATATATACTGGACCCCTATAGTTTTATGCAGATGCTTACACATTATTTTAAACATTTTTTTTTCAATATTAGATTTCTCCGTTCTAGATTTAAACATAAAGTAAGGCAAATAAAATACACTTCCATCTGCCATATTTTCTTAAAGAGGGAAACAAAGAGTTCTCTTCACACATCAGTATATACATAGATAGAAAGGATGGCAGATTTTAACTTCTGTTATTTGACTTCAATTAAATATATTTCTATCTGCGTTTACGATAAGAAACATTTATTGCAAAATATTAATGAAAAAAGTTGTGCCTAATTTCTTTTAAAATAATTTCTCTAAAATCGTCACATTGTTTCTTTATAATTGCAATAAAAATATTTTGAAAGTATAAAATAAATGCTATTTGCCTTGGACATATTTTTTCGTAATTATTATTATATTTTAGAGACAAGTTAGTTTCATAATTATTCGTAGAACACATATTGGACAAAAATACCTTTTATGACATTTGTGAGATCAAGAGTAGATCGGAACTGAATTTTGAACGAATTATTATGACGAGAATTGACCCTCAGATTTCCACATAAACGCATGGAATACCTGGATTCTTTTTATTTCAGGGATCACAGATGAATGGTTCTGGAAAGTCTACGGTTCGCTGCCTTTAGCTGCTAGACTGCGCACTTTTGTAATTAACCCCGTTTTAATTCGTCCAAAAAGTGTCGGCCGGTTGATGTTGCGCAGCGGAAACTTCGCAGACCACCCAAGAATCTATATGAATTATTTCGCTGAGCTGACTGATTTAAGAACTATGGTTGAAGGCGTTCGCATGGTAAGTTATTAGCCTTCAACAATATACCAGTGTCATAGTCGAAGAAACAAATACAAAGACAATTACAAGAAAATACATTACAAGACCTAATTACAAACAACAACGACATAATTCAAGTTGTTTCTAAATCGATAGTGGTTTCTTGACCAATTTATTTTAGACATAACGTCGCATTATCGATTTAGAGTCAACATCATTTTCGTCATTTGCCAAATCTTTTACCAGACCCGACTAAAAGTCTGTCGTCAGTGTCATTAAGAAACACCTGTAACTACGAGTATTAACTTGGCTATTACTATTGCAGGTGGAAAAAGTCATTCACACGAATGCATTTCAACGACTGAACACCAAAATACACGATACACCATTTCCTGGATGTGAGTCATATTTGTTTGACTCTGATGAATATTGGGAATGTGCTATAATGCAAACATCTATTACATTAGACCACCAAGTAAGTGTTTTCCCTTCTTATCTTAAACACCTAGGTATTTATAGGACTTTGAATTTTTGCATATTCATGCTCTAAAAAACTATTCTAACATGATTTACAGCCCCACTAATATAATTTTACAACAACTAGATTTTGCAATCTATACTAATTCATACTAATATTATAAATGCGAAAGTGTGTAAGCTTGTCTGTCTGTCTGTTACTCTTCGCACTTAAACCACTAAACCGATTTAGAAGAAATTTGGTATAGACATAGTTTGAGCCCCGGGAAAGGACATAGGATAGTTTTATCAAAGAAATCATCCTTTAAGGGGGTGAAAAGAGGGGTTGAAATTTGTATGGGGAATCAATAACCGCTGATCCGATTTAGATGAAATTTGGTATTGAGATAGATTATCTTAAGAATCTTGACGAAGGAGACAGGCGAAAACTGACAAACGTACGAGTAGAGCCGCGCGCAAAAGCCAGTTAATAATAAACGAGTATTGGTTTAATTTTGTGTAATTGTTTACGTGTCCTTTTACAGGTGGGGACTTGTAAAATGGCTCCAGCCGGTGATCCAACTGGAGTAGTATCACCAAGATTGCTAGTCCACGGCATAGAAGGCTTACGAGTGGCAGACGCATCAATTATTCCAAAAATACCGGCTGCGCATACCCATGCTGCCGTTGTTATGATCGGTGAAAAAGCAGCAGATCTTATTAAGGAAGATTGGGGTCTTCTGAAAAATTAAAAATGGATTAGTTATTGGCAATTGTTATTGCCAGTTATTGACAAAAAAATTAGCAAAAAAAATGGAGGCAGGTAGGTATATTTAAATTAATCCCCAATTTAAATATACCTACCTGCCTCCATTTTTTTTGCCAGTGAAATGAGAAGAAAGCTCACAATTCAACGTGTGATAAAGCGTAATTAATAGCGAATAAGGTTAAATAATTGGTTAGACGTTGGTTTTATCTTAATAAGTTTTAAAGAATAATATTACTCGTAGGGGTTAAAGTATGAAATTGAAACGATTTTTACTGAAAGATTGAAACTCGTTTTTTTCTAAGATGTAACATATTTTATTCATATTTATTTACGATAGAACTTTGGGGATCTAGATTCGACAAACTGTGTGAAAGCGTTTTGTAGGAAGTGTGTGAAAGCCTGGGAAGAAACTTTTTTATCACGTAGAAGATTGTCCATATCACGAAAAAAATGGTAGTCCGTCGGAGCAAGTTCTGGCAAGTACGGAGGATGACGTATAGTTCCTAACTGCAACTCCTGTAGAGTTACAACGGTTTTTCGTGCAGTGTGAGGTCTTGCTTTATCATTGAGCAACAATGGTGAAGATCGATTCACGAGTCGGGGCTCGAAGTTTGGCACAGTAAAGATCTGCTATTATTGCCTGACCAGACCTGAGAAAGTTATAGTGAATAACACCATGAAGAGACCACCAAACAGTTACCATTACCTTTTTATTGGCAAGCTTTGCTTTAGGGTACAGTTGCGGCGCTTGAGCTGAAGTCAGCCGTTGCACTTTTCACCTACGGTTGTCGTAAACAATCCACACACGTCACAATTTGATCCAATATTCCTTCATGTCTATACCGATTCAGCAAGGGAAAACAAGTTTCAACACGCATTTCTTTCTGCAAATCAGTCAAATCATGAGGCACCCATTTGTCATATTTTTTTATCTTATTGATTTGATGCAAATGAGTCAATATTGTAGGGAGGGTAACGTTAAACCATGCCGCTGATTCCTCGGTAGTTTGACTCGAATCGGCTTTTACCATCTCCTACAATTCAGTGTTATTCACCTGTGTGGGCGGTCTTTCACATGGTTCGTTCTTAAAGTCGAAGTTTAAATTACGAAATTTAAACCAAAAACGCACGGTGCGTTCATTAGCAGTCTCCTCTCCAAACGCAGCGTTGATATTGCGAGCCGTTTAGTTGCGCGTCGGAGCTCGTATTCAAAAATGATTCGAATTTTCGAAGTATCCATCTTTTACGACTAAGCTGAATAAAAAAAACAATTGAAAGTTGAAAATCGAATGTGGCACATCTAAACAAAAAAGAATAAGATCATAGGTATCATGTGACGTTTTACACGAAAATCACACCGTGAAGGTCAATTCAAGTCAGATGTCAATTCAAAGTATCTATTACCATACAACGGCAATTTCATACTTTAACCAATATTGAGGCAAGAAATAATATAATTTTAGAATTGATTTTAAAAGAAAACAATTACAATAATTTAACCGTAAGAAAGTAAAGTTATAAGTCTTAAGCTATTAGTCTTAAAAACTAAACGTAAAGTAATGTGATAAACAATTTAGAATCCCCGTCAAATGACTACACCAAAAACTATTTAGTGTAACTCATGTACTGATTTATTATTTTCAATCTTGTTTGCTTTTTGGTTCTATGCTCAAACTTAGACCTATCTAAGTTTTTAGATTAGTTTTTGGTAGTTATTCTTGGCAGGTCGGTTGAATTTTCATTAATCAGATACTTAAGAACTATAATTATAAGTCTCTTGTGACTCAGGCTCATGTTTGTTATTAATATTCACTATTAGTCTATTTTATTCTAGTCAAACCGTAATACCAAAAAACTTATATACTTACTACTAGATATACTAACTACTGTTTTCCAAAGATTAAATAAATCGTGAGGATAACTACATGCTTGCCGGTTCGCAGCAAGAGTCCCCAAAATCAAAGATGCATATCTTTCTCTCTTTAGGCTCACATTTAGAAAATATTTATATGCTGGCGAATTTATACTCCCACCTCGCCCGTTGATCGGCAACGCGTTTTTGGGCTGTCTTGCAGTGTTGTTCTCTAAGGAAACAGCCTTGCGTACAGCGCTGCCACAGAGTCGAACTTCAAACTAATTTCGTTTGAAATTCGACGCTACATCAGTGCCACAGGGTCGAATTTCAAATTAAGTTAGTTTGACATTCGATGCTGTGGCATTTAAGAATAACACTGCTGAGCTGCAGGCGTTCATGGGCGGTAAAAAATATCATTATTAAGGTGTGTGTGTAGTTTTGATTTTTTAAATTTACTGTAATTTATATTTGTTATTTGTGTTACCAAAACGTTTCTTTTCAACCTTTACATTTTAATTGAAAGTAATCAAAACCACACCTTAATAATGATATTTTATAACATGTACGCAATAAACAGTATTCGTACATCAAAAAACAGTAGCTTTTATCTGTCATAAGTGCGTGCTTTAAGTGGCTTTAAGAGTATGCTCCGCAGCAGAGCCACTATCGATGCCCATAATTTTGTTACCTTGTTGTACGTACAGCGATAACGGCATAAGTACATTTTTTACGTTTGACGTACATAATTTTAAGATATAATTGATGTGTATTTATTATGGTGGTCCTGCGACATGTATTTATAGTGCAAACTGCCTAGGTGCATCTTAATTGAATTTTAACTCAATAAGAGACTGTTCGCGGTGATCATGTACAATCATCATCATCAACAGTCTTTACTAGTCCACTGCTGGACATAGGCCTCTCCTTAGAAAGAAGGTTTTGGCCTACTACACCACGCAATATTCAATCAATAATATCATGTACCTACAATATTTGCAATTTAAATGTTAATAAAAGTAGCTCAAACTTCTTTTAATTTTTAAGTTTATGATATTTAGAAACTTAAGACAAATATTTAAATAAATAAATTATTACTTCCATAATAATTTACTTTCTCTTACCTCCCTCCCTAGTGTAGCGGAATTAAACGTTAAATATACACACTGCTTTATATATTTTCTCCACTTTACAATGTTCAAACAGCTAGGTAATTATTGAAACAAAAAGGAAAAATTCACTGCGTGAAAATGTAGGTATATGCATACTTAAAAACAAACCGCCGATTTTAGGATAGGGTCATCTTTTTACTATTTTTTTAAATTAAATTACTATGACAACTAATATATATATAAATGTTAAGTTAGTTTGTGTACGCTTCAAAAACTTAAGATTTTTGCAGCGACTGAAATCTTACACGGGCTTTCGGTGAAGGCTCTCCACCGTTCTTGATCAAGTAACATCGCCTAACCTTTTTTTTTTACGTGTGGAAATCCCCTCGGACCGTCACCCCGCCGGGGTTCTCTATTCGGCAGGGCGGTGTCGGACTCGAACCGACTAAAACCACACGGTGTGCCCTCTTTGCGCTTCTATTTTAGGGGGGGTCCAGGTAGTTATCGCCTTCCCAGCGCCGGCCCGCTCCTGGTGCGGGCTCCGTCTCAAATTTTCCTCCCTTTAGGCGACGTCCGGCACACGCGGACGCCGCCCCCTCGCGGCTGGCCAAACTAATGTGGGTGGAAGGGAAAACCCATCCCGTCCACCCGCGGCCACACTCAGGGCTGCATGAGGCGCGGTTAGCGCCTCCGCCGCCTGGTTCGCCGGCGGCGGATCGGGTCCGAGTAGAGGTCGTCCTCCCGGGCCTTCTCCGCCGCCTCCTTCTGCGAGATTACTTCCTCGCAGAAGGTTGCGACCGCGGTAAAACAACTGTCGCTACCGGCCATGGAGCGTACTACGGCCGGTAGCGAGAGATCCACTCCGATGACTGGAGTGAGGGCCCGGCGCTGCGTCGCCCATGCGGGGCAGACCGCCAGCGTGTGCTGGGCCGAGTCCTCACTGCAGTCGCAGCGGTGGCAGGCGGGACTCAATTCCCTCCTGGCGACCGAGTGCAGATACTTTCCGAAGCAACCGTGCCCGGAACGACCATCTGACCATGGTGGCTCCGCGAGCGGTTTCGCACCACTCGCGCACGTCTTCAGGCGGAGGGCGAAATCCGCTCTCCGCCCGGAAAGTCCGGAAGTCAGCCACTCGCCGATAGACTTCGGCGAGCACTTCCGCCTCCAAATCCCACGCGGGTGTTCCGGCCAAGGCGCAAGCCGCCTCTGTGGACACCGTACGGTTTCCGCGTATGGCTCTGCCCTCCAATATCCTCTTGGGACGCCAGAGGCGCGTACTATTCTGGGCGGTCAGAGCCGCCACCCACACCGGTGCACCATACAGCCACCGGACAACCCCCGCGTACAGCCGCCTCGTGGGAACACTGGCCCCGCCAAAATTGGGCAAAAGTCGCCCTAGGGCGGAGGCAGTGTCCGCACCCTCGCAACCTCGCAGAGGTGCCGGACAATGCGGGCAGAGAGTACCCTCTCAAAAAGCCTCAGCCTCTCATTGGCCGCCTGTAGGCGAGACATCTCGCCTATCAAGTCCGCCACGACCTCCGACACATCGGAGGAGGAGTCCTTAAGGGCCCTCACAAAGGAGCCCTTAAGGTTCACGGACTTGGTGGCCACCTTTTTTATGATGTCCACCGCCGCTCTCGCCTTCTCCTGTACAGACAAGGGAGCCCGGGGTGCACCTCCCTCCACCGGCTCCCGAATCTTAAGCAGGAGACCTGCGATCTCCTCCTCCGCTACGGCTTCGCCTTCCGCTCGGCAACGCCTGTAAGACTCCGCCCGTGAGAAGGCAGAGCCTGACGGGACGGGGATAGGGGTACGCGACCTCGCGATCGGCGTCCGTGACCGTCCTCGCTGGCTGCTGGCGACCATAGGTGGCAACATGTCATGCGACGGGTCGACACCTTCCTCTATTGAGCGTCCACGCTTGCGACTCTCACTGTCGCGGAGTTCAACCTCCATAGCGTCCAGTGCGTCAATCGTCACACTGGAGCCACCATCGGCTGAAGCAACGGACCTGGAGCGAAGACTTCGGCTCCCAGCAGTCAGTCTGACTACTGGGAGCCCCACCGAGATAGGCGTTCTCGACACCACCTCACCTTCAGTGGACGCCAAATCCACTCCACCACTCTTCTTCTTTGACTCCTCCTTCTCCTTCCTTCCCACGGTCTCGTTGTCCGTTTGGCTTGCCTGTTTCGTTGTTTTTCTTAATCCTTTTCCCTTTATTTTTCCTTCCCACGAGTGGGGGAGAAGTAAAAGTCGATCCGGGCAGAGATCCCCCAATACCCGGGCAAGCGTAAGTTTATGCCCAACCGAGGGGTCCGCAAGTGCCCCGGCTGGGAGTGCGCTTACGACTAAACTACCCATCAGCCATGCATCCCCTGGCCACGCACCAGAACACGGTATTCGGGGATTTTTTTAGAGAAGTTTTCTTCCTCGCGGTCCAGGCGATTAAGCCAAGACCCTCGCCCCCGATCAGAGCCGCAAGACTTGACCACAGCGCTCTTCTTGGGATTACGATATGCCGACGGCCCCCTGCCTGCTCGGTGGTAGTGTCAGTACACGCCGAACCCGTCCTCCTTTCTCCTTAGGTTAGGTTAGGTTACCTAGGTTTCCTCCTCCATGCTCCGAAGAGCGAAGAGCCAGCAGGGCAACCGGCAAACACGCCCACCGTGCTGGACCAGGCCTTGCCCGAGAGTCAACGTGTTAAACGAACATGTTTTCTTCGAATTTAGAAAGTGATTTTGATAGAGATTCACTTTCACTTACTCACTTTAATGTAAGACTTGTAACTACTTGAGGGCAAAAAAAAAGAATATTTATTTATTTAAAATTTGTTTATTTCTTTATAATATTTATTTATTTCTTCCCAAGCAGCATTTCTGATCAAATGATAATCCTTTGATTTTGTGACATACATAACTTTTCGTTGACGTACAAATAAGTAGTTCAATTGGCATCCGCGTCCGCGTGTTCGCGTCATTTAATGATGCCACGCAGTATAGAAACACATTGTGCAACCACGCAAACACTGCTTTTACTAGGCGAGCAGTCTGCGCCACGACACGCCATGACACATAAGTATGTTTCCGCCTTAAGGTTTTGCGCGTTCACCACCATAAAGATACGGTTCGTCGTATCACCTTGAAATACTTGGTGTAGACCAGGATTCCCAAACTATTGGTATTACCAAATCCCAAACTATTTAAGGCAAGAGACCCCTTTTTCTCTGAACTGATACCTCAGACCCCCATAGTCAAAGTACTTTAAAATCTTAGTTTTTTCCTATTGATAATAACCACTTATAAATGACCTTGTCGACCCCTATAATCAGTTTTCGTTTATGTCAACCCCTGGGAAACCGATATCGACCACTTTGGGAATCCTTGGTGTAGACAATATGAGCGAAGACCAGTTTCAAGGTCATTTAGTGACTAAGGCCAAATTAGCCTCGTAAAAGCTTGGTGCTAAACACATCGAGACAACATTTTACTCCGGCTATATAATATTCATGTTCTGCTTGGAATATTGGTATTGGTATTAGCCACTCTCAATGGAACGTATTTTTTAACAAAGAGCAACTCGAACCGCCGATTGCTAAGATATTCCAGTTTGGTTTCAAGGCCTGTCGTTTCGAAGAGATGTAGCTTTGCTCTGCATTCTCTATCGCTTGTATTGTGATATTCGGCCTTTTACCGGCCGCAGCATTTCGCCACCGTTCAACGCGACAAAAGTTCTCTTCATTACTTTAATATAATAATTGGCGCTCTACCACTGCACTTCTCAGAACCTTTTTGCCTCACACAGTCAACCTGTTGAAGAAAACAGACAAGAAAAAAGCCACTAACCATCAAGTGTCAAGTCTGCTTGTTTGTCCCCGATACCATAATAACTACGTTGTGTGGTGTATTCGATATTGAGGTGTCTGTCTTTTAACTGTTTGTAATATACCAATAACTTGTTTTAATATTTTATATACATTTGTAACAAAAATAAGCTTACTTTAATAGTTTCATACTAGTCCGTACAGATTCATGATTCTATAAGGCTTGATCTTAATTACAGACAATTCTCTTTAAACACCAAGTGCTAATTCTTTATACACCAAAAATATGTCTTATGAAAATTTCACTAGTTCAATAATATGTATATTGGCAAAAATAAAAGATAAATAACAATTTAAACAACACATTACAATATGGAATGTCAATATATTTTACTTCATATCTACATTTGATTTCGAGTTTGAGGGTAAATGGCTGAAATTAAAAAGTCTCTTAACAATATACAATGTTCTGTGTACCATTGTTACTGATACTATTACTTCTCATTAATTTATGAGTATGCAGATTTTGTTTAGAAAATTACTACATTTCCACTGGAGTTATCTATCTACAAACATAAAAAGACATATTCCAATGTAAAATAAATATATTTCAAATCAAATGTATGACATTTGATCTGTGTTAATGACAGACTGATAAAAAATCTACTAACATTAAGCAATATTTATCGAAAAATCGAATATGTAACAGAACTTCCATTTACTAATAAATATAAATCCACACCCCCACCCATTGCACGTTCATTTAAAAGAGACTTCTAATATTATGGCATTATATACTTACAATTATTTTTGTCTAATTCCTAAGTGTTGATGATCTTAGTTGTTGGTGAAACATTCAATTCAATGATCCATGCAATGAGAAATGGTGTGAACGTGTGTAACAAATTTCATAGTTTCTTTGATTGTCTATTCTCACCAAATAACATAAAACATGTTGATTTTCCAATTTCCATCTACCTCTATGGTCATTAGTAGACACTATAAAACAATTACGGAAGGAAGAAGATGCCTCTAAAACAAAATATAAATATAGACTTACGAATGTAAAGAGAGTTGTTTACCTTTAAGACCTTACATACAAACTTATATAATACAAGTTGTTAATGTTAATTAAAATGCAACCCTCTAGTAAAGGCCAAAATATGCGACCACGAAATCAATAATGACGTTACAACAGTTTAAGTATACCTATTCACAGCACTTAACCACATGTTAGTCAACTGTTTCACGCACAAGACGATCACAAACTCACTTCAGTGTCATACTATCACCATAATTATCGATTGCATTGACGTAAAATTAATATTTATATACTCATATGTACAATTTATTAAAACGTCCCAGGAGCACGTTAGAGTGATTCCTCAAATGCGGCCATCAAATCACTCTGCATGTTCATATCTATCTGACCAGCCATCTGTAAAAGTATTAAGATTAATGAATATTGAACATTCAAAATATCTATTATTACTATGGGATACAAATTTAAAAAAGTTATAAGTAGAAAGCCTTTTTTTTCTAACAATAAAATTTGCACTACAAGTTTCGAAGCAACTTTTTTTTAATGAAGTACCCAGTCACTAGTGAAGTAAATACTGTAGTGGGTATGTTCTTTTACTTATTTCAGTATTCCCTTTAAATTCCCCAAATAATTTTACTTTTCGTGTTAGGAGTGAATTCACAACGGCAATGCACTGGGGTGATTATGGATGCAGTTATGGAAGAAATTATTTAATGCGCAATCGGTACAAGTGCGAAAGTGCGACTTACGGCCTCGCGTCGGCGGCGCTCCTGCTCGCGCTGACGCAGGCGCTCGCGCTCTGAGGCGGGCGGCTTATCGGGCGCAGCAGCCGCGGCGGCGGCGGCGGCGGCGGCGGCCGCGGCCGGCGGCGACGCGCGAGCTACCGGCGACACGTGCGGCGACGCCACCTCCGCACTTTCCGCCTTGCGCACGGCTCTGGAACTAAACACCGTTTATCTGAATAAATTTTGTTTATGAGTAGTTTTCATCAATATGAAAAAAACTTGGCTATGGGGGTCTGACGTATTAGATCATTTTGAAAAAGGGGTCTCTTGCCCAGAATAGTTTGTGAATCCCTGGTCTACACACCAAGTCATTCGAGGTGTTACGACGAACCGTAGCTTTATGGTGGTGAACGCGCAAAACTTTAAAGCGGAAACATACTTATGTGTCATGGCGTGTCGTGTCGCGCCAGAAGCATCGTGATGCAGACTGCCCGCCACCGATTGCGTGGTGGGGGGTTATGACGCGACACGATACAACATGTTTCTATACTTCGAGGCTCGTGACGCATCAATAAATGACGCGCACGCGTTCTGTCATAGCGCAGACTGCCCGCCACCGATTGAGTGGTGACGGTTATGACGCGACACAACACAACGTGTTTCTATACTGCGTGGCATCATTAAATAACGCGAACACGCGGACGCGGACGCTAATTGAAATACTTATATATATACGTCAACAAAAGTTATGTATGTCACAAAGTCAAAGGATTATGAGGATCATTTGATCAGACACTCTGCTAAGGAAGAAATAAATAAATATTATAAAGAAATAAATAAATATTATAAAGAAATAAACAAATATTAAATAAATCAATAATCTTTCTTTGCCCTCAAGTAGTTACATTGAAGTGAGTAAGAGCAAGTGAAGCTATTTATCAAAATCACTTTCTGAATTCGAAGAAAACATGTACGTTTAACACGTTGACCGCAAGGGCCATCCATTTTTACCGACGAATAAAACTTGGCTAATGTTGCTTTTAAGAATCAGGAACATTCCTGATTTCACTTCTATGATTATGCATTAAAACAGTGTGATATAGTCTAATTGCGCACGTAATCTGATCAAAAAAGTAGCTTAGAAAGTTGGGCGCGATGGACGGCTTTAAGCTTCAACCAGTGCTGTGACTAACGACGAACGGAAAATAAATAATATAAATCGTTTTAAAAAAAAAGTTGAACACCTTAAAATAATACTGACATCTTTGTCAGTATTATTTTTAAGTACCTACCCACAATATAACTGGTAAAATTATAATAGCTATACTCCCTTTTAGTCTGTTTTAATTTATTATAGTTTTTTACTTAGATTTGTAATTATTTTTTAATTTTTAGTGTAAGATACATTGATATAATACTTACATAGATGAGTAATTACCGCCTAAAATCGTTGCTACTGCACATCTGTCCACAGGCATATGAGTAGCAAACGTCAATTCAGTGTTCAATGTGGCGTCAACCGAGTTGAACATAGCGACACATGACAGTAACAATTGCCAAAATGGGTAAATGCGTAGTGAAAGAATGCGATTCAAGGTCACAAAACAATAATAAATCATGCGGAATTACTTATCACGTGTAAGTTTATGGTTTTTGTATTGATAATATCGTAAATAAGGCTATAATTGAAATAAAACATTGATAATTGTAATTTAGAATCAGCGTTACCATTAAAAAATCATTTTGGTTTTCCCACATTAGTGGGAGAATTTATAAAATATGAAATAATATGCTTTATACTGTTTTTTAACATTTTGCCAATAATAATAAAATTATAGGAAGAACGGTAGTTGTTAGGGCTGGACCGATCACTTTTTTTAGGGACCCGTTGAACGTTCACCTTCAGCCAAGCTCGCAGTGCTGGAGACTTTTGTACAAAAGAATTAATTCATTCATTCATTCATTTTTCTTAATTAATTATCAATTATAAATAATAATTGTACAAAAAAAAATATAAAATAAAAAAGTAAATAAATATAAATAAAATAAAAAATATATATACATATTTTATATATATTTATTTTATTTGTATTTTAAAATATTAAAAGAATTTGCAATACACCCTGGGGATTATTTATTATCAGTACAAGTTGATCATTCACTTTTATTATTAAATGCCATTATTTATACATAGGTAAAAATAAGATTGTATCATGAAAGTAAAATATCCACACAAACTTATAAAAAAGAGTCTAAAAGACAATTGTATACAAAACTGATGCTTCATAGCGCAGTTTGATTTTACACTGAATATAAACCCTTTTAACCAAATATTTCCAGTTATTTAATTATTTATACCTATTCCATTCAATTCGAAATATATTATTTAAAATATTTAAATTAATTTATTTTATTACAAAATTGTTTTAAAAAAAATAGTTTCTTGGTTGTTATGGGTAAAATTTCATACGGTAGTCAACACTGGCCCACCATCGTAAAGTTATGTCTTTGTCTTTGTCTAATCCGAGCGATGGTATTGTTCTTGTCTCGCATGTAAATGAGACATAAATATGTTTACTTTCAAATGTTTAGTGGTATCAGAGCTACGTCGTCAAAGTTTAAAAGTGGTTACACTTTTTTCGACGTGTGATATGAGGTTTGCTTCTCTAGTGTTGTTTTAACTCAATGGTAAGATATGTTTGTAATGAGTAGATAAATACGATATTGAAAACATTACGTACCGTAATGTATACTACCAAACTCTAGTGTGTTAGATTATATTAAATATAGTTTAATAAGTCCGTTACTTTATTTAGATAAGGTACTAAGACGTTACATTTGAACCCGAAAATATATTGTTATCGACATTACTTGTCAGACTCAGATTAACAATGAACCCATGCCGTGATGTGAGAACCCATGCCGGCAATCATTGCACCAAGCGGCGATAAATCATGAGTGTAAATTTATGTGCCTACTTGTGTGTGCTCAGTCTTAAACTCGTTTTACATTCCTTGTTTTATGCTCAAATTCCAGTATTAAAATGTTTATGTGTCAAATAAAATGTTAATTTCAAGTTAATTAATTGAAAAGGTAATAACTTTCAGAACATATTTTTTATAAACTGACATTTTCAGCCGACGAGTGTACTGTACTAAATATTTAAATTAAAATATAATATTTTTACGATACTAGTACGATACTAATAGATAGATACCTCCACCGTATCAATACAGGAATCCATACGGAAAGGATAAAGAGATCCTCTTAGAATGTAACGACAACGATAAGCACGCACGCAGAACAGCTTCCAGCAAATAATTTTTTACCAACCTCATTTTTTCCTCGTCGGGATGTCGCCTTTCTGTCTCTTGGCGTTGTCTTTCTCTTTCAGCTTGTTCCTTTTTCCTTAGCTCCTGCTGTTCGATAAGCGCCCTTTGACGATCTATTTTTTCACGCGCTTGTTTCTTGAAAGCCTATGAAAACATAAATATTTCTTTAATATTTTGGATAAGCATTTCTGATCCTACTTTACATCTGAGCAATATTTATTTATTTATTGTAGATTACAAAGTACTTTATTCTGTAGTATTTTCTTTTTTGGTTTAAAATTATTTATTCTCATTAAGAATTATGATACAATTCACTTAACATGAGAACATAATACTAATACACAACATATTTTATTTGTGAGCACACATAAAAGCGGTATCAAAATAATAATGTTTTTGACGGTTACCTACATTAACTACATAATCAAGCTCATATTGAATTAATTAAGGCCTAGAGACCATCGGGAATAAGAAGTTTGGTGTGCCGTATGTAAATAAAAGTAGGCGATATAGTGGCCGGCTACACAGAAGCTAGGATTTATTTTAGAATTTCTAGGAAAAATAATTACCTCACGCTAAAAAGGATTTACTATATCATGTATGTACTAGTTATTTCATTTCGATCGCATACTAAATGCATGCACTTGTGGTATGTAGGCGCATATGAAACATTCCAAACAGTGCCACTATGTGACGCCATTTTTTGTAGGTAGATTTACAATAGTACGATATATGAACGAAATATAACCAGTAGTTTATCCACAGGACAAAATAAATAGAATAAAAAGACGAATTAGATCACATTTATAAGCCTACCCTACATTGCACAACCTCCTTTCTAGGCGAGGCCTATGTCCATCAGTGGACTATTAAAGGCTGTTGATGAGTTTAGTAGGTACTCCGCACGTAACTGTGCAGCAGTGCGATGACAGCAGAAAGTCTTTATTTTAATTACTTTACTTATGTTCAAAATTATTTTAAATAATTTTTAATAGTATGTTTTTCATATGTCAACCGTTAAATTTCATAACTTTCGAATAGCCGGCTGAGGTTTTTAGCAGTTTTCTTTTTAATGTACATACTACAAACGCTTTACTTAATGAAGCTGAAGCTAGCCGACGGACATAGCCTGCGTAGTATATGGCACGCCCCTCAAAATGAGTTTTTTTTAATGAAAAAAGAGAGCAAACAGTCATTTTCCTGCATCAAATTACTATACAATGAACCAGGGCCTTTTAAGATTAAAAAAATATATTTAAACAATCATATTAAATGAATAAACACTGTTTATTAGCGAAAACTCGAGTTTTTCGATGGTAAATTTGTCCTAACTTTTTTCACAAAAATAGGATTGCTTTCTAATTTTGTATAGTTAATGCCTAAGTATCATACAATAATACTAAATTACTTTTACGTTGGCAGAAAAGTTATAATATTATTGGATGAACAATCAGACATGACTTACGATAAATTGACCGATTCGACGAAAAACCTGATGTAACTCTGTTCACAACAATAGGATTGCTTCCTAATTTTGTATAGTTTATGCCTACGTATCGTACAATAATACTAAATAGGTTTTACGTTGGCAGAAAAAATGGAATTAACAGAATTAATGAGTAAACGTACGTAACCAACAAAAAATACTGAATTTCGATAAAAAAACCTGCTGTAACTCGATTCACAAAAATAGGATTGCTTTCTAATTTTGTATAGTTAATCCCTAAGTATCATACAATAATACGAAATTACATTTACGTTGGCAGAAAAGTTATAATTTTTATTATTAAATGAACAATCAGACACAACTTACGATAAATTGAACGATTCGACGAAAAATCTGATATAACTCTGTTCACAACAATAGGATTGCTTTCAAATTTTGTATAGGTAATGCCTAAGAGTCGCACAATAATACTAAATAGGTTTTACGTTGGCAGAAAACATAGAATTAACACAATTAATGAGTAAACGTACGTAACTAACAAAAAATACTGAATTTCGATCAAAAACCTGCTGTAACTCGATTCACAAAAATAGGATTGCTTTCAAATTTTGTATAGTTAATGCCTAAGTATCATACAATAATACCAAATTACTTTTACGTTGGCAGAAAAGTTTTAATTTTTATTATTAAATAACCAATCAGACATGACTTACGATAAATTGACCGATTCGACGAAAAACCTGATGTAACTCTGTTCACAACAATAGGATTGCTTCCTAAGTTTGTATAGTTTATGCCTACGTATCGTACAATAATACTATATAGGTTTTACGTTGGCAGAAAAAATAGACTTAACACAATTAATGAGTAAACGTACGTAACCAACAAAAAATACTGAATTTCGATAAAAAACCTGCTGTAACTCGATTCACAAAAATAGGATTGCTTTCTAATTTTGTTTAGTTAATCCTTAAGTATCATACAATAATACGAAATTACATTTACGTTGGCAGAAAAGTTATAATTTTTATTATTAAATGAACAATCAGTCACGACTTACGATAAATTGAACGATTCGACGAAAAATCTGATATAACTCTGTTCACAACAATAGGATTGCTTTCAAATTTTGTATAGTTTATGCCTACGTATCGTACCATAATACTAAATAGGTTTTACGTTGGCAGAAAAGTTATATTATTTATTATTAAATGAACAATCAGACACGACTTACGATAAATTGAACGATTCGACGAAAAATCTGATATAAATCTGTTTACAACAATAGGATTGCTTCCTAATTTTTTATAGTTTATCCCTAAGAGTCGTACAATAATACTAAATAGGTTTTACGTTGGCAGAAAACATAGAATTAACACAATTAATGAGTAAACGTACGTAACTAACAAAAAATACTGAATTTCGATCAAAATCCTGCTGTAACTCGATTCACAAAAATAGGATTGCTTTCAAATTTTGTATAGTTAATGCCTAAGTATCATACAATAATACTAAATTACTTTTACGTTGGCAGAGAAGTTATAATTTTTATTATTAAATGAACAGTCAGACATGACTTACGATAAATTGAACGATTCGACGAAAAATCTAATATAACTCTGTTCACAACAATAGGATTGCTTTGAAATTTTGTATAGTTAATGCCTACGTATCATACAATAATACTAAATAGGTTTTACGTTGGCAGAAAAAATAGAATTAACAGAATTAATGAGTAAACGTACGTAACCAACAAAAAATACTGAATTTCGATAAAAAAACCTGCTGTAACTCGATTCACAAAAATAGGATTGCTTTCTAATTTTGTATAGTTAATCCCTAAGTATCATACAATAATACCAAATTACTTTTACGTTGGCAGAAAAGTTATAATTTATAGTATTAAATGAATTTAAGGGGCAACGTGCCATATACTACGCAGGCTATGTCCGTCGGCTAGCTGCGTCGGCTAGCTTCAGCTTCATCTTTACTTAGCCTTAGGGCCCAATAAAAACGAAACAATAAAAAAGGAGTCTAACTAGGCACACGCAATTACATCTGTTCACACTCTTTCTTACCACAGTCTAAAGACTCTTTTTTACAGTCGTCAACGGAAAGGACTACACAAAGTACAAAATATATATTTAGCTGTCTTCAGGGATAAAAAAAAACTGAAAAAAGTATAACAAGAAACTGAAACTCCCCATACTTATGTAAATTGAGTGACAATACAATATTATGGAACCAGTGACCTGATCTCACGATAAAGTTGGAAGGAGGCCACAGCAGCTCTGCGATAAAACAACATGACCCCTTTACACTGGCCATGGAACTTTCAATTTTAAAATGCCAAAAAATGGAACGATGAAGAGAGGTAAAGAATTTGCTGGGCATTAACTTCATTCGCCTTTCTACAGATGTGCTTTATGCACATGAAGTCTTAAATAAATAAATAAAAATACTTTCAGACATTTTTTACTATTTTTGGATAGTAGGTAGTTAAACGTTAAATGCCGAAAAATGTATGTTTATGTATTTTGTTCTATTGCTATAAATATATTTTTTTTCCATTTAAGTTTCCGAACTAGTATATTATGAAAGTAGCTAAACCTATTTAATAAATTTAGTTACAACCATTAGAACGCTGAAAGGTTTGGAAGGTACTCACTTGGAAGCTGTCCATAACAGGTTTCTGCTTTATTTGATTGTTGGTATTCATATTTGGTATACTTTGCGGACTGCCAGCTTGCGCCAGGGATGACCAAGAACTCGCATTCTTCAAATTGGGATCTTGCTTGAGTTTAAAAGCTTGCGCAAAATTTGAGTTCTTCGAGTCTTCTACTTTCTTTTCCATTTCATATTTAGCACGGTCGGACATATTATTCGAGACCATATTAGGAACTCCCATCAAATCCTCAATGGGTTTTGGCGTAAGGAGTGGTTTTACGTCCTCCTTTTTTATAACGGGTGTAAGGAGTGATGGTGGATTCGACATATTATGATGAGATTGAGCAATAACGCTATGCTGTGTCGTCGGCAGTGGGTCAAAAATCGACGACACCGTGGCTAGGCTTGTCATACCTGGGATGTTAGTAGTGACATCGGGTCTGGGTATCTCGCGCTCGTGAGTAATTTTGTCAACAAACCCATTGTGCGCAGGAAGATACATCTCAGTTTTAATCTCAGGTACACGAGCGACATCCGTCAAACCCCCAAGCTGAGCCATTAAATTTTGATGTGCCGTGTCTGGCATTATTTGTGGTTTAGGAAGCGAAAACTCCTCCTCCAGACGCATCGATGACTCCGAAACACCCACGCTGACGTCCAGCGGAACGTCAGCTTTTAGACTTCGCTCCAGACTAGCCAGAGATCTTTCGATCGGATCTATGTACTGTGACTGATCAACCTTGTCCAGGCCATTTCGCGGCTCCATTTTAACAGCCGGTTTCGGTTCCTCCGGGGTACGAACAACCGGGGCCAGAGGGGCGAGTGGTGCAAGAGAAGCTAAAGAAGAGTCGGGGACGACACTAGCTGCGGACGCGGCGGGAAGCGGCACGAGCGCTGGAGGCGCGGCCGACTCCTTGGGCTCAGGTTCTGACGGCGGCTCGGGCGCCACAAGAGGCTTAGCCTCGGCCACGGGTGGCGGAGCATTTTCGGCGGCGGTATGGCCCGAAGCAAGAGCTGATGCCGGCGCCGTTCCCGCTGCTACAACCGTTGCTGCTGCATTTACAGGAGCTACAGGTTTTAGCTAAAATAACAATAGTGAAGGGTTATAGCACTAGGATAGTCAATAATCAACGTATGTTTATGAACAATATTAGATATTTACGGCTTGTGGTGGGTGTATGTGCTGCTTCTTCGCCTTTTTTTTTGGGGGTTCTGCTGGGGCCAGTGCCTGCAAGTATATAAGAAAACACATAATAGGTAACAAATTCAATAGGTATTACCGACTATGGCACCATTAAATACTTAACTTGATGTAGCTGTATCGAGTTCTTAGTCCTTCACTTCTCTAATTCTCCATAATAGATAATGCAGACATGGAAGGAGAAGCCACGTGTTCACTGATACCTAGTACTCTTTCTCGTTTCGAGTAAATATAACAGCCTGCTTAAAAGAAAACCTTACTCCAATAGTTGTTAACATAGAATTCGCCTAATGTTCAGATCTCAGGGTTACCAAATGAAATTCAACATAAGTTACTTAAAAGATTTACTTAAATCATTATATATTTAAATATATACAAAGTTTATTTCCACTCGCTCTTATAATCTATTAATGTTTAAGTCATGAGTTGATTAAATCAATTTTACATAAAATTTAACACATAGTGTTTCAGTTTACATGTCAACTCTCTACACTAATATTACAAGTTACTGTTGTGTTGAATGAACTAATTGCACCAAGTGTACATACTATTTGCTTAAAGTGTTACATTTGATAGCTCAAATTCAGAACCCGTTAGAATACCTGAAACAGTTTCTTACAATTTTACTATTTTTATTTATTTTATAAACTAGCTACAAAATAAATAGTGACTTCTTATTTAGCAGACTATAACAATTGAGATTTATCAGTGCATCACTAACGGGCCCAAAAAGAAATTATGATTATAAAGTCTTGACAGATAATCTCTATAACTTATGTTCTGACAATGTTCTCGTTTGTTCAGCCCTTTCATATAGAAACGTTTCTCAATAAAATAATATGTTTACTACATACTAACTTATATTATAGATCTTTTGAAGCAACCTGCAATTGTACTTGATGAAAATATATACTGTAAGTAGTGGACTTTTGGTTAAAATGTAAGTCCTTACATAATTCAAACAAAATTTAAAATACTAATTGTTCTAGTCTGATTCCATTGAGCTAATTAATCTGAATAATATACTCTAAAATAAAATGTATATGGTAGATATGCATAAAAACTTTCTAAATAAGATGACAATAAAACACAAGTATACAAGTAAAATGCTCAACATTCCACCTACCAAGGTAATCGTAAAATGTGATGTACGTACAACATAAATAATTAATTTACAACCATTATAAATGAGTTCACCATTGGATCCTTTTAAATCTCTATCTGTGTGCAACCCAGCAGTTTGCAATCTAAACCATTTAAAAAATTCTAGTTAAATACAATATTTGTGAATTTTTTTTTCCATGTAATTTAAACTTACGAAATTTGAAAATAAACAAAATGTTTAATCAGCATTCAGTTTTTACAAATGCTACAAAGGCAATGCCTTTGCTGATGTTTAAAAAAGCCTAACGTAACATCTAAATAAGTAAGATTACCTAAATTAAATCTAATCTTCAAGACTGTAGTTTACAATATCATTATATAACATTATATACAGAAGTAACACAAGTAGATTTTGTTCCAATTTACTTTTAAATTACTAGGCACGACTTTTATACATGAAGACAACATATTACTAATAATAAATTAATCAGTTTTTGATGTCTGGCCCTTTAAATGTAACAATATTTATATTAATTTGATACACTTTCAAGTATGTAAAGCAATGCATCCATGTAAGTACTCCACATGCACGGGTGTGTAGAAAATACTACTTCCTTAATATTTGCATGATATCACAAAAGTAGTACCAAAAATCTGAGTTTACAAGTAGCCTTCCCTTTTTAATTAATTTCTTGTTTTAAAGAAAATACCATCTACACTGTACAATGCAAAACAATAATATGCCATATGGTTGGAGTAACAAGTACTATAGCATGCAACAGCTGAAATATACACAAGGACTATCCAGTGCCCATGACGAAATGTGTTGAAATATATTAAAATATTCGACAGTGTTATTAACAAAGTATGCAAACAATTTGTGAAGGAAGGAGGCCAGCCTTAGGTATTTTTATTTGAAAATATATACATTTCTGATCACACGTTGCACAACATTTTTGAGAGCAAGCATCAAAGTGTATCAAGCATTAAACCAATAAAACATACCTTTTCAGTAAAATATTTTTTTAACTACGACATGTCACAGAAATACATCCTCATTGTAACAACATGAGAAGTGAGACAATGATGGGCTAATTTTGCTTGCTAAGTTGGTATCCGTCCTTACACAATTGTTTGCATTATTCCCTACGTGCTGCGCGCAGAATCGCCAGCTGGTCTCGGTGCTCCTCTTCACAACACTGGACGTACCGACACTACTATATATCCTTGTTTCTTATCGTAGTTTCTAAGCCTCAATCATTATTATGTAGGTACTTCACACTCAAAAGCAATTAATTAGTAACCGTGAGATCTGAACTTTCGATAGAATTCTAAGAATATGTTTAAGGATGCAAATGAAAGAAAATTGCATTTGAGGACATGATATAGTTAAAAATATTAATGTGAAAAGGTATTTTCCTATTGGTTTATGAGTGTAAACCAAATAATTTCTCTTACCGGCACCAATATCAGAGTATCAGTAAACACCAAAGCTGGCTTCTCCTTCTCACTAACAACGGTTTTGTGCCTTTACCAACATTTCTTTTACTGCACAGCATATTTTGGACTTGTATTATACATATTGAATCATAATTCTGGTGGTAGCCCTCTCCAATATCACAGTAATGGAAATAATATTTACTCACAATCTTTCGTAATATTCACTCACACTCACAACACATATAGTTATGGGGATTTTAAGTGTTCAGTAATTTTCAACTTTTGTACCGGAGCCCTTTCTAACTTAGATATTCATACCATAGCCACAGAATCAAAATCATTATGCCCATTCACAGAAATAATTAGATGGGATAATCATGTCAACATCCTATCATAATTTCTTTCATGCAAATTGGCTAATATAAATAAGAAAAAACATACTCACATCATCCATCTCAACGTCACTTCCAATACCTCAGTTGAGGCACATTTAACATCCCATTTATCAATTATAAATATATGAGACAAAATTAGTGCCACAAATAAAAAAAAACTTTTTGAAGTCTCAATAATGAGTTCAATAAATACTATATAAATAACAGGAAACTATTTGTCACCCATGAGATATATACAAAAAATCATTTTGAGAACATAATTTCAAACTGAAATCACATTACATTCAAACATACATTTTTGTTTAATGTATCTTCATGAATTTCCAGCCATACTCTCGTCACACACTCTCTCACCAACATTAATTTCAGACTAGAATTAATTTTAGCTGTTATAATTGAATTTAAATAAAAAAGGGTGTTCAACTTGGTCATATTTTAAAAAAATACTGGCAAAGGTAAAAAACTTTCAAGTACCGTTTTAGATTTTTTTTAAACGCTAACAACCTATATGGTTATGTATTTATATCAAGCATTTGAACATATCCATACAAAGTGAAATATTCATCTTAATTTAAATGCAAGTATCATTAAAATATATTACTAAAACTGTAATTTACATCGTATGGTACAAAAAGGGTACCGCTGAGTGCTAAATTTGTGTCTGTCTGTGAAAAATGATAGTATTGATTACATAATTCGTCGACAATGTAATCTAACCTGCTTCACTATCACTGCTGTCCGAAGAACTGGTGTCGGTGCTGGATGACGAGTTGGATGAGTCAGATGAACTCGACGATGACGACATTCCGGCTCCCAAGGCCTCTTTACAGCCCTCTGGTAACAAATAATATTTATTAAAAAATACTCCCGTTATTCATGATAGTGTAATACGACGCAAAACATTTTAAATCCAAATTGGACGTATTGCAAAATTACGGTAGAGTTGCGGTTACACACCGGTATAGGAACGTTTTATTAATGAAGGTATGAACAATTAATCAGTTCTCATTTCAAATTATGTTAACCTAAGTTCGGCCATCTTTAAAGAGAGTCATTCATTATAATTGTTTACTATTTGTTGTCCGTGTGGTGACGGATTAAGAATACAGATTGTCAAAACCCCTATTCATCCCGTGGTTGTTGTAAGAGTCAACTAAGGGAAAAAACTACGCAGAACAACAACACTGCAGAGAGAAGGAAAACTTGACACAAACCATTTTTTTTTTTTTTTTTTTTTTTTAACGTGTGGAAATCCCCTCGGACCGTCACCCCTCCGGGGTTTGCGGCGGGGTGGTGTGTCGGACTCGGACCGACTAAAACCACACGGTGTGCCACTCTGCGCCTGTAACAGGAGGGATCCGGGAACAGCTGCAGACGTGCAGCCATGTACTATTCAAGACAAAACATGGAATGCGATTTCTTGGGCGCGCGGGATCGCGGTAAAATTACAAGATTGCTTCAACAGCAGTCCGATGTCTATAATGACCTCATAGACGAATGGCAGCAACGCTGGGACGAATCATCCAAGGGGCGCCATCTTTACCAATTTTTTCCATCTGTTCGCGAACGGTTGTCGAGGACATGGCTTGAGGTGGATCACTGTGTCGCTCAATTTCTTACGGGTCATGGTAACTTTAAGAGCAAGTTGTATTCATTTAAATTAGTCGAGTCACCATTGTGTCAATGCTCAACACCTAACTCTCATTATGAACAGTCTGCTCATCATATCCTCTGGGAATGTAGTCTTTGGTATAATGAACGTAATATAATGCTGAATAGCTTGCAGGTGACATCTGGGGCGGTATACTATGGGGATCTTGTGTCAACTAGAGTGAATTTCCGTGCGTTTAGGCGATTCTGCCATACATATTATAGAAATCAAATATAGCTCATGTAGGACCCGTAATATTTTGTGGCCGTGGTGCTTCCCTGTTTAAAAGGGTGTATGCCTATTTTACTTCATTTTGTCTCCCGCTTTGCTAAGGAGGGAAGTGGATTTACTGTATTTCCAACTCCTCCAATTTTCTTCTGATTAATTTCGTTGCGGGTTCCAAGACAGTTTAATTTCTTCCTGGGACTTCCCGAGTGTCATAACTCGGTGTGTTCGTGGGTCACTGCTGTGGATCCTGGTGTACAGGAGTTACAGTGGTGGGCGTGTGGGTGGGATTAGTCCCAAAAACGGTGTCCGGTGTCCGGCACACGCGGACGCCGCCCCCTCGCGGCTGGCCAACTAATGCGGGTGGAGGGGAAACCCACCCCGTCCACCCGCGGCCACACTCAGGGCGGCATGAGGCTGTGATAGCCGGGCCTCCGCCGCCCGGTTCGCCGGCGGCGGATCGGGTCCGAGTGGAGGTCGTCCTCCCGGGCCCTCTCCGCCGCCTCCTTCCGCGAGATTACTACCTCGCAGAAGGTTGCGACCGCGGTAAAACAACTGTCGCTACCGGCCATGGAGCGTACTACGGCCGGTAGCGAGAGATCCACTCCGATGACTGCAGTGAGGGCCCGGCGCTGCGCCGCCCATGCGGGGCAGACCGCCAGCGTGTGCTGGGCCGAGTCCTCACTGCAGTCGCAGTGGTGGCAGGCGGGACTCAGTTCCCTCCTAGCGACCGTGTGCAGGTACTTTCCGAAGCAACCGTGCCCGGAAAGCACCTGCGTCAGTCGGAAGGAAAGGGTCCCGTGCTGCCGCCCTGCCCACTCGGCGATGACCGGCTGGAGAGCCTCCACGGCGGCGAAGCCAGCGCGTGGAGTCTCCAGCCGGAACGACCAACGAGCCATCGTGGCTCGGCGAGCGGCTTCGCGCCACTCGCGCACATCCTCGGGCGGAGGGCGAAATCCGCTCTCCGCCCCGGTAGTCAGCCACTCGCCGATAAACTTCGGCGAGCACTTCCGCCTCCAAATCCCACGGGGGAGTTCCGGCCAACGCGCACGCCACCTCCGTCGAAACGGTGCGGTAACCGCGTATGGCTCTGACCGCCATTACCCTCTGAGGGCGCCAGAGGCGTACCCTATTCTGGGCGGTCAGAGCCGCCGCCCACACCGGTGCACCGTACAGTGCCATTGACCGGACAACCCCCGTGTACAGCCGTCTTGTCGCGACGCTGGGTCCACCCATATTGGGCAAAAGTCGCCCTAGGGCAGACGCAGCGCCGACCAGCTTTGGAGCAAGCTGTCGGAAGTGCTCGTCGAAGAGCCACCTCCCGTCGAGGATCAGGCCCAGATATTTCATCTGGGCCCGAACCGGTACGAGGACCGAGTTGACCACGATGGAGGCGCCAGGGGGTGGACCACGACGGGGCCCATGAAATAACAGGGCCTCCGTCTTATCTAGGGCCACCCGTAAGCCCAGCGCCTCAATGCGCCCGACCACCAGGGAGACTCCCCCTGTGGCCAGGCGCGCCGCCTCTTGGAAGTTTGCCCCCCGGGCTGTCACCAGGGTATCGTCTGCGTAACAGATTACACCCAGCCCGGGGGGGAAATCGGCGCGAAGGGCCCAGTCGTACCCTATGTTCCACAAGAGGGGTCCAAGAACAGACCCCTGTGGAACACCGCACGACATGGGCCGACACCTCAAATTACCTTCTCGGTCCTCGTACACGACGGTACGCTCCTCTAAATAGTCTGCCACTAGCCGCCTCAGGTACTTTGGCACCCCATGATAGTGGAGTGCTTCCCTGATGCAGCTGAATGGCAGACTATTGAATGCGTTGGCGATGTCCAGTGACACCGCCAACAGCACGCCGCCACAGCTCACGGCCTCTTCGGTCACGGCCCTCAGGCGCAACACGGCGTCGACTGTCGAACGCCCCGCCCGAAAACCAAACTGGGCGTCCGACAGATCGGGGCCCACCTCGCAGAGGTGCCGGACGATGCGGGCAGAAAGAACCCTCTCAAACAATTTGCCCGCCTCGTCCAGCAGCACGATGGGCCTATAGGCCGCGACCGAATCGGCTGGCCGTCCCGGCTTCCTCAGTAGGACCAGCTTCCCGCTTTTCCAGCACTCAGGGAAGCGTCCCGACGCCAAGCTAGCGTCGAACACCTCCCCGAGGCGGTCTGCCATGTGGTTGAGGGCCAGGGCCAGCACTCGGGCCGGTACCCCGTCTGGCCCAGGGGCGGTGTTCTTGGAACGGATCCGTAGAACAGCCGCCCCTACCTCCGAATCCCGGACGGGCGGAACATTGTCCTCCCCGTGCTCCCCGTCGTCTCCGGCCAGGGAGGCCATCGACGGGGGAGTGTGTTCCGCTCGTTGTGGGAAAAGGCCCTCAACCACTTCTCGCAGGAAGCTGGGCTGGAGAGTCTCCGTAAGGGGGGGGCCCGACGCGCGGAGCTTTTGTCGCACCGCGCGGTAAGGGCGACCCCAGGGGTCACGATTAAGACCCTCCAGCATCTCCTGTCTCTTTTCCTCTTTGGCGCGGCTAATGGCCAGCTTCAGAGTTTTCCGCGCCCGCCGGTACTCCTCATGAAGCCGGTCCTCCTCACCGTCTCCACGGTGACGCCGCCGACTGCGTGTGTAGGACCTCCGGGCACGTGTACAGGCCGCACGGAGGTCCGCCAGCTCCTGGGACCACCAGTAGACCTCCTTCCTTGGAGGCCGACGACCTCGAACGCGGGGCATGGCCGCATCGCATACATGCGTAATCGCATCGCGAAAGCGGCCAGCCCCCACGTCGACCTCCTCGGTCGGAGCCTGAGGAGACAGCCACGAGTGAATTATGGCTGCCTCCTCTAGTAGGTCCCGGTTCAGCCTGGCAACAGCCCACCGCGGAAAGCGGGATAAACGCCGCGCCACGTGACCCCTACTGGAGTCCTGGGTCCGGGAGAGCTCAAATCGGATATACAGGTGATCCGAGAGCGTCTCAACCTCTTCCAGGACACGCCAGTTCCTTACTCGTGCGGCGAGGGCAGGGGTAGCGAACGAGAGGTCCACTATCGACCCCCCCTGCTGTCGCACGCACGTGTTGGTGGAGCCTCTGTTTAGAAGACAGAGGCCCACCGAGGCCGCCCACTCCTCTACGGCCTCGCCCCTGGCGTCCGCCCTGGGGGAACCCCACGCAATGGACTTTGCGTTGAAGTCCCCCAGCACAAGGACGTGCCCAGACGCTAGTCGCCGTATCGAGGTCTCCAAGCTGATTAGGAAAACCTCGAAGTCGTTCAAACTCCGGTTGGGGGAGAAATAGACACCATATATGGTGATCCCCCCCCACTCGACGGCAACATATCCAGTGCCCTTGTCTCTTAGCGACAAGGGCGGGGAATGAGCCGTCGTGGAACCGACGACTGCCACGGAGCCGTCCCAGTCACCCATCCAGTTTGGACGGGGAGGGACAGAATAGGGCTCCGCGACTACGGCAACACCTATCGACCACTGTGCCATGGTTTGCAGGAAGAGATCCTGCGCCGCGGCACAGTGGTTCAGGTTCGTCTGGACCAGGAGGTTGGAGACTTGATCCATTACTGGATCGTCTCTACAACCTCCTCCATGGGGACACAAACCCTATACCAACCCGTCTGGCCAGCGTGGTATAGTAGGCCAAAACCTCCTTTCTAAGGAGAGGCTTATGTCCAGCAGTGGACTATTAAAGGCTGTTGATGATGATGATGACTATTTGTTCTCCCTAAAAAATATTAAGTATACTTAACTATGGTTAAAAATCATAAAACTTTTTTTCTCCATAGTGGGTTGACAATAAGAGAAAAAGATAAACCATACACATAAATCAAGATAAAGTAAGAATAAATAACAACACTTAACACACTAGAGAACAACTTTTAATCGTCATTCGTAATTTACTACAAACGTTTTTATTCTCATACTAGCAATGCCCAGAGGAGCTAATCCAGGTATGACCTGGATTAACTATATCTATCTGTATACCAAATTTTATCCAAATCCAGCCGTTTTAGCATGAAAATAACACATACGCAGTAGATAGCGTGGGATAAGTGAACGAGAGTTCATTTTTTTTTCAATATTTCGGGTAACTGACACACTACCCCATTTTCAAACCACTCACTGTTTCAGACTAAGAAGAGCTTGTACTATGAAAGTTGAAAGACTGATGGAATACTTACTTTCTTTTTTATAGTTACATAGTACATATAAAACATTATGTTATAACATATTTTCTACTAACTGAACGACTTTGAAAAAAGAATATAAAAAACCGTCATTGATGCCAGCTTCAAGTTTGGTAGCCCCAAACTGGGTAGTGGTATAGGCTCTGAGTTGACGAATCAGTCAGTCATGGCGAATAATTTTATAATATGAATAGATTTTATTGTTAAAAACAAATGTCAAGGTAATAATAATAGTTAAGTTTTAGACTAACCTTTCTTCTGCTGTTGTTTTTTATTTGCTCCAAGTTGTCCAGATACATCTTGTAACCGTTTTTCTAACTCTTGTTTCTTTTCTGCCATTTGTTCATCCTTAGATTTCCCAGATACTTTACGATCTGTTACACAAAATTGTAGATCTTATTTTTTTTTTTTAAATTTATAATAAAAAAACTATAAACAATAATTTGGCTTCACCAACATTATTTGCCGATGAGGATAGGAGGGTAAAGGATAATAGAAATAGGATGTTGAAGTAAATATCTTGCCCCCGTAATAAATCAATTACGATTATAGAAAAGCAGTCTGTACTGTAACATTACTTACATACCTGTAGGCACAGAAAAACTGTCATAAACCCGATTGACTCGTAACATAGGCTCGTGTCAAATAGTAACAAAGGCTACAGATGTAGGAAAGGAAAGAATGTGATTAAAGGAAAGGTAAATAATGCTGGATTCACTCACAATAGGGCTTACGTGTCTTTTTCCGAAGACATGACGCAACATAGTTTTCTAATTCTCGAAGCGTAGATGGTTTCAACGTTTCAAAATCAATTTCTATTTCATCAGGGTTAGAGTCTCGCAATGAGGGTTCTCTACTCTGTATGATGTGGACAACTTTGCCAAGTTTGTCACCTGATTAAACAGAAAAAAAAATTAGTATGAATAAAAAATATATAAATATTAGTATCGTAGTTTCATGACCGTTTCCATGATATTTATTAATTTACATTTTCACTTCCTATTGGCTTATAAATCCTTAGAAAAAGTTGTAAAACCATTTTTTTTATTTGAATAAACTTAAAAGAAAAAATAAATCAAATTGAGAACCTCTTAATTCACCTTTTATGATCAAGACATCTTTGCAGTTTAAAAACCAATTTCAATTCTAGTTTCAGAGAAGGGCCTCATGATTTGGATTCTATTGTCCATTCAATGATTACTCCTATTGTCTGTATCGGAGGTGAAACTTAATTGAGAGTTCTCAATTAAGGCCATGTGCAGTGTATGTTGATATTTTTAATTAACATTATGTTCTATGTTTGGCTGAAGACTTTTTTGGATCCCATTCCTCGAAAGGAAGAAAGGAACGCTTGAAAATATTAAGTTAGAGATTAACATGCCATTTGGAAAATTGAACTTGAATTTGTTTTTTTTTTGGGAAGACAGCTAATAGTCTTTATGAATCGATTCCGGAGAAAAAACTATATTTACAGTAGTTATGTGTATCTGTATCTATGTAACAGTATCTTTGAACGTGATTATCACCCACTTTGAAACGTCGGATTAAATTCAAACTTTGCATACTTAAAAAGGCCCAATGACTAAAACTATTATTTTGTATGTTTTTTATAATTTATTTATCAAGTGTAGCCAGTCACTAGACAAACTCAATATCTTACCACTTTCTCTAAATAAAGTGTCGCTTATTAATCTAAACTTAACATGGATGCCATCTCGTGTATTTGGAAGCATCCATTGAACAACTTGATAAACATACCAGGCAGTTTGTTTATATCGAGGGAAAGCTGTCTTTTCTCGTCGTAGGACATAGGCTTGGCGACATCCTCGTCGTCCGAGTCGGGATGCGGGGGTTGGTGCGGCAGCGGCGCTGCTGCGGGCGGCGCGCTCTTCTTCTTGGCGGGAGCGGCCGCGCGCGCGCCCGCCTTGCCGCCGGCGCCCGTGCCTGCGCCCCCGGCCGCGCCGCCAGCGCCGCGTTTGCTACCCGTCTTGCCTCGTGCACCGCTGTTCGCTAAACCGCAATCACGTACAAGTTAGATCGATCGCTACGGTATTCGTCATAACAGCTACTGCATATTTTACTTCTTTCTCTTCTAACTCGTCTAATTTCGAAATGTTATTCATAGACGGCATTATTTGTAATCCGTCGAATAATGCTTTCACGCAAGAGAAACGTGACAAAATTCGTCAATCTTTAAATTTTGGGGCCGGTATCGTGACCGGTTCAACTTAAACTAGAAACTGATGGCTTGAATCATGTTACTAATAGTTTGATAAAGTTCAACAAAACATCCCAAGTTTAATAAAATATAGTCGAAATACGACCACCAGGTCGCCATCGATCTCTATAAATATACAAAATTGTGCTAATTGGACAATTCTGTTTCTTAAGTTATGTTGTTAGTTAGTATTGTTACTTCTCACTTTTTTAAGAAATGAGTATACTTGACACCAATAAGACTAAACTGCATTCCAAATAAAACCTAAAATTTATAAAATTTGTTATTAGAAAGAACTCTAGTCACAAAGAATTTTAACAGGTAACCAAGCCTATACAAAATACCTTATAATGTAGTTTAAACAGACTACTCTACACATAAAACTATAAATAATACATACCTAAATTTTCTGCAATATTATTTGCTTTCGCGGCATACGCTGCAGCTGCATTAGTCTTAGGAACGGTATTATTTGATATTGACGGCTTTTTGGTTTTATCTTTTACTTTTTTCTTAGCCTTCTTTTTAGTATTAGACTCCTCTACTAATTTTCTCATTTTCTCTTGTAATGCAAGCAACTCTTTTTCAAGGAGCTTAACTTTATTATTTCTCTCCTCTTCAGAATCATCTGATTCCGACTCAGACTCGGATCCTGATTCTGAGCTGGATGCAGAGCTTCCCTTATCCATGTGGGGTACTCCAACATGAATGGGTTCATCAGGAATCTTTGCATACCTATAAAATATATTTATATAAATAGCCCAATTGGTATAATTATGTTTGTATTTAAGTATATACATATGACTCTTTACATTTGATCTGGGTGGGTTCCAGCCTACAACATCTGTAGTAAATGTAAAGTAAATGTCAGTTGCAGACTGCTATTCCATTTAAACCAGTATAGGCTGTCACTGAATTTATTTTAACTGATAGTAGATGCACTTGGGTTTAATAGTAGCAATAATATATTGATCTTACCTCATTTCGAAGACATCCTGTAATTTTCGAGCCATTGCAACAACATCATGATCCGGTGGATTGTACTTATAGCAATTTGTAAATATTAGGCGTACATCAGCGGCAAATTCAGCGGCTGTTTTATATGCCCTATTGTCCATCTTTTGCTTAACCGTTCCTAGGTCCATAGGTTTTTTGATAATATCGAAATAGTCATGAAGTCCAAGTAACTCAGCATCTACAGGTTTATAGAATGGCCATGCATATCCCTGTCAATGGAGATAATATTTATTAAATATGCTAAATACATATAGATATGATATAACGATTGTCGCTTATTCCTCATTAAAAAAACTTACCGAATGTTTTTTAGAAAATAATTCCTTTAAAATTTCATTACAACTTTTTAAAGCATCCGAGAGTTTCTCTTTACTTTTAGCTAACTGTGGGGTCATGCCAGAGTGGTGTGAAGCACCTGCACCACTCGGAGATAAACCTCCCATTTTAAAGCTCTCATCACCTGTTCTACTCGCCTGTAGAAATGAAATAAAATTAAGGAGAAACAGTTTCCTACACATAAGTAGAAAGCAACAATAAAGTCAAAAAGTTGTCAAAGCAAAAAAAACTTATTTATTACCTTTTTCTGGCGACCACTTTCTCTTCTGGTGGATATTTTTGCAGGTTTAGGACCACTTTGTTGATCGATGGTGGGTGTGGTGTAACCACCTTCAAACGAACTGCCCATGGGTGTAGTGGTATCGGCTTTTCTTTTGACACCCTTTTTCACCTACAAAATGTATTTTATATAATTAATTATAAATTAACCTTCGATTCAATAAATTTTACATAAAATTCTAATAAGTAACCTTAGCCGGTTGAGTTTGCGATAGCGTAACTGCCGGTATAGCTGTAACGGGAGGTGGTGCAGCGGGCTGGGTTACGTGAAAATTAGTCGGTTGTGTCGCAACCTGAAAAATTAAAAATAATTAAAATTATAACATCGCTGTCATCCAGCACCTACTCGCCTGCTTTATTCGTTTACTTCTTTAAGAAAGTAAGCAGATGCATTAAAAAGATGTAAACAGAACTCAAGTTCGTACGAGTTGTAAAATGTCATATTAAATATCGGCAAGTTCGGCGGGTATTAACTGGTATAAGAAAGCATATCTTGACGAGATTCCCGTGGGGGAAACTGACGGCACCTTGTGAAAAATAAACATATTACTATAAATTTTAATTGTTTTGAATTTCTAAATGATTCGTTTTTTTAAGGAATCCTTGGAATTTTTTTGTAAAAGGTAAATTTAGCATCTAAATGTGACATAAATATATCAGCAGCATTAAGCTGATATATTTATTCTGTATGAGTTGACCCGATGAACTTCGTTGCACCTAATTAATCTAAATACGCGACAATAAGAATATTGTTGATTCGAAATCCTTATTTAATTTCGATATCTAAGTTTAAGGTACTGACTTATGGGGTACATTGGTACACCAAATATGAGACAGGTACAAAAATCTTGTATGGCTTATTTTTTGTAATTTTTCCAAATTGTCTCACCGTTTAAGCTTTCCCTGGACTTCCACAAATATTTCAAGACCAACATTAGTGAATCTGTCCAGCTGTTCCCGCGTTTTGCTGAGACTAACGAACAGCATTTCATTTTTGTATATAAGAAGATATATAACGACAACAAACATTAACATATGGCCTAATACTATGGAAATAACTGAAATATTTCTCCATGTCCATGTGGTGACAGATTAAGAACACAGAGTGTCACCCCACCCCTATTCATCCCGTGGTTGTTGGCAGAGCCGCCTAAGGAAGCAAAATACGCAGGACAACAGCACTGCAGAGAGAAACAAAACTTGACACAAACCCTCTACCAACACGTCTTACCAGCGTTGTATAATAGGCCAAAACCTCCCTTCTATGGAGAGGCCTATGCCCAGCAGTGGACTATTAAAGGCTGTTGATGTGATGATGACATCTCCACTTGTTTGACATTAGTGGTAATGAATCAGGCAGATGTTATTAAAAACTGTTGACACTGCCAATGCACTAAATTGCATGGAACATTCCCAGTATTAGGTAGTATAATGAGATATTAGTGTTGCTTGTGTCATCTGTAAGTAACACTATATCGTTCACATTTTATAATATATACTAAAACCAAAACGGAACCCGTGGAATGCTAGAGAAACGCATGTATACCGTCTCACATCTATGTATATACACATCACTATACCTTTAAATAACCTGTAAACTTCACAACTTGCATTTTAAACATACCACCATTTGTCATAAATGTGTGATATAACTAATAATATACATCATAGGTTATAAACTATCTGTGTATTTATGGACCTCTGTATGTATATATTGTGTATGATGTATGTGTTAGTAGTATGTATACTGTAACCATATGTAATAAGTTTATGTATTATTAATTACTTAAGAGTTATGACAATATATAAACGTACCGAAACAATAATTTTTGATATTAAATAAGAGCAAATTAAAAAGTGAGAGGAGTTCGTGTTTAGAAATTTCATAATTTAAGAAAGGAAAAGTTATCTAAGTCACAACAATGATATAAAGAGCCAGTACTGTATTCACCTGTTGCGGCAACCCGGTATGAGTAGCGGGTGGTGTGACGGAGGGTGTGGTGATGGCAGGAGTGGTCGTGGTATTGGTGGAGCCTACAACCGCCGGATGCGGTGTAGGTGGCAAAGCCTTGACCGCGGGCCTGGATGCCGGCACCGCTGGCGTAGTTGGTGTTCCACCCACAGTCGCACTAGGGCCTCCAGTGCCACGCTTTTTCACTACACCTTTGGCACCTTTTGACGGCGCTTCAATTTCCTTCTCCTCTTTGTCCATTTGTGCTATCTGTCAATAATAAATTTAATTAGAACTGCATCAAAGCCATTCCAGTGATGTTCGTGTGAACTGTTTTAGCAATATAAGTGCAGTCAAATAAGCATTAGTAGATTAGATTTAAATAATCATCTCTTATAAGACTCTGTTCGTAAAGTGTGTGAAGCGTTAATATGGCCAGCAGTACACTATAAAACATTTAAACATCTTTTTTTCTCAATCAATTCAGGTTCATTTTTGGAACGAAATTCCTTATCGCGCGTTACACGAATAATGTGTAACAAGATTTTTTTCCGACATTTCTTGCGGGAACTTTGTTTCGACCGGGGGTCCATAGACCCCTCATGCCGTTTATTAGTTTTATCTCATCATATAAACTGTATATATGTATAATAAATGTATGAAACAAACAAAATACATTCTATGAGAGAAATGATTTAAGATATTTTATTTTGGTGGAATCCTTTTAACCAAATCATGCATTTTCGCGTTGAATACGCGATTATGTGACCGAATGTATGGTAAATCAAAAAACTAAAATAATCTAAAGAGCCAAGCAGGTGAATGTCTTTCACAAAGTGCGCGTTCTTCTTGACGAGCGTTTAACGACCGTCATCTGAATAAGGCCTAAGGTCTGACACAGGTTGTCATGCTGTATGTTTCATATATAGATTTATCATTGTGATATTTTTTACTTACCCTGTTTAAAAACAATTTCTCCAGGGTTTGTGCCATAACCACCACATCCTCGCCCGGCTTATTGTAAACATAACAATTGGTGAACATAGTGTTGAAGTCTTGAATGCATTCCTGAGCTGAATAGTAATAGTTGGATTCAAGACGTTTCTTAATTGTGCCTAAATCCATAGGCTTCTTAATGATTTTGTGGTAATCCTGAAATGTAAAAGTTTGTACCAATCTTTTTCTATTCTGGTTTTCTAGCTGTATGTGTAAAAAAAACAGTAGTTATACATACAGGAAGGTTTAATTTCTTTGCATCTACAGGTTGGTGAAAAGGCCAAGCAAACTGATGTTTCCATACTGCTTTCATTACATTCTTTTGTAGAAATTGCAGCTGGTTTGTTATCCGCCCCTGCCGACGTGCCGACTCGTCAGGCGGAGCACCGTTTACGGGCTCCGCCGATGGCTGATAGATAAAAAAATAATGGATATGATGTTCATTATCAGAAAAAAAATAATTAAGATAATTTATTTTATATAATGATATGAAATAAATAAACTTACCGTGCTTGTGGTCGCAAGAGGATCGACTGCCTGCTGCATTGTGCTGGAGTCAGCAATCTACCTGCCAAAATGACACTATCACTGTAGTAATTTATAAACCATAAAACAATAACAATAGGAGCCATCAAATAACTCTCACCTCAATTGTAACAAGAGGCTCATCCAATTTCTGACTAAGAGGCATCAGCTAAACCCTCTTATAACACTAAACCATTTTATCATAATATGAATATATGTTGGTGCTTATGCACCTAGAAGCAGGTCATCCCATATGGACAAATAAATATCATACCTGAAAAAAACATTGACGATTTGACATAAAGCTAAATTATGTTCTAAAACATAATTCTCTTGTCTAAGATAACCATGTATTGCATAAAATGTAAATTGGTTTAAATATCAAATATTATACTAATTTCAATTTGTTTGAATTGCCACTTACAGACCAAATTATTTATTTGTCTTCTTTAAATATTAATAAGGTGTTTTACCTTGCATCAGATTGCAGGGTTCCGAAATACTAAAGCACCAATGGCTATGTATTAACAGCAAGTCTTCAATACCTGAAACAAAACGAAACTACATTATTAAAATGAAGTAGGACAGGTGATATTGTATTAAATAATTAAATTTTGACATTTATTGCAATGCATTGAACACAGAATTTTAAGTGCATTAATGTAAATAGATTTAAGAACTGTAAATTCTTAAAGAATCTTTTATGCAGTTGCCTATAGTAATACACATGGTTTTCAATTTATACAGCTATAAAAAGAACATCTCTTAGTAAGAGGTTTAATGCCCAGAGGTGCAAATTCCGACAGACCAATATTACTTTCATTAGACTAACATTGCTTTTATTTATACTTAATAGTACTAGAAGAGAACAAACGTAAATTGGTTTAAGTATATAATAAAGTAAAAGTATTAATATTGTACTAATTTCAATTTGTTTAAATGATCCAAAAATCAAATCAAAACACCAAATGATATGACAATACTTAAGAACAAATTTGATCTTCTATTAGTTAACCTTTGCTTTGAGCAACCTTTCAGAAAGTAGGTGTAAGTTAATTAAAAACTATTATTAAAGTTGCTTTGCAATGGACAACTCTTAGAGGTTGTGTTTGAATGGTTAGTCTGATGTAATTAAAGAGCTAACTTGTGTAGTCATGTAGACTACACATCTGACTACAAATAATTTTCATATTTTTTTTTAACAAACTGATTTGCCTTACCCTGACAAAGTTCAATATTGATCCCTAAATATATATCAGCTTTAATGAACTTACACATTGTAACACCAACACTTAATATAATAGCAACTTCATCCTCATCATTGCTTTGTTTACAAACATGTGTTGTAATTATGTCTATTATTCTTTTAAATATGGCTCTATTTAAGTGGACATATTTGTATCAAAATCGACCACACACAATGAGAGTATAACCGACATGATCTGTTATCAGCCTTACCAAGCTCGTCAAAATTTAGTTTCGCGATACAAAAAAGTAAAAAGTATGTAACTATTAAGCTCGCAACAAATAAACCAGAACCCAGGTAATTCGTTGCAGTGAAATTTTATATTTTATTTACAGTTATATGACTATTTGTGCCAATTGAAAAGGTTTACATGGGTCAATAGAATTGCAATGGACCATGTTGCCTGTTCGGAACAGGCTTTAAGATATAGCTCCTTATCTTTTATAATTTATTATAAATTAGCTCACTACATAAGTTACAGATGTCAATAACATCTACTAAAATTGAATTATCCTAATGAAATCACAAACATTTCTGCCGCATATATATGACTTCATAAAACCTTTAATGTATATGGTTAAGTTAGTCTTGGGATTGATGAATGTACTTAGGTAACCACATGAAAGGACATAGTAAATATGCTATGGTATATTTATTTTTTAATATAGGACTACTTTAATATACTAGGATGATGTCCATTGCATGTAACCTCTCAACTTTCAACATTTTGATACTTTCATATGAGTTAGATACACTATTGCACCATTGCAGCCATGCATTACCTGTAGATATAAATTTGACATGCAGCCTATAGATCAAAGTACTACTACAATCATCCACAACATCTAAATAGCGTGTTCCATGGCAAAATATAATAGGCATATTGAGTCACAAACAATATACATAGCAGAACGACGCTCAAGAGACTGTGTAACTGGTCTAGAACGTTCTTTAAGCAAAGTTATGTATTTTCAATATTTTCAGGTATTAGGTTAAAAGGTAGTTATATTAATAAAAAATAACAGATTTGGAACGAATATATATTTGAATATATTATTACGGATAAAAATAATGTCAATACAGCGTTCTTCCTTAAAGCTATTTCATTTTATGTGAATACGCACCAGTACAATAAAACCAGTATCTACAAAACTATGTTTCTAAAACATCAGTCAAAACCAATAATAGTCAACAATGCAAATATTAGTTTCAATCCTATACCATCGAAATTAAAACAACGCTAGTGACTAGAAATAAGAGAAAATTGCCTTAAAGAGGCCATGAACAAAAAGTCGAAATATTGCTTAATACAAGCAACATGCACTCTCTACTTTAATGTATTAAGTAGCCCTAAGAAAATAGCAACAAAATAGTATAAAAATTACTTCAAAATAATACCAGTAAAGCTAAAAATTATGAAAAAAGACTTACGAAGAAATATTAACGCCAATATGGCGGATGAACTAAAAATACGATGTTAGAGCAACTTCTTCAAACGCAAAATGTATCGATTTGCTCCAATAAAACAGTCACTCCACACAAGAAACTAAATCATACTTATTTAATATTCATATAAATTCATCGTCTTAATACAACTAAAATCACTGAATTCTATAAACATTAAAGAGTAGCACAACACGACCTCCGAAGACACAACGAACTTCAGACATGGCGGCCAAACAAGACCAACAATGAAGAGCGTCCCTAAGCATAGTCAAATTTTCAATTTGCACTGGAAAAGAAAATTCTAAAAATCAGCATAAGAAAGTGTTAAAGACGAGAATATTTTAATTTATCATATAAGCAATTTCCAGGATTCCATGTTAATCATAGGATTGATAGCGATAGTTCTCTATTCTTAAAATTCTTTGGAGATGTACCAGATGTTACTCAAGTAAAGGGCCAAAAAATTTAATTGGTTGATGCAAAGTTCAGGGTTGCTAGATTAATAAAAATGACCACTGTTAAAAGAAATTAAGCTAGATTTAAGAAAAAATGGTAACCCGATAGACAACAATTTGCTTGTTTAAAATATGTATTAAATTTTTTGGTTGCACCTCGGACAAAAGGTGAAAACCTCTTAGTAGATGCATCTAAACGGGTACGGAGGCACGATGCGACATTAAATATTTAGTTCTTTATAAAATATTAATCAACAAAGTTTAGAAATTATAAAATATTTTGTTTTTTTCAGGTTCATTTTTGGAACGAAGTTCCTTATCGCGCGCTACACGCTCTGAGTAAATGGGAGCGAGATCAATAAATGTGTAACAAGCCTTTTTTCCGACTTACGGATCTTCGTTCTGACCGGGTGTCCATTGACCCCTCACGCTGTATTAGGTATACTTATTTTGTATTAAATTATTAACACATAATTTTAATCACCTGTTTTATTTTAAATCTTAAATAGTTCGTAAAAACAAAATCATTGGAATTTTATTTAAGTACATGGTTCGTTATGGTTTATTAACATGGCAACTTCTGTGTATAATTTTAAAACTAAACTTCTGCAGTATCTTTATTATTACTGTACTCTGTGGTATCTTTTACTGCACAGTGCAGCGTCCGCACAGCGATTTTTCACCATGCGTTTTTTCGCAAAATTCTGTGATACGGGATCTATATATCACTATCCACACTGTTTGTAATAAATAATGTCATAACTTTATAAGAAACTTACAAAAAAGAAGTGCAATTCCACCAAAACCATTTTTTTTTTGTATTTTTATGGGCCACCAAAACCATTTTCCTGTAAAATGTTGCCAAGACGAGACCATAAATATGTCTCGTAATGTCAAAAACTTATCAGATCTCATGTAGAACCTACCCCACCCCAGCCTGCAAAATAATAATATTTGCAATAAAAAAAATACTAATCGATAGATTTTCAATAGCTCAATTCGACTACGTTGTCCTTTAAAATTGCTCACCTTAAATTATTTAATTAAAAATCAATAAAGTCGTTGAAAAAAAAAACATTTATCCGTACTTTCAAACTCCTATATCTTTAGAGCCTAACTCTGAACGCCCTAACTCACAAACTCTACTCCTTAGTCAAAATATGTGGCTCGACCGTTTCGTAACCATCACGGGCGTTTGGTGAAAAATTTATTTGCTACTTATTACTTTTCTGTTGTACAATAGTTCTTGTAGTAGCGAAACGGCCAAGCCACATATTTTGACTAAGGTGTACAGTTTAATATCAAACTATTACTGTTATTAGTCGAAGTGTTATTTAGCACTACATAGGTAGTATCCCCACTATAGGATCAATAATGCGATGACTTTCTAGATACAAAATTAAAATACTTTATTTATTTATATCATGTTTACTACTACTGTGTGAAAACTGTCTTATTATTAAAGTGGACACTCAATAAGGACTATTGATCGTTTAGTTGTCAAGGTCTCGAAAATAATAATAGGATTTTACTCAATTTGAGTAAAATTCTGAAAATATATTATTGAGAAACGAAAAACCAAAATTATTCACAATATTAAAATAACAAAATGTATTATAATATTCTACTATATTCACAAAACGCCATCTAGTCCCAAAATAAGCAGAGCTTACTATGGTACAATAAAGTAAGTAGGCATGGGACAAAATCACAGTCTACTGTGATTTATCGATCGATTTTTTTGTACGTAGGTTAGGGTTGCTAGTTAGGTAGGTTAGGAATGGTACGAGTAGCAAAATAATTACTAGATTTACCGTTCAAAACTCGAAATAGGGTCTTTATGCATCGTCTGAAAATTGCTTATTGGCAACAACGCGTGAGTAAGTAGTAACCCTAACCTACGTACGAAAAAATCGAATGATAAATCACCGGTCTTCCACAGTTTACTGTGGTTTAGTCCCGAGCCTAATAGTAAGCTCTGCTTATTTTGGGATGAGATGGCGTTTAAGTATATAAATATGTATTTATATCAGAAGGCCAATTCTCGTAATAAAAGTTTGGTCACAATTTAGTTCCAATCAACTTTCGATCTCACAACTGTCATAAAAGGTATTTTAGAAGTAAAATAGTAAAGTCGGAGATTTTATTTACTTATCATTATTGAGGTGCGGTTGACTGCCTTGTTTGTACGGGCTTAAACAGCAATATACATAAATCTGTAAAACTGGAATCGATTTGTAAATATAAAGATATTGTAGCATTCGATTTCGTTGACCTCCTTATTCTTCAATCTGTGAGAACTGTCAAACGGTACCTCGTCTTAGATTAGATATATTATAAGTACCTTAAAGTGACCGATAGACGTATTAATTTTAAAGTCGTGATTCGTTAATGTAGAATGTAGGTACTCAGCACTCAGTTGCTCATGTTCTACTCCAAGACAGCTGTATATAAAAGGGCACCTCAAAAGTATTTTCAAACTAAATTATTACAGTATTATTTATTTGGTTATAATGAATAATCAAAATCCCTTGCAAGTTTGTCTACCTGCATCCAACGAGAAAATCACAAATAGAAGTGGGAGACCAACAATGACAAATATGATTAAATTTGGACCACAACCCAAATCTATAATAATAGCTCAAATACTAAACGAAAGGAAATCTATAAAGGATATTGGTACTATAGACAATGTTTCCAACTTAAATGATCAATCAGAAGATTGTCTTGAAATTGAAAATTCGGAAGACAATATAATTACATGTTCCTTTTGTTCTCATAGGTAAGTTAGTGTTTAGTCCTTTCTTTCTCAGCCTGTTAAGAATTGTTAATTCTCGTACATATTAATTTTTATAGTACTAGGTTAAATTTGAAGTGCACTACATTTAGTATTATCTGGTCACAAACAGTTTTAACGTCACCAGTGTTATTCACACTTGCCAACCCTATCTTAATGCATTCATCAAATTTAGCAACATGCAATTACTTTTATTGACCTTTAAACTGAATAGTTGTATCTCTTTTCTTCAGGAGCTTTTAACCAATTCCAAAAAAGAGCACGTTGAGAACGAATAACGAATAAAATTGAAAACTGATATATACAACATTTTTATTATCTATGTTATGATATCTGTGCAATTTCAAGATTTTTGTTTTTTAAACCATTTTTCTTAAGGTTGATCTCATATAAAATTAAGAGGAAAAAAATTACAGCTTACAATTTCTCATTATAATAAGATAAATTAACAAATACACTTGCAAACAAAGAATTAAACATTCTTGTTGAATTGTTTGTTCGTGAGTTTTGACACCCCTCTCTATCTATAATTCTTAAGCCATAGTTCCTGCTAGACACTGCATTACATAGTATAAAATAAAGTTGCTTTTTTGTGTTGTACGCTTAGATCTTTTAAAGTAAGCAACGGATTTTATAGCGGTTTTCACAAATAGAGAGAGTGATTAAAGAGGAAGGTTATTTGTATAATGAACACGTGAATAGAGAATGCAACTTTGCATGATTTGTAATGCTGCACCTGTAATAGTAGGGATCCCAGTACTGCTGTTATTACGACCTCCAGACCCTTCTTAGCGCCTGCCTGCAACCGTGCAGGCACCACCTTCGGGTATGTTCTCTATTTAGGAGACATTTGGCACGCGCGGACGTCGCCTCCTCGCTCTTATGACGGGTGGAGGGGAAAACCTGTCCCGTCCACCCGCGGCCACACTCAGGGCGGCATGAGGCGCAGGTAAACGCGCCTCCGCCACCCGGGTTATCGGCGGCGAATTGGGTCTGAGTGGAGATTATTCTCCCGGGCCCTCTCCGCCGCCTCCTGCGAATGAACGTCTTCGCAGAAGGATGCGACCGCGGTAAAACAACTATCACTACCGTCCATGGAGCGTATGACAGCCGGTAGTAAAAGATCTCCCCCGATGACTGCAGTGAGGACCTGGACGCTGCGACGCCCAAGCCGGGCAAATTGCCAGCGTGTGCTGAGCCGACTCCTCACTGCAATGACAGGTGACAGGCAGGACTAGTTCCTTCCTAGCGACAGAGTGCAGGTACTTTCCGAAGCGAACGTGCCCGGAAAGAACCTGCGTCAGTCGGAAGGAGAGGGTCCCGTGCTGCCGCCCTGCCCATTCGACGATGACCGGCTGGAGCACCTCCACGGCGGCAATACCAGCACGTGGAGCTTCCAATCGTAACGACCAACGAGCCATCGTGGCTAGACGAGCGGGTTTGCGCCACTCGCGTACTTCTTCGGGTGGGGACCGACTGCCGTTAACCGCCCGGAACTTAGTCGTCCGCCGATATACTTCGGCGAGCACTTCCGCCTCCAAATCCCACGGGGAAGTCATAGCCGCTGCCCACACCGGTACGAGGACCGAGTTAACGGCGATTGAGGCGCCAGGGGGAGGACCACTACGGGGCCCATGAAATAAGAGGGCCTCGGACTTGTTCAGGGCCACCCGTAAGCCCAGCGCCTCAATGCGCTCGAACCACCAGAGAGAATTTGGAGGTGATCGACCACCAGAGAGACCCCTGGTAGCCAGGCGTGCCGCCTCTTGGAAGTTCACTCCCCGGGCTATGACATATCACTAGCGTTAGGCCAACATAGTCCCATATTCCAATGCGAATGTGTGGCAATAACTTATGCCGCTACAACGACCCTGTCAAGGGGTATCAAGGACTATAACATCCGAATACTATCCGACAGCATGGCCGTCCTAAAGGCACTAGAGGGCAACACAATGACCTCTGGTATTGTCTTCAAATGCCATCAAGCATTGGAGCAGCTTGCCACATTAAATGTGATACTCCTCCAATGGATTAAAGGACACAGTAACTCACACGGGAACGATGCCGCAAATGAGTTGGCAAAGAGGGTCTCGGCAACCCCAGCTACCGGCCCAATCATACTCTTGGCAATATCGTTTAACCAAATACGATTCTGGGCTAGGCACGGACTCGTAAAGCACACAACCGGAGGTGGAAAAACTCACCCGGCTGCAGACAGTCCAATCTGATGCTGACTCAAGTCACACCACGACTCACCTGCAGATTGATTAGTCTTAGCAGACTGAAAATACGAATAGTTGTCTGTACTATAACAGGACACCTAGCCCTGAACCAACACCTATTGCTCATCACTGCGACGGACAGCCCTCTATGCAGGGGATGTCTGGAAGCAGAAGAAACGGCCGCCCACGTAGTCCTGGAATGCTAGGGAGTGGCCACACAACGGACAAGTATCATTCCCGATACAAAAGCGCTCCTAGAAGCCGAGAACGCCCCAGGAGGCTTCTGCGCTTCTGGAAGGAGGTTGGTTGGCTCACCTAGCTAACCAGTCCTCGATGCATAAGGGACCACTCTTGAGTCTAAATGCGGAAACCGAAGCCCACAACCAATACCAATACCAAGAGGCCTATGTCCAGCCAGTGAACTACTAAAGGCTGTTGACGATGATGCTGTATTGCTAGACTAGGTTAGCCTGCACTAAGCGAGTAGAAAGAATGAATGAAGGTTGAAAAGCAGAATGAATAATATTATTATTAAGATGGAAATAAAAGTTATATTAGCGAAAGTTAATACAATATAATTTAGCACATACAAGATAAGCATAGGTATGGTATACGAATATGTTTAGCGCGACGTGTACAAGCTCCAAGCAAGTCGAAAGCGTTGTGAGTAGGTGGCGCGCCGACCGTCTGCAGTAAACATCGTATGATTCTTGGCTATGGTCTGAGTGGCATGAGCGGAATCGTGGTTTTTTACCATTGGTTACTAAAATCGCAACAGATCGATTGATGTTAGAGAAAACCACGAGCGGCTTTGTCCGGAGCAATGCTAAGCACAAACTTCTTACGTATTTTTGTAGTAATATTAGGTCATAAACAACATCCTTGCTCTTTAGAAACGTTGATAGTATAAAGGTTTATGAAGAGAACAGTATTGCGTACTTATACTATGTAAGATTTTAAAAAGTATGGTATAATCCGTACGTCCGAATGCGATTCCCCGCCCAATACCCTTGTCACTTCCCTTCGACGTTGTACTGTAGGCAAGCCATTTTTTTTTACTAACATGTTGGTCTCGTACTGGTCCACGTCACGTAACGACGTCGCAATCCTATTTTTATCAGATTTCCTCGTACATTTTGTTATTAATCTTGTTATCGTATTGCTATCAGAATGTCTGTTACATTTTGTTGTTGATCTTTTGGGAAATAGATACTGGTACTGCTACTTTTTGTGCACTCTGTACGTCACCGCGTTCAGGTGTCTAGTTATGGCGCTCGCATTATACTAAACTATTCGACAGAGAACTAGAGTAACCAACATCAGTGCGCTCAAGTGGAAGTGGGCCGGTCATATCAACAGACTGACTGATGGTCGCTAAAGCCGACAAGTGCTAGAGTGGAGACCGCGATTAGCAAACGTAGTGTAGGGCACCGCGATTAGCCAACGGGCACCCTGCGGCATTATGGATTCAGATCTTAAATCGTCGTATCCCTTATCGTGTTAAATTATTATTCTTAACTTTCTAGCCGATTCTCATATTTAGCATGGACTCACCAGCTATGGACGGACTTACAAGACACATAAATGTTGTATACAGATTGCAACCAAAAATATTAAAGACAATAATATCTCCACAGATTAATTTACAATACAGTAATAATGAGCTGGGTCTTTTTAAACACTAAAGTTCTACCTATTCAACTTAAAATAAAATATAGTTTGTTGAAAGATAACTATTTTAAATACAACTTGGGTGATAAAGTAGAACACCCTGTCCTGTATGTACACGAGCAGCCTCACTAAACCGGTTGCAAAAGGTACGCGCTGTTAACGTGTTCGGTGAGAGAACAACACGATACATTGTACCGCGATTAATTAATAAACTATCCCCCGATATAAATAAATGCCTAAAGGAAAAAAATATCAAATATACTTTGAAGGGATTCTTTTCGGAAAACATGGTCCAGTCATGTTTGTAGGTAATCCCTCCACCTCTCCTTGACTGACTCGGAGTTCACTTCACCGTTCTGCGCCCATACCCTTAGATAATATTAGTTCCTTACATATGAAATTAGCATTTTGTCGTACTGACCACTTTGATCTGAAATATCTCCTCTTTGGTTAAGAATTCCAAATTCAAATTTATAAATACATTTAGTTGGTACATTTGAGTTTTGAAAACAGTCATTCATTTGTTTTTTCCTCATTATTTTTTTCCTTTGGCGTCGCTTATTACCGCACAACAGAAAACATAAAATATCGGTATATTTACGAGTACGAGTTCTACCGTGGCACCAGGGCTGCAGAAACAGCTCGAAGGATTAATGATGTGTACGGCGCTGGTGTCGCAAAGGAAAGCACGATACGTTTTTGGTTTCAACGTTTTCGTTCTGGAAATATCGACCTTCAGAACCAACCCCGTGGACTGAATTAAAGGCTATTGTGGCAGCGGATCCATCACAAAGCACTTCAGAGATAGCTGCAGCAATTAATTTTCATTTTGCATTTTTCCGGAATTTTGACACCTTATTACAAGGAAAAAAATTCAACTCCGATGCGGCAGTCCAAACCGCCTTCAGAGTTTATTGATTCGCGGCGAGAATCAATAAACTCTTTGAAGGTGGTTGGTTTTTTAGTAAAGGGGTCAATGAACTACCTACGAGATGGCAAAAGTGCATAGATAACAACGGTGCATACTTTCAGTAATTAAATATATTTTACAAAAAAAAATGACTTTATATTCATTCTGTACAAAACGCCAATTTCATATGTAAGGACCTGATATAATTATTTTAAAAGTATCTACATAATGACACATGTATTTTTACTGAATGGTGTTTACAAACCTCAGGGTTTCAAATGCAATATTATAATCAATAATTTGTAAATTGCTTTCTAAAATGTTAAATAAAAAAAAGTGACTTAGGTGTGCATTAAAAAAGGATTGTTAAAAAATTCCACCCCTAAGGGTGCAAAATGGGGATTGGAAACTTAAATGAAACTTCGTTATTTTTGGTAGTAGCTTGTTCAAACTCACAGTAAATACTCTTTATTAAAAGTAATAAGAAACGTTATTATTAATTTTTCAAAACTACCCCTAACTACTAAAAAAGGTGTTAAGAATTATTGTTATAATAACCTTACGATGCATACCTACTTAATTATTAGCAACGATATTTTTTTTGATCAATCAGTAAATCAGTCAGCTAGTTAGTTTGTATCGTCTTTTATACATATACCTTTAATCTTGATTCATTTTATCTTCTTCGATGTCTGATAAGCTAGTTTAAACATAAGTAAAAACCGTTTGTATGGGCATCCTATCTTTAGTAGGCTACCTGCCTTTCGATGATTGATTAATAACATCGATAAAACATGCGGTACCCAAATAGGCCATTGAAAATTAAGTACGATCAAAACAATAAATTTGTTTATATTTTATATATAGAATTATGAATAGATAGTTAATTGAAAGTGGCTGTAAATCTCCTGTTTTCATTATTGTCAACAACAAAAAGTCCGACTTCTTGTAAATCTTTCCCACTCCCCCACACACACATTGTAGCAGTTACTATAATTTTTTTAGTAATAATATTCATTGTTTTGATTTCAGGAGTTATGGCTCAAAAGAACATACAAAGCACGTGATAGAACATAAACAATATACCTGTAACTATCCCAATTGTTCTTATTCTTGCAAAATAGCTTCAAATCTTATTAAACACAAAAGGGTGCATACTAATGAAAAGCCTTATCTTTGCGAGAAATGTAGTTTTAGATCAAATTTTATTAACTCTCTTAAAGTCCATAAAAGAACACATACAGCTGAGAGACCTTATCAGTGTGCACATTGCACCTACAAGTGCAACAGTAGTTCAAATCTGAAAAAACATTTCAAGCACAGACATTCTGATACTAGTTCCTGAAATTCTAGTTCTGATTCTTAAAAATTGTTTTTCTAAGACTGATGCAAGATTTTGAGTTTGAGACAAGCCAAAAAGTTTTTATTGAAGTCTATTTGGGGAATCATTGATGTACTCTTGGTTTTTATACCTTGGTGTTTGGTGTTTATCCCAAAGGAATCCTGAAGTTTGATGATCTAGCCAGAAGATATCAAAGCCTGGCCTGAACTATCCAAATAATATAACAAGCTCTTTGTGTTGGAGCTTTCAGCATTTACTACTATGGAGAGGTTAATGAATCCAGAGGATCCCATAATCAATCAATACCTTCGCAATACTTACCCGTTCTATTGAACCTCAGTCTTGAACTTGATGGAAGGGTATCCAAAAATGTTCAAATACTATCTGTTCAGAAACAAAATGAAAAGTGTTATACATGAAGAGCAAAATAATCTTGAAATTAAATAGATAAAAACTCACTCTAAAAGCTATTAATGGTAAATCCCATAGTAATAATATTAATTTCTGATCAGTTGAAAAGATTTATTACCTTATAAAGCCCCTGAGGCTGATTGAGTGACAAATATAGATATTATGTAAAGGCACATGTGAGAACAGTTATGACGTGGAAAGACTAGCAGGTTAAGCATATTATAATAACTGCACCAACATCTGTGGAAGATTTTTTCAATTTTTTACTGTTACTGATCTAAATAGCCATACCTCAACAAAATTTAATGACATCCCTTGAAAAAAACATTAATCATTAAAGACATATTTATGGAATTGAAATTGGCTATTTACATGCTTCTACTATCGTTCGAGTGATACTTCGTTATTACCAACTTTAAAACAAGAGGTATGGTATATCTTCACAAGGAATTGAATTCGCATAAGTACTTTCATTTTTTTTGACCTGAGCATGTGGTTAACAAAATTTCACTTCATATTATGTACGGAGAATTATATTCCCAAGGATGCTTGACTTCCGGTAGGCGGCCGGCCATAGAAGAAAAACGCTTAAACCATTTTGCAATGAAATGAAGAAATGCTTGAAAAAAGATATGACTAAGATATGGTAAGCAGTGATCCGTTGAGTGGTGAAGGAGAATGGAAGAAGAAAACTTATTAACTGACCCCAAATACATTTAGGAACAGAGTAAGATGATGATGATAGAAACTTTCTTTGAATTATTAATTTCTGATATTGTGACAGCAACCCCTAATAGCAGTACTCTTATTGCTGGCGATGTAATCCATCATAATTTACCTGTACTGTTAACCGTTTTTGAGCTCGATATTGTGTTTCCATTTTTTGTAAATCTACATGAATTTATTTAATATTTTAATTTTCTCTTAAATATTTTATAAGGTACCTTGGTTAGTAGGGTACCTATTGAGAGTTCTGAATTAAGGATTGTTTCATTACTATAGCTGAGAAATAAATTAAAAACAACATCAAGTTTATAATCCATTATGTGCCAAATTAGTCATAATTTTCCATCGATTGGTTAACTAGAAGGGACATCCCCGAAATACACGTGAGTAACATCATGATAAAACATGAATACTACTAAAGAATGTTGCAATTTTATTTCTTGCTGCGCTGTTTATAATTTATGTCATATCTACTTTATTAGGGATCCTGGGCACGTGCCCCGTGTTCCCTTATGAAAATTAATATAGTCCATTCGCGTCATAGAGCAACACGGTAGGGAGTTGCCATAAGCAGGCATTCTCGTCTGTCAAAGTATAAGTCCACATGGTCCACAACCTAAACCAAATCTAGTTGCGCTGCTGACTAGACAACAGTACAAAATCTATCTACAAAATCCCGAATAGTTCAGTTTTCTTTTTTTGCTTTAAAAAGAGATCTGCCACGTCAAGTTTACAAAAATATGGCGTTACCTTTTATATGTCAGTAATATTTAATCAAATTATTACTATTTACTGATTTTTAAGCTTAAAATTTACGAAAATAACAGTAGCATTATTTTGGATTTATTTACCTACGCTCGCTCTTATACACTTCGGATCGGTCAAGCGACCGATCCGAGTATCGTGTTGCTAATCGCTATCACCGAGCAATAGTTTTTTTACCGGTTTGTAAATAGTTAGATATCGATAAAATACCTTACCTGGATACCTACAAGAAACGAATGTTATTTTCTCAGGTCATTTCAAGACCTCTGACTTTTAAGTGTTGGCGAACAATAGGCTTGAAAATTTTTAATGAAAAAAGCTAACTCACAGAAATATATTTGACATATTTATATAAAATTGAATATATGCAATGGGAGAGGCCTATGTCCAGCAGTGGACTGCGATAGGCTGATGATAATGATAATACAAAATTAAGAGGCATGCCTTTTAAGTTTTGTCGTTTGAAGAAAAAAACACAACTAGAACCTTATAATACTTTTTAATGTTTTTCAAAGTATTCACCACGTAACTTAATACACTTTTCCATTCGCTCAAACCAGTTATTATAACATTTATTCCACTCTAAAGTGGAGGTGTTCAAAATGGCTGACTTGAAAGCGTCGACTGCTTTTTCACCGGACTGGAACCTTTGACCACGAAGACTTTTCTTAATTTTAGGAAATGTAAAGAAATCGTTAGGGCTTAGGTCAGGACTGTATGTATTCCACACGTTAAAAAAAAAAAAAAAAAAAAAAAAAAAAGGACTGTATGGAGGATGGTCAAGAATTTCCAGTTTTTCCTGCTTCAAATAGTTAATCGTTTGACGAGCGCTGTGTGAGCTTGCGTTGTCGTGGTGCAGGATGATGCGTCGCTTTGAGTTAGATTTTTGAAGTTCGGCGATGACTTGTGGTAAACAAACTGTGGTATACCACTTTGCGTTTACCGTTCTACGATCTTCAAGTGCAATAGTCGCAACATGGCCGGTTTTCCAACGAACGTGGCCACCATCTTCTTTGAAGTGCTTCGAGAACGAACAACTTTAGTCGGCTTGAAAGACCCAGATTGTAGATTGTTGTTTGGAATCAGGATCGTAGGCATAGATCCAAGATTCGTCACCACTGATGATGTCGTAGACGTGATTTGACTCTCCTCGGTTGAACCTTTGCAGAGTTTTCTTACACCATCTGACGCGGGCCGCCTTGTGATCGTCGGAAAGCAGATGCGGTATCTAACGGCAAACTAGCTTTCTCACACCAAGCGCTTCATGCAAGATCTTCTGAATGGTTGTCCCTTAGATGCCTAATAGAGCCTCTATCTCTCGATACGTCACATGACGATCTTCGAGAATAAGTTGTCTCACAGCAATGATGTTATCTTCAATGAAGGGGGATTTTGGGCGTCCTTCGCGAGATTTGTCACTAACACTAGTATGTCCTGGAATTGTAAATACCAGCGCTCGACAGTCCGCAGACATGGGGCTTCATCACTAAACACAGATATTAGCTCTTCAAAACACTGAAGCCGTGTCAGGCCTCTTCTAAAGTTGTAGAAAATTATTGCACGAACGTTGAAAAAAGAAAAGAAAAAAAGATTCATTTTCGTACGTAACCTAACAGATTCCAATCGACGCTGTGACTAAACAATAGCATTAATCCTAATACTTTCAACTGTTTTGAGATTCAAAATGTAAACACATTCGAATATAGAACAGTTCCAAATTCAAACTATTATATATATTATACAAAAAATGACAAACTATTTTGTATCGCGAAAAGACGCTATGGCTAATTGGTCATGTGGCGGGCCTTAATTAATGCCTCACTATTTTCTGAACACGAATAGACTAACTATAATACGGCCTATTTATACTAATTGTCAATCTTTAACATTATATTCAAGCTCATAAGCGGGTGTCTAATGTGCTACAAGATCTTTTGGAGTTTATATGGGTATTTTTTAAATTCAGATCTTGTACTGGCTGTCTAATTTAGGTGCAAAATATTATATTACATATGTTTTAGACCTCACATCACAAATCAGCAAACATAATATGGCAGAATTGGTTTTCTGATAAAAAGTTTTGAGTGTGTTATTACGGGTAGAGTAAAAATAAACAACAGTAATTGCCAAAGCATTTTATATTCAATAACCTAAGTATACATATATGATCCTAAAAAGTATATAGTAACTGGTATAAATGTTGCCCCAAGTACTTATATCAAGGATTTCTTCTTATAACATGATAAAATTACTCCATGATATTTGTATAACAATTTGAGCTCACAACAAGTTTACATGAATCAAAATAATGGAAACAATAATAATACTAATCTGGTTCACATTATATAGGTAATATCAGTGGCAATGTTCTGTGAAGTCTACTACCACTGATTCTCGCCATCCAAAGAGGAAATAGCCTGTTGCAGATCCAAGGACGACAGCGGTACACAACCACACATTGTATGTCATAAACACCAACATCAGCATATAGCTCACTAACACTTGAACACCGTGCAAAACAGTCTGCCACGCATGTGCTGCACTCATCATGGTTGGGCTGAAAATGTGTTAACATTATCATCAGGTACACTTTGAGTTTTGTTCGTCCAAACAATCCAAAATCTGGGATAAAAATATCAAAAAGATAATAGGGTGAAAACTAGATAGAAGATAATCATTGAGCAGAAAGTATAACAAAATATATGTGTATAATATTTATACAAAATTGAATGTATGTGTATAATAAGCTACGAAACATGTTCGGCTGGTACCTAAAATAATTATATTCTCAGTATCTAATACATATGTGTTTATCCATAAGAGTATTGCCTATGCTTGCCTATGAATGAGAACATATACCCACCTACCTAACTTATTAGAGTAAGAGGGAGGGCGAAACTATTTTTATTTACCTTTCTAATTTTAATCCTGGGTTTCAGATTGAAAAGAATTACATATATTAAACAGTTTATGATCAGCATAAACACGTCTATTTTAGGAAGATCATCTGATTGTGCTTCGACAAAACCGGTTTCAGTCATTATGTTAAGTCGTTCTTCACAAGGATTTAATACTTTAACACAAGAAACTAATAATAATGGGCATTAAACAATAAAGTACAATTTTTTTTAAATACGTATTACTCCAAGCAATAGGGTGACTGTCAAGTCAATTCAGTAACTTTTTTAAAATGTGAAAACGCTAGACGCGTTAAATTGTTGTATGAAATACCTACTATTTCGTGACGTCATAACTAGCTATTGTCAAATCGTTTATATGTAATGTTTATTTCACGACATCAAAGCAATAAAAACATTAAATTGATAATGGAGCACAATTCAGACTCTATAATAGTTGGCGATTGCTGGCCAAACAATAAAATATCGTCGGCTAAATAATCTAAGTTGCTAACTCCTAATCATACTACTCACTGCTATATCTAATTCTAATTCCAGTTATTAGATATCTTACCAGTACCTATTATAACACTATTTATTTTTTTAATTTATTAATATTAATACACTTTAGGGTCTAAAATTGGAGTTAGCATTTTTAACATTTGCAATAAATTTGTTTAGGAGTTATCAAATTTAATTATTTATGGAATTCTATTAAAACAACGAACTAGCTTAATAATTTTAGTTTAATAGTAAAAGAAATAATTAAACATAAATAAAAAGTTTACAAAAAATTGGAACAGTTAGTCATGCGGTAAATTATTATAAAATTCTCGAAAATCTGCTGGCAGGACTTCTTTAACTTGCTGTAGGTCGTTGTATTTTTTAGCTTTAATTTTGAGTCTACCTTGGTGTAAATTTTGCATTTCGTCAAAGCCTATTGCTGAAAGAATTCCCTTTCTCTGGGGTAGCAGTGTCCATGGGTTACTGAACCGTAGTTTGTACAGATATTCCCCGATGGAGAATACATCAGAGCACGTATATCGGTAACCTTAGGGTCTCCCGCCGTACGGCCTGGGCGAATACTTTTATAACTTGTTATATTATTAAAAGCTTTAAAAAATCCGTGTTCCAAATATTTAACATAAAATGGACTGTTGCGGGCGGTCTTAATAATTTCAATGTAGTCTGCGGGTATGTTAACAATCGGGTACAAACAATTATTGAGGAATGCATAGCATCCACCTCCATCTGCGTATGTCCGACTTCTAAATATAATTTTGTTCAATGGTTATTTGGTTTTTAACTGCCAAATTTAGAAGAGCGTTTGATAAAGTTACATTGCGATTTTGGTAACCACAGCCATCAGAATAAATAATAACACGTAAATCCGTTTTGTTTTCAACTTTTGAGTTTTTTTCAATAAAATACGTCCAAATAGAGGCAAACTCATATGCACTTAGCCCCCCTTCCGATTCGTTCCACACAAAATAATAGCCGTCTTTAGTGATGTTGTCGTAAAAGCACAGCTTATGTTCTTGTAGCTTAGTTTTGTAGTATAATGTGCTGACATTAGACTGAGGTGCCATCAAAACTGCTTGGAGATCTACTGTAAATACAAACTGATTTTATTCTTTATCAGCCTGCTTTTCTTTTCTAGCTTCTTCTTTTTTCAATATATGTAACTGGTAATCATTTTCTTCAGTTGTGCCAGACTTATATCTTGTGCATGTTTCACATTCATCCTTTTTTGGACGAAACAGTGAAATATTTCTAGACTCCATAACCTCGAAAAAAGAAGTTCTTGATAGCGGTTCTGTTGCATGGGATTTATACCAGTCAGACACGTAAAACTTATACACATCCATTTTAGTTTTCCAATCAGGTTGTAGATACTGTCTTGACGATGAGGCTCGACAATAATGAGACTCCATCGTCGGCAGAGAGTCGAAGAATTCGTTCATTGACTTTTGTATGTCTGCAAAAGGATCTGCTCTATCTTTAGTAGCTCTAAGTTCATTAGGAGTGCAATTATATTTCATTTTATCTTTCCAGGCTATTACTGTCATTCGTCCTATTGCCAACGTGTTTAAATACATAGTTTTGCATACTCTAATATAATCATCATGAGGTGTTTTAAGTTATATTTGAATGACTGTGTTCTTCGAGATTTATCTTACTGTTTTCGATCCCTTGGACGTTTAGTTGGAATTGCCTGGACAGTGTCATTGACAAATACTTTTTTCTCTCCCCATGTATAGTTTTTTCCAAAAGTTAATAAATATTATTATCCTTTGTTCATCAGTAACAGTAGCACACTTAATATTACCTGTTTTGTTGTTACATTTGCATCTATTTTTCATACGCTTTGGTTCTTTTACAGTTTCATAGACCCATTTGGAATCTTTTTTAATTTTGCCATAATATTGTGCGCCATTTTCACGTATTTTTTTTTTTGCAAACCAATTACTTTTGTTTACTTGCGGACGTCTTTTTCTTGACCTACTTTTAGTTGGTAAGGAAGTTACGCTGACATCATCCAAGGTTGATGAATACGCCAATAATTTAGGGCAGTCTAATTCGTTACTGAAATTAGATATTATAGCCCAGTTCTCAATATTAGTCGTCATTATTTTTTTCTTGCAACTGTGAATCAAGGACAGCCACATCTTCATCATTATTTTCTGGTATAATACTATCACAAATCGTGTTTGCCTCTTCATTGGACACATCACATGTAGCCATGTCATGGAGGTCAATTACTTCAATCTGTGTATTTTGTACCAGAGAGTAGTTCTCAATATTATCCAATGGCACAATAGAAGTAGATTTTAATGGGAGGCGTATCATTTCAATTAGATTTGATTCGGTGCAGCTATTCTCTATTCCTTCAGAACCATAATTATTAAGGAGATTATTATTTTCAAGATTAGGGAATACCGATTCATGCGTGGTTATAACATCGCACTGTAGTTCTTTGGTAAGCGCTAAATTAATTATCTTTTTAGCTCTATCAGAAGCCATCTGTAAATAAAATAAAAGCGATCTAAACCCCCACACAGCAGACAGAAAACACGCAACAAGACAATAAAAATTAAAAAGGTATCTCGAACCTTGTACCTAAGTCTGTTAAGTTCATTCAACCAATGTTCCAACTTAATTATGTAACATATTACATATCATATATATCAATAACAAATGAAATGTTTTTTTTAGATTACGGTAGTTTGATGTATTTATTTTTACAATTATTGTAGAATTTATTAATGTGCATACAGTCATGCATAACCAAACCAAGTGTTAGTTTATTGCTACAATAAGGTAAAAACCAAATAAAAGCCGACATTCACAGGAATCAAACCCGAACCATTGCATGCCTTATGCAAACCTAGCACCTCGCACCAACGAAAATTAAAAATAAAAGTAGGCAACTCCCCAAACATTACCGACAAGTAAGAATTAAATTCTGACAACTCCCATTATGTGCACCAACATATTTTGTATGTGTTTTTGAATCGGTTAACCTTAGATACTGGTGTTAATATTACAAAAATATTATAGAATAGTACTTACATTTCTTAAAAAGCACCAGTCTAGTACGCTAATCTCAAAAAAACATAAGCTTAGCTTCAACATTATTTTGCGTGTTGGTAACACACACAATTTTATGAAATAATCAGTAAACGCAAAATTCACTATTAAGAGGAAAAAACAAACGAATTCTGTATTTCTCTTACGTGCTTCCTACGTGTATTATGTTTAAACTGTAAACTGATATAAGTGCACTTGCAACTTTAAAAGGTTAATTTACTGACTCGAGCCGTTTTTAGAGTCGTCACCTTTAATGTAGTTGTATTGTTGATCGAAGGCAAAAACGTTTTTCTTTTATAATATAAAATTCTAACAGTGAATCTACCTACCTACCCTAGAGTTGCAGATAAGCATCAAATTTTCTTTGTTGGCCAAATAAAAGTTTCATACAACCTACAACCCCGGTTCCTGTAAGCGAGGCGAGAAAAAGCACCTTTCGAAGCCATCAATCGGAAAATCACTAAGGTTAAGGACATGTCGACGAACAAAATATGTGTTCCATTAAATTTTTTTCGACTAACCACTACAATAATGAAGATTTTAGATATAGAAAGAACTTAGAACAGTGGAAAATGTATGTGTTGTGGTAGATCTCCTTTACTCTCAAGGCCCTGGAGCCTTTGTGCCCTAGCGCCACAGGCGACCCCACAGGCGGCTACTGCATTTCAGAAAGATCTACGATCTATTTAACAACTTAAATGAAAGAGATTAGAAAAAAGAGAAGGGAAATTCTAAAACTATTTAATATTTTGTAAGAGTACTTACATATTTCTCTCAAGGGCATGTGGTACCGGCCTTAAAAAAGAAACAAAAATCGAACTTTAGTAATAATTAAATACATTATCTATTTAAGAATATTCTTATATTAAGGGTACTTATTATAGTTGTATTTAATTTTTAGTGCTCTTTATCAGTATTGTTTGAAGTCGCTTTAATTATTATTTTTAAATATTTATATTATCATTTTTAGTGTAACATAGGTTTTTAATAAGTTCTCTACTAGTACAATATTTAAAACACTACATACCGTAATATATAGTACCAAACTGTACTATAACATTACGGCAAGATTCGGCAAGATACACTAAGAATTTTCCAAATCGGTTTACAAATGAAAGAGTTTTGAGGTAACAAACATGTAAATAATTGCGTAACAATCATTTTTTTGTCTAAATGTTTTGTGATCCCATTTATCTTGTGCACATATCTCTGTAACCCCACACAAACACCTAACAAATATCTTGAAATAATAAATCAAGGTCAATACACGATTAGATTAAGTAAGTAGGTAACTCCTTAAGGTCAAGGATCCTTCCATCATCAGCTCAGCAACATGACATAACGACTACTTAACGCAAATACCTATAAAGCTAGAGAAATAAGCTAAAACACGTTGTCGGGGCTGTAAAAGAACAATGGCAGAAACATATTTACCTAAAACTTAAGCGTTTAAAAAATCGAGTCACAGTAAACTTAATCAATTTTTTTTCTATGATTTATCATTACACCACCATGTGTTGTATAAGTCTTATAAGAGATAAGATATTTTTGAAGATTTTATTTGACCTAAGTACGTAATGTCAGATTCGCCATCACGTATAACTGACTAGGGATGCGTGGTGGCAATATTATATTATGGAACAATTTATCGATAATCGATTCTTATAGCTTTGGCTGAAATATTTACCGAAGGTTCACTATTATGATTATGAATTTGCTTCTGCCCACGTCATCACTCGTACGGTAGAGTGACTGAATCAACATAATTATAAATGATTTAAAATATTTTTGACTCTCTTTAAACGATTTTAAACACACTAAAGAAATAGAATGTAGTTACGTTATTTTCCACTACACAGTGTGATGAGAAAAATACATTGTCATTGATAACGGCACATAAATAGACATACATCGATATTTTCAAAATGTCGATACGTCGTCGTTTAGTACATATCTCTTAATCTGTGGTTTAGATCCTGTCAAGTTCCGGACTCACCACGTTTGTTATTTTATTTTTGTTTTATTTAGTGTTAAACTCGAATAGATGTTATGCTTTTATTTTTTTTTATTTCATATACTGTAATAATAATGATAATAATATTTTCGGCTATCTGACTCACAACGCCATCTAGTTTCAAACAAAACATTAACAATATGTTAGTACTTAACCTCGAAACATTTAAAATCCAATATCTTTTTTCCTAGACTTCTTTCGCAAGTAATTTTGATATTAGAATGGTCAAGAATAAATTCTCAAGTGTTAAGGATTTTTTGATATTTTAACGCTAACATTTCAGTTCAAATAAAATTATGTATGGGGACCTGCCATTGTCCTTTGAGGGTTTGCCTCGATTTCTCTCGGATCCCATCATCAGATCCTGGATTAACGCGATTAATGGGACCACCTCGGGAGCATACCCTTTCGATTACAAAAAACATTGAAAATCAGTCCACAATTGACGGAGATATCGCGTAACAAATATACAAAAAAAATACAGACGAATTAATAACCTCCGTTTGGTGTTGAAGTCGGTTAAAAACTATTCACAGTGTTAAAGAAGTCTCCAGTATCACTGTCCATCACCACAAAAAAAGATGTAAATATACTCGTAATGTACAATGAAGTTCCCTGCCCACAGTTTTTAGGATGTTGTCAATTTTTTAACAAAAAACTTTTGTTTACATGCACTCAACAGTAAACGTATAATAGTATAAGCATGTTTAATGATGTGATAGCTTATTTATTTGATTGCTGCTTGCTGATTTACCTAACAAGTGAGAGTTTAGAGGAGAGAGCATTCAATCGTCAAAAAGCGACAGGACTTGACTGTTACCCATACCAATATACCTCTTTTGACATTAAAGGTTAATATAAACTGTTTTCTGCTCATTACATTTTCAACATAATAAGCGTATCATATTTTCTAGTTATGCATATAATTATACACTTGTTTCACGGTATAACATTATTAGTATCGCTATACCATTTATATTTAACTATGTTACATCTGTGAACGAAAATCTAGGTTCCGAGAGGTTATGGCAGTTGGTGAACTTTTTTTAAAATTAATCCATAAAAAATACTCAACTGTATACATTGAGGTTCATCTGGCGCACATAAATTTGCTACTCCTTTGTCTGGCGGTGCTACAGCACAATATTGAAGTCCAGTATACGTTTTCCACAAGAGGTGTTTTCTGTAGTATTTAAGGCTAAAACAGAATAATTTGGTGACAATAAGCTTTATTCCAAGTATTATCTAAACTAGTATTATAAAGAGCAACAATTTGATTTATCCTAGAGAAAACCAAAAATTACTGTGTTTTTAATAGAGAGGACGAAGCAAAAACTAATTGATGGATAAAATACTCGTAATATCCTCACATGCTTTTTAGTACTAACATATCATTACCCACAAAAGTCAACGTTAGACATACAGGTGGTATGTCTAACGTATAAATATATCTAAAGGTATTGGCTTTTTGATTGTTTTTATGTTGATTTAATATTTGAAATTTTAAACCTCTTCACAAAATTATCTCGAAGGCCGTATACGGATCATCCATATTTGATAGATAGTGATAATTACAACTACCGACCTAATAAATTATAATTATGCCAAAGGTATTTAATGCAGAAATAAAATAGTCTATTTTTGTCCCGATAGAGAAATGGAAGCGATTTACGCGGGTAACTTATCTAAATTTTGTAGAAACTTTGCACACTTATCAAGGGCCGATGACAATGCAATAATTAAAATAGTTTGTCCACTTATTCTGATCAGGACCTTCAGGACTAACGGCTTTTTCCATGTACTAAGGTGTGTGCTGAAGCATATGTTAACTTGTTCTTTTTTTTGTCTTAATAAGATAATAATCATCATTAATGATTAAAAAAGGAAAAATGAATGATATTTAGAAAACCCTAAAAAAAATACGCTTTTGTAGACATACGAGGGTGCGTTTTTAAGTTCGCGGAATGAGAGGGTTGGAGAGGGGTGATTAGGCTCATTAGAATCGTCACGTGTTCAGTGACTCATAATTAGTGTAAATACCAGGTTTCATTGTTATTAGACAATTAGTCTTTGAGTTATCGTCAACCAAGCAACATAAACGGGAGTGAAAAGTGAAACATGGAAAAAATCGAATATCGTGCCGTTATAAAGTTCCTTACCAAGCAAGGAAAATCAGTTGCGACCATAATGAGTGAGATGTCATTGGTTTACGGCGACTCTTGTCCAGGAAAAACCATGGTGTACAAATGGCACAGTTTATTTAAACAAGGAAGGAAATCCCTTGAAGACGACCCGAGGCCGGGCAGGAGAATCGAGGTGATCACGCCAGAACTTATCCAAAAAGTCGAAAAAATTGTACTCGACGATGCTCGACTAAAGAAGAAACAACTGCAGAAATGGTTGGAGTATCTGATAAAACCATTTTTAGAATTCTACACGATCATTTTGGCATGATGCAAGATGGGTGCCGAGAATGCTCACGCCGACGCAAAAACAACAGCGCGTAGAGTGTTCACGTGCATTTTTAGACCTTTGTAATGAAGACAAGGATGCTGTATTGAGTAGAATTGTTACTGGAGACGAAACTTGGGTTCATCATTATGAACCTGAGTCGAAACAAGACTCCATGCAGTGGCATAAAAAGGGCACAGCACCTCCCAAGACTTTTAAGGTCTTTTGGGACTCAGAAGGAATATTATTGATCGATTATAAAGATAAAGGTGTTTCTATAACCGGAGAATACTACGATTCAATATTAGAGCGACTCAAAGAAGCCATTAAAGAGAAAAGACTGGGAAAATTGACAAAAGGTGTGTTGCTTTTTCACGACAACGCGCCCGTCCACAAGAGCCGCGTTGCGTTGGCTGCCCTGCATTAGGTGGGCTTCGATATTTTGAATCACCCACCCTACAGCCCAGACCTGGCCCCCAGCGATTATTACCTGTTTCCAAAAATGAAAAAAGAGCTGCGGGGTAAAAAAATAACATACGATGATGAAGTCAAGGAGGCAGTTTCGGCGTATTTTGAAGACAAAGAGAAAACATTTTTTTATGAGGGTATAAACAAATTAATTGAAAGATCTGAAAAATGTATCCGTCTTGCAGGTGAATATATTGAAAAGGAAAATAATTTGGTTTTTTTATTTCCACCCCTTATCCCCCATTCCGCGAACATAAAAACGCTCCCTCGTACGTTCAGAAAGAAAAATCATTTGAAAAGCGTGAGGTGCAGTTTCGTGTATGATGGATGTATATAGTCCAAAAAAGTATTTAGGAAAAATATAAACAAACCTAAAAAGAAATAATAGAATTGGAAAAAATTCCTTTTAAATGAAGTTAATCATTATTTCTCACTTTGATAAATTGGCTTTTGTTTAATAAAATTATGATAAATTGTATGTACTGTTCGGGAGAAGATTACTTCACCGAGCACACCTTCTTCGTCTGCCAACGTTGAGTTGAAATAAGGCTGCGCGTTGGCATATGAGAAGGGAGTGCCTCGAAAATCGGAAGAGGTTATCCCTTGGATGCTGGAAACGGCAACAATTGGACAACAATGACGGGGTTTGTAAGGGAGTCCCTGTTCCAGAAAAGGAAGAAGAAAGGAACACGGAGGAATAGCCGCACCTAACGGCAAGGAAGGGTACCGCAAAGTAATGCTAACGCGGTACCGCGGTTCTAGGTACAAGAGAGGGGAGGTTTTTAGTGGGTAAAAATTACACACTACCAGTCTACAACGACTTGACAGGTGTCCTTTTAAAGATTGCCTCATCTCAACAAAAAAAGGAAACTGATTTACACATAGAGAAACACTAAGGTAAACATACATTTGCCTATACCTAGGTACCAATCTCAACAAGTTTCTTTTCTTATTGTACTCAAGATACGAGGCCGTTCTTTGTCTACGTTGTATAGGTGTAGCTACCATAGTAACAGAACGTGAGCGCTTCACTCCACAGATTCAATACCTACTTTAAAAAAAGTAAAAAATAATTACACAGCTATTATTATTATGCATTGACAGACGTATAGATAACGAGACCATTTTTTCTTTATTTACATAAAACACAATTTTAATTTTATTTAAATTAAAAGAGTTAATAGACATAAATGCTCAATTACGAGGACTGCTATTTATGTATCCGGCACTGGCCAGTTACAGAACAATATGAAAACAGTAATTATAACATTTAAAAATGAAACTCTGGCTGAAGAATACAATTTTTTTCATGTCGCTATAATTTGTTTATGATTTGTGGCGTCATTTTGAAAACTGCGTGTCTTTATCACTATGGATTTAACTTGTGAAAATTATCGTGCTATGATTTAATACGATTTTCGACGAGGGCTAACTCAAAAACAGTACATCGAACAACTTAATTCGACTTTTGGGAAATCATTTACAAAAACAACTGTGTATGACTGGTTTAGTGAGTTTAATCGAGAGCGGTCTGTGCTCACAGGCGAATTTGAAGGAGGTCGCCCTAAATCGGTTGTTGTACCCCAAAATATTAATGCTGTGCGGGAACTTATAATGCAAGATCGTCATGTTACATATCGCGAGATAGAGGCGTCTCTGGGAATAAGTATGACGAGTATATATAAAAGATTACACGAACAATTAGCTGTAAAAAAATTTGTTCACGTTGGATGCCGCACAACTTGAGAATCGAAAAAATGAAAAATGTTACAAAAGTACAATCAGAGTGCATCAAAAGCTGTCTATAATATCTACACAGGTGATGAATCTTGGATATATGAGTATGATCTTGAAACTAAACAAAAATCAATGGTTTGGGAGTTCCAAGATGATACGAACCCAACAAAAGTCATTCGTTCAAAAAGTACTTTGAAGCAAATAGCCGCTTGTATTTTTGGTAATGGAATTGTGGCTACAGTGCCACTAGAGGATCGTAAAACAATTAATTGTGAATGGTACACGACCATTTGTTTGCTAGAAGTCTTTGAAGAAATAAAAAGAATAACCGACAACGCAGAATCCCAGAAAAATCGACTGACACAAGTCAGTATTTTGAAGATCAAAGATCGAATTAACGGGTCATTCGCCGTACAGCCCTTTTTTATCCCCGTACAGCCCTTTTCAGGCCGTCACTCCACCGGGGTTTGCGGCGGGGTGGTGTGTCAAAATTGGACCGACTAAAACCATACGGTGTGCCACTCTGCGCCTGTAATAGGAAAGATCCGGAAACTGCTGTTATTAAGACATCAGGGCCCCTCCTAGCACCAGCACGCAACGTCGCGGGTACCACCTTTGCGTACATTCTCTTCCTTCTGCGAGATGACGTCTTCGCAGAAGGATACGACCGCGGTAAAACAACTACCATGGAGCCGAGAGGCCGTAGCCGAGCCGTAGCGAGAGGTCCCCTCTGATGACTGCAATAAGGACCCGGCGCTGCAACGCCCAAGCCAGGCAAATTTCCAGCGTGTGCTGAGCCGAGTCCTCACTGCAATCGCAGTGGTGACAGGCGGAACTACATTCCCTCCTAGCGACTGAGTGCAGGTACTTTCCGAAGCATCCGTGCCCGGAAAGAACCTGCATCAGGCAGAAGGAAAGGGTCAGTGCTGCCGCCCTGATTACTCAACGATGACCGGCTGGAGCGCCTCCACGGTGGCAAAACCAGCACATGGAGCCCCCAGCCGGGACAACCAACGAGCCATAGTGGCTCGACGAGCGGCCTCACGCCATACGCGTACTTCTTCGGGCGGGGCTGACTTCCGCTAACCGCCTGGAACTCAGTCGATATACTTCGGCGAGCACTTCCGCCTCCAAATCCCACGGGGGAGTCCCGGCCAATGCGCATGCTCATATGGCTCTAACCGCCAATACCCCCTGAGGGTGCACTATTCTTGGATCCGCCGTACAACCCTGACTTGGCCCCCAACGACTTCTATTTATTCCCAAACGTGAAGAATAAATTACGTGGTCAACATTTTAAGAGCCGTGAAGAGTCGAGTCGGGGACACCGAGACTGAAAACTGCACTACGGGACATTCCCGTTGAAAAATCTAGATCTAGCTAGATCTCCTTTTTGGGAATATTATTTAGAACATTAACTTTCATCGAATACGATTTTAAGAGATGCCCTTCAAGCTAGCTGGAAACAGATAGGTGCCTATTCAAACCACGCAAGGAGGTTTTTCAATCAATCTAGTGATCATTATGTTAACAATATTGTTATGGCTAACACTAAATATATTTAATTTTTTTTCTCGCCCTTAAATGGTTTCGTGGCTTTGTCATTTCTATGTTTCACTTTGATCTGTTTTTCACTTCCCTCGAGGCATGTCTTACAGATAGACCGGTTAGACTCAAAACTTGCTTGCTTGAAAAGTAGCTTATTTCCGGGGTTTTTTTATTTAATAAATTTTGCGATTTGCGATTTGATTTCTAAGGTAACGAACTATTAACGGTTTTTTTTTAATTGACCTACTAGACAAACTTTTCATTGATAAAATACATACAAATACACACTCATGCCTGTAAATAGAAGCGGATAAAATACCAACACATTGTCATCATATTCGATCCTGACCTCAACTTACTCTCAATTTTTTCCTTATCCTATTTCTTCTATTGCCACTTAATTGTGTATAATTAACAAAATGCTATCGATTAAGTTAGTGAGAATGTAGTATAGAGGACATAAAAAGCTTCATACTATTTTTAGTATAGATTCTGTTCATAGTAAAATAATTCTTACCCTTCATAAAGTAAGGCCATAATAAAAATGGCAAAGAAAGATCCAACAAATTCTCCCACATCCGTCACTTTCCACCATGAGAACAATATATATTCCATGTAACCCCCATGAAACTAAAATAAAAATAAATATGACCTGTATTTATATAATTTATACAAGAAAAAAAAACTCGGATATAAATAAGATAATAACATGATTCTTCATACTTTGAGGATGTTACTTACTGTCATGGACATATTATGCCCTTCACCCGCGCCCCCGTGTAAAGAATGAACAGAACCTGCATGCATATCTGAATGGTGTTGATGTACATCTTGTTTCTGGAATGAATTTGCCAGTTCAACAATGTTGTGAGTCATATTCTGAAATATATGCAAAACATTTAATCTAGACATTATATAAAACATAATTTTCATCATCATCACCAGCAGCCTTTAATAGTCCACTGCTGGACATAGGCCTCTCCTTGGAGTAATTATAATCATATTAAATAAATAAACTTACATTGTCATATGTATCATTTTGAAACATATTGTGGAGACCATGGTGAGGTTGTTGAGAGGCAAGTTTCATATGGTTCATATGATTTATGTGCTCATTGCCTTGATGTTCCATACTCATATGATTTGGACCTTCCATGGCTTCTAAAGGGCATAACATATTTATTAAAAGAGAATTACAAAATTAAGTAATTCTCTATTAATTACGAGAAAAAAAAATGAATGTGAAACATTTAGCATATTTTTCATAAACATTGCAATCAGTACCGTCTTTACCATTTACGCACACGGGGCCCGTGCTGGGCACAAGGAATTTGTAAAACACAATAATTTAGAAGCCTTTTTGAAATACCTATGTTTGAAGTAGTTCGTGTTTTAAGTTCACCCTGTCCAAAACCATCGTACTACGCTCTCCTCTACAATAATTCGTAACCATTAGTTTTCAATTTTGATATTCTTTAGTAAAAAGTGAAAGTGATAGACTTTGACAATGAAATGAATGAAATGAAAAAAAACTGTAAGTAAATCTTTTTCAGATATTTTTACAAGTCGGACTTTACAGCTAGATGAAGCCGGCATTTCAAAGACCCACTCTAGGAAGAAACGCCGCCACAGAGGTGTCTTTTTTTAGTCCGTAAACAAAGTTAAAGAAGACTGTGCGAGTACAGTGTAGGGCCTTTTGAAGAAAGGACCGTAGTTTTGAGTCGGCCTGTCTATACTGACGGCATATGAGCCCCTTCCATCGTCTAGCCCAACCGATATTGGTCAAGATCAACGACTCGAAGCGCGACACTACAGCCACCAGGACATTTAAGAAGGCCGAGGAAACACTCAAAACCACTAGAAAGTGACTAAATATGAACTAACATTACAAGCGCCTACACTATACTCACATTTACATACTTACAAAAAAAACCATACTATACAATTCACGCTCAATGAATGGACAGACTAAGATATAACAGAATACAGTGGCGGATTATCCCCAAGGCAAAGTAGGTACATGTCTACTTTGTGTGCGGTGCGAGGTTACAGACGGGAGCTAGCAGATTTTTCTAAAAAGCAAGAAATATATGCCTAACATAAAAAGAACTGTGTCAGTAAGTAGGCACACAATTATTCAATATAAACATTTATGTAATTCTATAGAGATGTTTAATGTTGACATCTAGGATCTATATTACGTAGCTGCCACTATTTTTTGGATTTCCTTTTCTGACCTACGAAATGGAGGTTAGTGCGTGTACATAAAAATGTATTTGCTACAACTGCAGCTGTAATTAGGATTACTCTTTAAGTTGTAGTAATAGACCAAGGTTATCCAGGTAATAACATTCAACGATGTATCGGTGTGGGCGGAAGCTCTGACTGCCCAGAATAAAACGCGCCTCTAGCACTCTCAGAAAGTGGTGGCAGAACTCTCTCATGGGATTTAGAGACGGTAATGAGTGGTATATATAATAAGGTAAGGACTCGTCGGTTCGTCCGGCTAGAGGCTACATCTACTGGAAGCTTTTGCAGCGCAGTGGTGGAGTTTCTGCAAAAATCAGAGGCCTTGTTCTTTCATGAGCCGCGGAGGGGGCCAATTGAGGGCTTAGCTTTCCATTGACGTCCGTCGAGTTGGAGGTTGATATTTTTTTACAGAAAGGTTACATTATTATAAGCACACACGCGAAGTTTCAACATGCAGACACGTATTTTTTATGGGATTTTTTTTTGAAAATTAAATATTTTGCAATATTTATGTCAATCCATATCACAGATTATTTAGAATTCTTGCCATTGAACGATTCGTTTTACCTCCGGCTTGTTGGTCGCCTTCGTTACAGCGGTCGGAAGCTGCTCTTCCCGCAGCGCCGGAGACGTTGTAGTCTCAAAGAAGACACAGAAATCCCTCTGAATCAGTCCCTCTATTTTTTTCGGATGAAAGAGATTCCCCCCTTCCCCTCCAAAGATTTCCACATTGCTTTTAGGGTTCCGTACCTCAAAAGGTAAAAAAGGAACCCTTATAAGATCACTTTCTTGCCCGCCTGTCCGTGTGTCACCACCGATTTTCTCAGGAACGGGCAGACCTAGCAAGTTGAAATTTATACCAGATACTGAGGTCTATGGTCCCTATTTGGTGTATAAAATTAAGATAAATTTTAGTACTTACAAATTTTCGCGAAAATCTACGTAAAATCTGGGTAGGTACGGAACCCTCGGCGCACAAGTCGACTCGTACTTGACCGGTTCTTAAAATTTGGAGTTTATTTATTTAGTTTTACTGTTCAACAGGGCCCCAAATTCTTGTGTGCCCGGGGGCCCAGGCATGGCCAAAGACGGCTGTGATTGCAATGTCAAATATACGTAAATTAACACAGTAATCACTTGAAGACCAACAGTTAAGAGACCCTTTAGACATATCAACAGTTAGCACTTATACCAACTACCTGATTTATGTATATAAAATGTTTGGTTTTGAATTTTGAACTGAACTGTCCCAATTATTAGTTACTACAACATTATAGATGAATGAATATTCACCATAATAAAATGCATTAATAAAGCAAAATAATGTAAGTAGTATATATTTACTATTATATTTCATATTATGAAATATAGAGTAATTCACTTTCTTTGTAATATCTCAAGCGTTTGCCTATTTCTGTAAATACTTGATTACATCAATTAGGAGATATTGGCACTTCATTGCTGATATGTACATAGAGCTTCAGGTTATAGCAATACTATCACTATTCACTTAACATAACTAACAAAGTTTTAACTGTTCTAGTGCTCCAGAAAATAGTTTTAAAGATCTGATTATATATTTAATGAAACCGATGTCATAATACAACAGCTGCAAATGTTATAAAACTTAGTAGTACAAATGACTGTAGCAAAAGTTTACAAAACACGAATCCTTTAGAACACAGAAACAATTTTGACTCTGTAACTGTAAGGTTGTTTTTGCTGAATAATCAAAACATATCATTGGGTTAATTAGTTTAACATTTAGATACCAAGCTAGAATACCACAAACTTTATATTAGTACAAAGATAAAGCAACTTCAACATATACATATATATATTGTTTAGATTAGTACTTGAGAATACATGAACAATGAGTTAATCTAAGATAGCACAAGTCTGTAAATATTAAACTATTAAATGACTGAGAGAATGATTCATTGATAGGATGTCTAACTTGAAAAATATAAAACAAACTAACAACTTTAAGAACATTTTCTTCAATAAACATTTCAATGTGATCATTTTGACTAATAAATATTCAAGAAAAACAATGAAAAATTACTCATACTTAAATTTAGTTCAGAATTCATGTATTTAGTCAATTCCCTTAGATATCTTTCACCTGTAGACTCAATGTAGACCAATGTCAATGAGTAGCGGCACTGGATTAAAGTCACTTAAGTGAAAGTAGTCTCATTGTAAAGTAGAGCAAATATTTTATGCAATCAGCATGACTTTATGTAACAATCTTTGAATTAATGATAAAAATACACTGACTTACAGACAAATAATCACAAAATAACTATAACTAACCCAAACAAATATTAATAAATACTTAAGCTTCATTTCCAAAGAGTTCGTAGCCCTAAAAACGTGTATTTTTATTTTAGTTTACAGTTAAGTCTAATTTACAGTTTACTAAAGAAAGGCAAAAGTGTTTTAAGCCTAAGTTTGCATAACATTAACGTGCAGTAGCATGATTATTCACCAAGAAATACTAAAGAAAACAAGTTTCTATAATAGTGAAAGAACATTTTATGTAATTAGCATGAACACTTACTCAGTATATTATTAAAACGTGGCACTTAATAGGAAGCGATTTTAATAACAATTGAAATCGGTTAGAAAAACTATTGAAGTTTTGTATAAATTAATTAATAATTTTAAGTCATTTCTTTCCCATAGTTTTGAGCTCACCAAAAACGCATATCCAGGCGAGCAAAATTGCTGTCTGTCCTTTTAACTACTGTCACTATTGTCAAATATACTGTCACCTGTCGAAATTAATGGATGTCTTTCATAGAGGTGTCATACATTTTACTTTTAAAACATCCATAGAGTTATATTATGAATAGCGTAATCATCACCAATCTGCCTTGGAAAATCGGTGAAAATAAAATACTAACAAAATAATTATTTCTTTTATTTGTGACAGTAAATACGAATTTTAAAAATTACTGAAAGAAAATTATAGATGAAAACAAATAATGATAATGAATTAAAATATTTGTTTGGTGAAGGGTAACTGAAGTCAGTAGCCACTCAGTAGTCAGTATGTAATGTGAACCCGTGACGGAATATTTATTTTATTTATTTATTTTAAGGAACACAAACAATGTATTGTACAATAGCGTCTTAAGAACTAATATACATAATGTCTTAATCTAGTACATACAAAAATAATATGTGTCCACAGCATCTCCATTTTATGTTAACTACCTTGAGAGATACGAGACAATTTACATGATTTCCTTGTTTGAAAACTATTAAGACCTTTGCAAATTAACCTTTAACAATAAAATGCTAAGCACAAATCATGCAATGCAATAAGCTTATATAAATATATATACATATATACACACATATACATACATACACACATATATACACATATACATATATATACATACACATACACACATATATACATACATATATATTTATCTGCAAAAATCTATACCATACATTTATTTATAATATTCTTAAATGTGCTTGTTTCTCACGAAATATATCCAGATTTCCAAAATTCTTCGCTTTTAAATAATTGTACGCATTGCACATTCTTACAATTGGCGAATTTATCCCAAGATTAGTACGACATCTGGGCAAAACAAACATATTGGTTATGGGATTTCGAAGTGGCGGAGGTCGAAATGGTACCTTTAATTTTATTTTTCCTAACAATTCGGAGTCAGTCACTTTTCCATTTATTATTCCATGCAGAAAATTTAAGTCAGCTATTTTTCGTCTTTTGCGAAGTGTGTCTAACTTATAATGTTTTAATCTGACCATGTAAGGAGCTCTTCGCCCAACTTCATGCTTCCAGGATAGATGTCGAGTAAAAGATCTTTGAATGGACTCTATACATTGCGAGTGATTCGAGTAGTGAGGATTCCAAGTGACACTAGAAAATTCTAATACACTTCTTACGAGACTTTTGTACAAAAGGATACTGGTTGTTACTTTCTTAAACTGTTTTGTATTTCTTTTTATGAACCCCACCATCTTAGCGGCTTTAGTAGTTATATTATCGATATGAGATATTAAATTTAAATTCCCGTGAAGCACTATTCCCATATCACGAATCGTTGATACTTCTTCTAATTTTATGTTATTAATTGCGTAAGCTGAATCAATGAACTGTTTTTTACATGTAAATTTAATATGAAAGCATTTAGATGGATTAAGACACATGTTGTTATTTTGAAACCATACTGATATTGCATTGAGATCATTTTGTAACCTATTTTTATCCGTAATATCGCTTACCTCTCCAAATAACTTCAAATCATCGGCATAAACAGAGCAGTGACTGTAACGCATAAAATTGACAATGTCGTTGATAAATACAAGAAAGAGCTTGGGACCTAATATCGAACCCTGAGGCACACCGGAGAGAGAATAATAGGTATGAGACGTAAATCCATTTACCACTATATTTTGTGATCTACCCGTAATATACGAGTCAAACCACCTGTGCAATGAACCCTCTACACCATACAGATACAATTTCTGAAGCAGAACGCAATGATCGACTTTATCAAAGGCGCTTGAGAATTCGGTATATACAACATGAACCTGAGATCCTTTATCTACCCTTTCACAAACAAAATCTAAAAAAGAGACTAAATTAGTGGAAACTGATCTACCTCTCATAAATCCATGTTGTTTTGCTGTAATATGTTGGTCTATATGACTACTCAACAAAATGCATACTAAAGATTCAAAAACCTTTGCGAAACAAGACAATATCGAATTTTATACACCGGGACTATCTTAGCTTTTTTCCAATCTTCTGGAAAAGTACCACTACTCAAGGACAAATTAAAGAGGATAGTAAGCGGTGCAGACAGTTCACTGGCACAGGTTTTAACGAAAATATGTGGGATCCCATCAGGCCTGGGACCTTTTGAAGAATCAAGATGTTTTAATTTATCCAGTACTTTTTCCTCCTCAAGTATTAGATTGCTTAATGGAAACAAAATTGAAGCTCTATCAAAGTTACGTCCCATGTCTACGCTAGCTTCTACTTCGGAATTGTTAAAAACTGAGGAAAAATGATTCGCAAACAAATTGCTTATTTCTTGAACGCCTGTACATGACACATTATCTAAATTCATAACATCTGGAAATCTACTTTTGTTGTGACTTTTTAATTTAATATAGTTATAAAATTTGCTGGTATCTGAAGCTATGTTATTCTCAATATTTTCCACATAATCATTATAACATTTAACATACAACTTATGACAACGTTTTCGAAGAATAGAGAATTCAATTTGATCTCAAGGATTCCTGTATTTACGATACCTAGCTCTGATCTTTTCTTTTTCCTGAATCAATTTAATGAGTTTTTGACTAAACCATTGTGGATGCTTATTCTTTCTTAAGTTTGTAGTTTTACGCACTGGTACATGTAGTTGTATGATTTCATTGATTCTTTTATAAAATATAGAAATAGCCTCGTTGATATTAACCGTTTTAAGCATATTTTGCCAATCAGTTGAAGCAAGTTCTATTTTAATTTTGTCAAATTTTAATATGTAATTATGTAATAATATGTAATTTTAATATGTCCAATACTCCCTTTTTTGCTTGCTATATTAAGTAAAATAGTCTGAGAGTAAGGAAAAAATTGTAATAAGTAGGTAATCAGTACTAGTTAAATATATAATAAAAGTGTTTAAATATATTGTTTTTCGTTACGTCTGTCTCTTGTAACACAACTAAGAATTCAATTCAATGATATTGTGTTTTGCACTTATAGATCATTCAATTTTGTTTATGTGTCTCGAAAAAGAACAAGTTAGCCTTTTAAAAAAGCTTTAGATTATGGAATGCTAGGGGCCCTTGTTATAACTAAAAACCAATATGATTTAAATAAATATACCTACATTAGGATACAAACCTACCTCATGTAGATATATTCGCTATTGCGTGATTGTAGGTCAAACTGACGTCCCTCTAAAATTAAATACTCTAAAATTAATAATAGATAGAGATACCATTTCAGCATACAATTGACATTTTAATATAATTCATTGCGTTTCGGTTTTAGCCGCTAATCCCAGTTTCGGTCGGAGACTACTAAACGAAATTCACTTCCTCACAATTTATAGGGATAGCAAGAAAAAAATTACATAGATTTTATTCTAGATATTCTATGGAATTTTTCAAACACTAGTTTTGCTAGTTGTCAATTCGGTTCAGTATCTTGTCAAAAAATTTGCTGTGAATGTGTGCGGACCGGGTACGAATAAATAGTATACGAAGCGGTCATTAGCAAACTGAAGTAAATATACGAGGAATAATATTGAATTTACATTAAAATGGCCCAAACAGATATTTCTTGTGGCTTAGACTATATAACTACTTCAGATTTACAAGCATGTCTAACAGAGGGTTTGCGTTCAAATTATTCGTTTATAATTTCACCGGTAGTTCACCCACGTTTTCGCAGACCTTTTACGAGTACCGGAAAAGTAGGTGGCTTTACAAGATCTGATATGGTACTTTCTCCTCAAGATTGGACCAGTCGGATGGTAGCAAAAGTGTCTCCTTATCTGAATCCAGACTGTTCGTCACCCTTAGTTCGTCAGCGTCATCAAGACTGTTTAAGTGAAGAGCTGAATTACTGTAAAGGTCTAGGAGTTCCAGCAATTATTTTGTCTCTCCATTGCAGGGAAAGTAACAATTTAGCTAGAATTGTTCAGGCACATTATGAAAGCAGGTACATGTATAATATTTTGCACAATTTTTATTCATCACTATACCTAAAGTACAATTTCACAGTTATTAATGGTTACCACATTAGTTTAATAATGTAAGTGTAAACAGTAATTTCATTACCAATGTCATAATATTACATATAATATACCGGACTACAAAAAAAAGTCCTTAAAGTGAAGTAATGTTGTATGTAAATATTAAGTATAACAAACACTTTAAATTGTTCACATATTTGGGGCAGTAACATTTTAGTCATAAAAAGAAAAACCTACCAGAAAATCTAAGCAGTTTCTTGTTGGAACAATACATTAACTTTTATAGGTAATTCACATATAAATTTGAAAGTTTTGTTTTGTTGTCTTCAAAAGGGGTATTGATAATATTCTCATTATTTTGTTGTATTAAATAAGCTTAATGAAGTGACTTGTTGTAGGTTAAAAAACTACCTTAATACAACAATGTTACGTAGCTGGATTGGTTAAAGATAAATAATATTCTCACTCCTATTAGTAATAACTAGCTGACCGGCGCAACTTCGTCTGCGTCTCTCAATAGTAATAAATTTTCTCCGTTTTTTGAAACATTCTTCATTGGTGCTCCGCTCCTATTGGTCTTAGCGTGATGATATATAGCCTATAGCCTTCCTCGATAAATGGGCTATCTAACACTGAAAGAATTTTTCAAATCGGACCAGAAGTTCCTGAGATTATCGCGTTCAAACAAACAAACAAACAAACAAACAAACAAACTCTTCAGCTTTATAATATTAGTATAGATTATTAAAAAGTATAGTAGTATAATTAAGATCAATTATGATCAGCATGGCATTCAAATCAAATCAAATTTATTTCTGCAGATAACACTAGAAAGGTTGTATGAAATATATAGTTATGTTTCAAGTGATTCTACCCTAAGGCATGCAAAATATATACAATTATTGTTTATTAAAACCAAGGTTGATGTTGAAACATTTAAATAAAACTAGATTACAGAATAATTCAAATGACTGTATTGTCCTTCTTAAAGTTATTATGATAAAGATTAATTATTTATTTAATAATAATTAGATTATTTCAATGTCCCTCCCTGAATTATTACAATATAATAACAAATTAATTATATTTAAAAGACACATTCTTAACCCCAATTCATCCATCCATGCTGCATGCTCCATTACTTGACGTCATTGTGAGGTCTCAAGATTGGAAAGATCATCATTTAGATAGTCAACTTATAGTAACGTTAAATAAAATAGTATTCATTGCCCTTATTTCTTTAGGTAATTTATTGAAAATTACCAGATCCATGTGAAATACACTTTTGTGCATTAAAGTGGTATAGGTTCGTCACATACAGAGGCGAAACGGGTCACATTGTTGCCTATTATAGACTTCTGAGGTTAATGTAAATAACTTTTGATTGACCTTGAAAAATATTGGGACCTCATAAATATACAGGCTTGAGAGAGTTAGGATTTTGTACTCCTAAAAGAATGGTTTACAGGTTTCGATTATTTGAAGCCCAAACATAGCCTTATGCACCGATTTTGTGCTTTAAAAATGTATGCTTTAACAAGGTACTTACATTTGAAATCTGTTTTAATTCATGTATCGCCATACACTGATTTATTAATTATTTTGCACAGTTCAATTTATTATTATCAATCTATTATTTAATGTGTTAAAAAAAAAGATTGAAAACATTGAAACTGAACATAGTGTTCTAATTAGTAAAAATTAATATGGGAATTAATGCACTCAATGGGTATTACATGTCTTTGAATTGTCTGAAATTTAAGTAGGTGACCAAGTAGGGGACCCTGGTTGAAATGTCTGACAATTTTCCATATTAATTTAAATATAAAATTTAATAATTTGAAAGTTTGTATAATTGTTTTCAGTCACCAACAAAGTTTGCTTTGGGCTCGAGTACCCTTGGCATGTAGCAAGAATAGGAGAGAGAGGGGAATTTCAGATAAAGACTCTGAGGATGATGAAGATGAAGCATTTGAGGAGCCCTGGCAGTGGTGGTCTAATTTTCATGAGCGTTTGGAATGGGATAAAAGAATTGGTGTAGTGCTGGAAATATCTGCAAACCTTCCATCTCAAGATATAATTAAGCGCTGGTTAGGAGAACCCATCAAGGCTATCATTGTGCCTACTTCCATATTCCATACAAATAAAAAAGGGTAGGGTAATTCCTTCTTGTTTACCTTTAAACACTAAATTTATAAGTTAAAAAACATCATTGGGGTTAAGAATCTACAATCTTTATTTTCTTTAGGTACCCAGTATTGTCACGAGCCCACCAACAGTTAGTAGTCAGCATGGTAGAACATGAAGCACAAGTGATTATTAGTGGAGCCAGAAGGGCCAATATAGAGTTCTACTTCCAGTATCTGTGTAGAATTTGGAAAAGGCGACCCTATTTTGGTGATGACCCTATGCTGAGTTATGCAAAAGGGTATAAACATGTTTCTTTATTATTTTTATACTTAAATAATCAGTGTCTTTTTTAATACTTATATTTTATTTTAGATGGGAAGATTATCTTCAACATCCATTGCAGCCTCTTGCAGATAATTTGGATACACACACTTATAATGTGTTTGAAAAAGATCCTGTAAAATATGACCAGTATCAAAAAGCTATAGCTCAAGCTTTAATTGATTTGCAAAAAGAATCATCAAAAAAGGTATTTGTGCAGTACCAATTTGCACTGTTAAACAAGATTCTCTTTTGTTTATACTGGTAGCTGCATTACTGTATTGCATTATGCATTCTGTGAATATGTTAAAATAAAATGGTGACGGATTAAGAATACAGAGTGTCACCACCCCTATTCATCCCGTGGGTGTCGTAAGAGCCGACTAAGAGAGCTAACTATGCAGGACACCAGCACTGCAAAGAGAAGGAAAACTTGACACAAACCCTATACCAACCTATCTGGCCAGAGTGGTATACTAGGCCAAAACCTCCTTTCTAAGGAGAGGCCTATGTCCAGCAGTGGACTGTTATAGGCTGTTGATGAAAATGACATTAATTATTTACATTTGTATAAATTTTGTTGTTAAGTTGAACAGTACTTGTTTAATTCCATTTGCCAACACAATAAAATCAACTATAGAAACTTTAATAATTCTAGAAAGACAGCTTACATTAAATGAAACAATTACACAAATGTAATAAACATTTGTGTAATTGTAATATGTGCCTGTGGTGTTGCCTTCTTGTTATTGGAGTTTTATTCTCTAAAATTATTAAGAAGGAGGAAAAGGCCTTTAAATATATATAATAGCAACTTAAATTTTTCGGTCTCGATCCCATCCGCTAAAAGAGCGTGTAACGCGCGTTAAGGAACTTCGATTCAATAAATTAAATGTATGTTTGTGTACTCTTAACTCAAAAAAGATGTAAACCAATGGAGGTCAAATTTGGACAACAAAGTACAAAACACTTTAAAGGTTGTTTTTATCTATTTTCATGTCAGTTTTGTTCCTTGTTTCCTACCACCACAATGTACTACAGTAAAGCATGGCAGGGTACAGTTAGTAGTTAGTTAGTAGTTTATACACATAATTTTTTAAATTCTTATAAATTATGCTAAAATCTACTGTAACATTTGCCATGCTGCACAATCAAACAATAAGAGTAAATAAAAGCCCATGTTACAAATAATAAGGTAAGGAAAGTTTTATGTAATCACTATTAGGCAATTTTTTCATAACCTGTTCAATTGCAATAAATGAATACTGTAGAGGTTGATTGAGACAGTGCAATGTTCTTTTCTTAGTGGCTATACCCATTTCAAATCTACCAGTGATGTAGATAATTAATATTCACTATTTTCCAATATGACGGATTCAATTAATAATATTCGGTTGCCAGAATCAAGATATTCCTGAAAGAGATGACATAGAAATTGGACAGGGAGAACATGTGAAAAGAAAAACTATTACAGTGATGGTACTAGGCGCTGGCAGAGGACCCCTTGTCAGGGCAACTTTTAATGCAGCTGATATAACAAACACTAAAGTGAAGGTAAGTAATTATTTGTTTTCTTACTTGACTGCTTTTGTCATTTACTAATAAGAATGGAGATTAGGTAATCACTTTATGTAGTCACACAACACAAACCCATTTCGTTGTGTTTACTGTATCTCTAAAGAATAACATCATAACAGCTGCTAACATACAAGCATAAACAGGAAATATAGTTAGCATTATATCTAATGATACACCCAAAACGATTTTAATAAAATAGCAAACAATCCATTTCTCAGAATACTAATGCTTATCAAATTATTTAACTCTCATTTAACCTATTTTTATGATCATGTTAAAGTAACAAATAGAAATAATAATTGTATTGACTAGCCCGAAATGAGAACGGCGTACACTGTCTCTATTTAGTACATCTAATTCCAGTATAATTAGAAACAGCTTTTCTCAATCTCTCAAAAATAGGAATATCTAATATTGTTTTAAGACCCCAGTCCCAGACAAACCAGTTATTTTTTCGTCTACTACTATCCACCAATAAAAAATCTTATCAATAGCAATTATATTATATTTCAGGTGATTGCAGTAGAAAAAAATCCCTGTGCTGTTGTTGTATTAGCAGCACAGGTCCGAGAGGTATGGCGAGACCGGGATGTCGTAGTGATACCAGGTGACATGCGAGAAATCAATCTAACACCAAAAGCTGATATAATTGTGTCAGAATTACTAGGTAAAGTAATTAATCTACAAAATTCCTTTAAACTAGAACGTCGACCGTACATAAAAAGGGAAGACGAGACATTGAATTCATTACAATTAGCTATACTGGTTGCATTTTAACCGATTCATCGCCACCTCCATTGCGGTTTATCATACGCACGGGCCAAAACATTTGTTTGATGGCGCGCCAGAGACTGTTAAACGATGTCACTATATCGCCGTTCGTAATGTTTTTCATTTACGTTTCACTGTTACGCGAATTAAACAGTGAAATGTTCAACAACGTAACAGTGAAAATTCAAAAAAAAAAGTTGGTATCATGTTCTTTATTTGTCTAATGGAAATCCAAAGGTGATATGTCGTACCAAGGTAGTCATTCACATTTGTCATAAAATGTGTCGGTGATTGTAAACATTTTTAACAAATTGATTGAAATATTTAATAATATCTAAATATTAATAATTATCTTAGATAAATCAATTTATGCCAGTTTACGCAACTGTACCTATTTTAGTTGAAGATAGCATAATTATTTAACTACAATAATCGGATTTTTCATAAAATACCTAAATGGTAATTTATTTTAACCTGTACCTATATATTTTTTCCTGCAGATAATGGCAACTTTCCTGAATGTAACCAAACACTATTTACGAACATAGATGAACATTGTCAGAGAGATTAGTAATGTAAATGAAAGTTTTAATGGAGCCGGCAAAGACGCGGGTTTGGCGTATGGTTGATATACATTCAGTCAAAAAAGTATCGGGAATGGATGGAAAGGATTTGTTTATGGTTCCAAATTCAATTTTTTTTTGTTCTTAGATTGGCACAACTGTTTTCCATTTTGGCGCGCAGTTTGAGTTGCATCTATTATTTATATTAAATACAGTGCTGTTTTTAGTTATATCTTATCTAGTGTGTATTGCGAATTTCATAATGGACAAAATCATCAAACAAAGAGTTCGTCTTAAATTTTGCATCGCCAATGGAATTTCGTGTTCGGAGTCACTGAAAATGTTACAGAAGGCTTACGGTGAATCGACTTTATCAAAAACACATGCTTATGAGTGGTATAAAGCGTTCAAAAGTGGCCGTGATGTGATGGAAGATGCTTTGCCTCATCTGGTAGGCCATCAACGTCTGCAACTGAGGTTAACATCGCAAAAATGAAGGAAATAGTGACTGAAAATCCTCATTCAACTTTGAGAGAGATAGCCCGCCGAACTTTCTGCATCTCACGAGTCGATCCGTACCATTTTAACTAATCATTTGGGTATGAAACATGTAACCGCTCGGCTAGTCCCAAAAGACCTGAATTTTCTCCAAAAACTCAACCGCATGATAGTCGCTGAGGACATGCTAGAACGAGTCAATTCCGGCCCAACAATCATGAAACGTAATGTTACTGGTGACGAGACGTGGGTTTACGAGATTGACATGCAAACTAGTCAACAATTTTTGACCAAACACTCAACAAATACCATCGAGCAACCACCATATTCACCAGATATGGCTCCAGCCGACTTCTTTCTTTTTCCTAAACTCAAATTACCATTTCGTTACACCCGTTTTCAATCGGTAGAAGACATAAAGGGAATTCGCGGCGAGAACTGAACTCAATTCCGGAAACAGTGTTTAAAATATGTTTTGATGATTGGATTATTCGTTGGCGTAAGTGTATCGTTTCTGAAGGAGCATACTTTGAAGGTGATAAAATAAATTTGGATGAATAACAAACATTTTGTGTATTAAAATTTTGATCTTTCCCCGGTACTTTCTTGACAGAGTAGTAATGTGCATGCTGCTCGCGCAAGTTACACGTGTGCGTCTTACTCGTTTCAGATTTGACACAGTTCAGTACCAGGGTGCTTGTACACGGTGCAAGTAGCTGGAGTAAAGTAATCGCGTTACAGTGTTTCGACGAACGAGAATTCTTATAAATTCATTTATTAAAAATGTTATTCTACCAAAGTTAATCAATTTACTAGATTTAATTCGTCTGAATTAATACAACTGCGAAAAAAAAGGTTATGGATGCGTGCGACTTCATTTTTTTCGTTTTCTAAATTGTATGTTGATCGAAGACTTCGTATTATATTTTATCTGAAACCGTCAACAATTTCCTTCTCAATTGCTTCAAAAGCTTTCTTTGCTTATTTTTATACGTCGAAAATTCCATATTTCACAAACACGTGTAATTTGTACAAAAGTATGAAACGACAAATCGTTTCATCGTTGCACTTCTCTCATTTATCACTCATTATTGATCCCGACGTTATTAATCTCGTGAGAATTAAAATAATAACCAGTTTCTGTCAGTCGAACGCGTCGCGCTTGCGCATGTCTGTACCTGCTCAAGTAACCCGCGCGAGTGGTCTTCCCAGAGTCACTGGACCCGCTTAGTCCTTTTCGCAAAGAAAATAACCTGCGCAAGTGCCTTAACATGCGCAAGCTACTCGCATTGTGTGCAAGCACCCAAAGAAAGGCCTATATCCAGCAGTGGACTATTAAAGACTTTGATGAACTATGAGAATGACTAACGAACGAATATAACCGCGCATCCCTTAAAAATAGTGGCATCCTATTAACATGAAGAGCGTCAATTACCACAATTTGTAGCCCCAGCAGTTCAGGCTTTGCATTGATGAATCAGTCATGGACTGTAAATAGTATATAAATATAGTTTAATCATAATAATATTGTCTTACTACATATTTTCGAATAAATCTATTTTATTCTAGGTTCATGGGGAGATAATGAACTCTCCCCTGAATGTTTGGATGGAGCCGCAGGACTATTAAAGTCAGGGGGTATATCGATACCCTGTCAGTACAGATCGTTCTTGGCGCCAATTTCATCACCTCGATTGTGGGCAGCTGCTAAGTCTTCATCCTCCACTTTTCCACATAAAAAAAATGGCAATTTGGAGACCTTATGGGTTGTATACATGCAGAATAAACATGACATTGCTGAAACAAAGGTATAAAAAATAATTTGCATGCTTGCAATCTTTTGTTCTTTTAATGGCAATTTATAAATAATTAAAAAAAAAATGAAATATAGAGCAAAATACCACTTGGTTTTAGACCGTTCAAGTCCAACTTACCACTTTGGCTCATTAGGTGATTATCCTTGATGGTTTCTACTCACAGAAAAACGTTACACAATATTCATACACATGTATGTATGTGTTAATATAGAAACCAAACTAATATGTATGTAATTTAATTTATATTTCTTTAAATTTTATTAAATGTAACTTGGTATATACATCTCACACATTAGTGATAGATGTTCCCTTCAAATTAGAAGTAGAGCTACTTTGTTGTATTTTATATATATATTTTCTTTTCATTTACAATCTAGGTGCTGTTCACTTTTGAACATCCAGCAAAGGGAGCAACAGATCATGAAGGTCAAGAAATGACTGATTACAGAGGGCTACCATTGACAGATAACAGAAGAGAAGCTGTAGTGAATTGGACAGTTGAGAGAGATAGTGTTATGCATGGCTTTGGAGGATATTTTGATTGCACGCTATATGCAAAAGAGGTCATAAGCATTGTTCCATCTACACACAGTCCAGGCATGATATCATGGTTTCCAGTGTTTATACCAATTAAGGTATTTCCTAAAAAAGTTATACAACATTTTGTTAAACTTTTATAAGTGTAAATAATTTTATTTAAATTTCAGACCCCACTACGAGTGCACAAAGGCGAAATAATTACAGCAAGATTCTGGCGGTGTGTCAACGCTCGAAGGGTGTGGTATGAATGGATAGTAGAAGTAGGCAACCGAACAACTAAATTGCATAATGTTAATGGACAAAGTTCAGAAATGTTTTTGTAGCTGTAAATATCATTATTTATCAGTAAGCACAAGTAAATGAAAATTATATTGATACTTGCCATTTGTATTATTTTATAATCAATATTACATAAGTTTCTATTACCATAATCTATTTCATACTATGTACTATTTGTTAATTTAGCTACTTTCTAATTAATCTCACAATATTAAATTCCTTGTGCAAATCGTCTATATCTTGTTCCCATCTCTTTTCGAAGTAGATACCTGAAAAATGAAATATATCACTGGCACAGGAAAAACTACCACATAGACGTCGTTAATTTGTATGTACTATGACTATTCGCAATTTTTCGCACATTTTATTTTGTCACAGATTTACTCGGGTCTTAGTTTAAAAGATATTTCAATTTTTAAGCGGGGTATAGTCTAAGAGCTAGATCCAAGAGTTTACGAAAAATTGCCAAGAAAAAAATAATTCTATAAGTATGTGTAATGTAGTTCTAGTTTTATCGTGAACAGGCCATCAGCGGAACAGTATCTTCCAAGTTACAGCTGGTACCCCCCTGGGCTAAAGAATTTTTCAACGACGCTATAAGAATCATGTGGGGAAGAAAGAGGGGGGGGGGGTTGGCTCTGGAAACCTAACTCACTCTGTAAATTGCAACCAAGAAGTTGCTCTACGACTGGTTTTCTGTGAGGCTGTGGTATCGCACCAGTCAAGCTGGCCCATTTTTGCAGAAGCATGGCTCCCACGTAAACCTTGTACCTATAGAATAGCCAATGATAATGTTTATTTACTCAAACCTATGCAAAAATCTAGCTGTCTACAACTAGATTTTTAACTCAATTGATAGAGTATTTTAGCAATAGTAAATTTTCTGACTGTAAAACATGCTTGCGATTGCAAAACATATTTTTTCAAGCTTGATACAGGCTTTCATTTACCAGTGAAATGTTATAATTTAAAAGTAATAAAGGCATGTGTGTCTACTAGTATATCATGACTTGCTTGTAGATGTGAAGTAAAAGTACTATTAACTTTTTTATTCAAAAGTTGGAACTCTGAAAAATCTATTAAAATTATGATAAAATGATACATCATACACACTTCACAAAGAAATCTTGACAAGAGCATGTTAAAATCCACTTAGCATAAAAATGTCAACAGAATATTTTACTTACTACTGTACTGTGAACATTTTAAGAAAAGTGGTTAAAGTAAATCCTGAACAACCAGATTCTGCCGTGTGCGTTACCCCAGCAAAATAATGTCGAAAATGGTCATTTAAACTTTATAGATAATTAGTTGCTCCCCTTCTGTAATTGTTAGGCACATTTTTAAATTTGTTTCACTTAAACTTTTTTAGTTATTTCAAAAAAACATTTCCTGCTGGGGTAACGTTTGAAACGTTACCGCAGCCAGACATTTTCTTTTTTAATTGTAATATTGAAATAAATTTTAGCTAAATAATTAGTTATCTGGACTAGGTAAATGTTACAACTTATTTGGAATTTGTATTTTCTTCGGCTGCGAAGTTATTCGAAATCCTGCTGGAGTAACGTTTGTGGGTTTGCTGGATCTCTGAAACGGGTAAGCGGATTGTAACCATCTTTTGTATATAACTTCTTAAGGATTAGTTTTAATTTGTTCGACAATAAAATAACAAAAATAATAGACCGTTTAAAAATTATTTAGGTAAGTATGAAAACACTTCAATACGTCCTAACACTTTAAATAAGACCTCTAAAGACTTACTTCAAACGTTATTCTATTGCTTGTAACTACCTTCAAATGTATACGAATTTTCGTAAGAATACTGTAAGTGACTAAAAAGTTATGATGAAATGTAGCTCTCCACGTTTACGATCACAATGTGTGCGGCCTTTTTTGGCCACCGATAAACCTGTGTGTGGATATATAAACTGAATGTTATGCCAATAATTAGTTGTTTAGTTCAGTTGTCTACCTGTAAAATTTCAGCGTAGTACATATAATAATTTACGAGATAATTAAATAAAAGTCATTAGAAGGTGCAAGACCGTGGTAACCCGACCATGTTTAGGTGGTTACAAAAAAGCGATCACCCAGTACATTGTGCTGGCTTTTAAAATATGTAGGATATTATTTGCAAGTTTACTACGGATATGTACATAAGTGTTACAATTTTTATTTAGGATTGTTTATTGCAAAATTAGTAATCAGCCGGGAGATTAGGTATTGTTTTGAATGCTTTTGTTTTCTCGTAATGTTTAGGTGAATTGTTTATAGTTGTTCATAGAATTGGTACCTGCGTAGTATTTGTTAGTTGAAGTTTAATTTTAGGGTAGGTATAGGTAATTTAAGTTTTGAAGAGTGTAACGTATGCGTTGTAAATAGGTATTTTGTGAATAGATGGGGATTTTTTTAAGTGATGAATCGACTTAGGCTAGCATATGGCGAACAAACTCTGTATTGCATTATTTCTGTAATAATGTTGGAGAAAATAAAATATTTGATCACAAAATCGCGGTGAGTTAAATTATAATAAAATAAATTATTTATGTAAAATTAGTAATAAGTGATATACCTACCTACAAGTTATGATCGTTTTTAATTTGTTCACCCCGAACGAAATTTCAATATTAGCATTAGTAATTAATATCCTAAGACAAGAATTGACAATTACTTAAATTGGATCGAATTAGCATTAATGCCCATTATTAGTAATTAGGTACACACATATTGAAGAACTCTCAAGAATACGATAAATATTTGCAAAAATAGAAAGCGGAAGCGCACACATACATACTTTACAACACGTATATTATCTGCCTAAGGGTCAAGTTTAGTGCACTAGATGCAAATTACAAACAATGAAGTATCCCTTCGCCCCTCCCCTCCCGCGTTCTAGCGAAGGATGTATTATCAGCGATTCTTGATTGACAAATATTTTCTGACCAATAATTTTATCTATAAAAATGTATCACTTTCACTCGATAAATTAAATTACCGTTATTATATCAAAATATCATTCAACAACTGTTCGTTTTTAACAGAAATCAACAGTCACGGGCTCAACGCTTAACGGTAGGTACATAGGTATAGATAATTCTCGGTTCTCGGTATAGACCACAGAACAATATTACCTACTCTTACGAGGTATACGACTGTTGGGCGATGCAATGTTGATGCATTCTAATTTACAACTGTATTCTTCTACTATTCGGTCTATTTTAACTTATTGTAGATGACTTGTTGCTTTAAATATTTTGATGCATTCAAATCTAAGCTCTATACACCCCAAAATAAAATACAATTACTTTAGTGTTATTTCTTTACAAAAAAAAAATCAAAGAAATGAAACGATTTGTTATTGGTTTAAATTTTCGATTTATTGCAGTCAGGTGAATCGTTCATACATGTATCTACATATTTATAATTTTAGCGGACCAGTGCAGATTTTCTGTTGATTGTAGCTCCGGTAGTAAAAAAGACTAAAGATATTTTAAGTAAAGAAACTAGTGCTTAAGATCAATTAGGGAAAAAAACAAAATAAATAATAGGTAATAATAATGAATAAATATTGAATGTATTTAACACTGTACGCAACTGTACCGAAATCGTAAGGTGTATTACACTAAACATTTTAAAAGACAGCGCAATGTACTGGGTGATCGCTTTTTTGTAACCACCTAAACATGGTCGGATTACCACGGACTTGCACCTTCTAATGACTTTTATTTAATTATCTCGTAAATTATTATATGTACGACGCTAAAATTCTACAGGTAGACACAGGTTTATCGGTGGCCAAAAAAGGCCGCACACATTGTGATCGTGAACGTGGAGAGCTACATTTCATCATAACTTTTTAGTCACTTACAGTATTCTTAAGAAAATTCGTATACATTTGAAGGTAGTTACAAGCAATAGAATAACGTTTGAAGTAAGTCTTTAGAGGTCTTATTTAAAGTGTTAGGACGTATTGAAGTGTTTTCATACTTACCTAAATAATTTTTAAACGGTCTATTATTTTTGTTATTTTATTGTCGAACAAATTAAAACTAATCCTTAAGAAGTTATATACAAAAGATGGTTACAATCCGCTTACCCGTTTCAGAGATCCAGCAAACCCACAAACGTTACTCCAGCAGGATTTCGAATAACTTTGCAGCCGAAGAAAATACAAATACCAAATAAGTTGTAACATTTACCTAGTCCAGATAACTAATTATTTAGCTAAAATTTATTTCAATATTACAATTAAAAAAGAAAATGTCTGGCTGCGGTAACGTTTCAAACGTTACCCCAGCAGGAAATGTTTTTTTGAAATAACTAAAAAAGTTTAAGTAAAACAAATTTAAAAATGTGCCTAACAATTACAGAAGGGGAGCAACTAATTATCTATAAAGTTTAAATGACCATTTTCGACATTATTTTGCTGGGGTAACGCACACGATTCTGCCAAAAAAGGCCAATCTGAAGTTTTGTAGTCATTATTGTTGAGAATTAGAAAAAAACTAATGTCCTAATGATAGTCTCTGTTGAATAAGATTCTTTATAACAAATAATAACATAAGAAATAGTAATAGTAAATAAGTACCTTGCAAAAATTTGGCATTGTTACCAGTTCTTATGGCCCAAGGTAAGTAATACTTCAAATACAGCTGGCGATGTTTAGGCTTTAACCTGCTTGCACCCCAGATCCCACCACTGACACACATTGGTAGATTAGTTTGGATACCTTCTACCCATTTCACTGTTACCTTAAATTAAGTGTATGTAATTATTTTAATATTATATTATGTATATCATCTCTAATAAATAATGTTTTTCCTTAGATTACCTCTCCTAACATAGTGGTTTTCATGAATAAAGTAGCATGCACTAAATCATGAACTTCTCTATACCTTTGCATTACATATGCTAATTCCGGATCTGCAATAAACTGAACTGGTAATCGTGAATCAGCAGTTATTTTGTTTTCTGTCATAAAGTCTGCATATATACGCCCCAATGTATTTTCCGGCATTTCCATAAGTTTATCAAATGCGACCGTCCTAGAATTTATTCGTGGTTTTTCCGATAGTATATCGGCACCTTCTTCAGTTTCAGCCATCTTTTGTCTCATATACTTTAGAGCACTCTCGCCAGTAACTTCTCCCAAGCAAGCAATCATATCTCCACGATACGGGTTCAGCAAAGCTATAGCAGCAGAACCGCACGATAGTAGTGTCTTTTGAAAAGAGTTTGTGGGGATGAAATTCTTTTGCATTTCTTCTAGGAAATTGTTACTATTAGGCGCAACTGCAGAATATTTTCTGACAAAAGTAATAAGACGCATGTTGAGGCACTTATTTATGCTAGGAGACATTATTAGATGTTGAATCCTGATGGTGACACTAATAAAAAATAAAACATATTACTTTGATTGATCATGCGTCAAATTTGAGTTGTCAAGATGACGGGAGTACGGGACCACACGTTTGGTATTTAAAAATATATAAGTATGTGTATCAGCAGCCTGGTTACCATAGCAGAGGCTCTGCCTAGTTTGAATTTGGATGGATGTGTGAGATATATTATATTATTATAGTATACTTTCATAGTAAAATTCTACACATACAAAATATTGTACAAAGAAAGTAGTCCCGTTATATTGATATCAAAATGTAATCACCTTACTGTATACCTACTGTAAAATCACCTTCCTGTGGTTACACACATAATACATTTTTCGATGGACTCGGGGATTTGTCCCTCAGCGTGTCGTAAAGCATTCGTCACTCCTCTTCCCAAGATCCCGAATCCTACACTCCTTGATCACCTCCGCCCTATCGCCATTCTCCCCTTCCTATCTAAAGTCCTCCAGGCCTGTGTGAACCAACACCTGTACCAACATGTTTATCGAAACATCATAATAAGCCCTTTCCAATCGGGGTTCAGGCTCGGGCATAGCACAACTCCTGTATTGCTAAAAGCGTCTGCTGACATCCGAGCAGGAATTGTGAAATTCAAAGTTTCAAAGTGTTCAACTCCGTCAGTCACGATATCCTTCTGTCTATCCTGTCCTACCTCATGATAACGCCTGATTCACTGAACTGGTTCTCGTCTTATATTCAAGGGTGTCAACAGTCTTTCTGCGTCGATGAATCCTCTTCAGGTTGGCGTGAATTCAACTGTGGCGTCCCTCAAGGCGGCATTCTCATAGAAAGTCATAAATCCCTTCAGTTACCTATCGTTTCTTTGTATTATTGATGTTAAAAGACGTAGCTCCAAATTTTGTGTAGCGTTTAAGAAAAAAGTTGCGGATACTAAACTAATCAAACAAAATGGCCGTCATTCTATAGTATAGTTTTACGAGAAAATTTTGAATTTTATGGGAAGTCTTGTTGTAGTAGGTATTACTTTAAATAAATATTATAATTTTTTGCACACGTTTTCTAATGGTGAGCAAACTATTTAGCTTCTATTGTAAATCTATTTACCACTGGGTTTAGGTAATAACAAGGCAATCAGGTTCCTTGTTTGTTTATTAGGATTATTTGGCTAATAATGTTTTGATTTACGTTAAAAAGTTTTAAGACACTGACATCTTATTTACATTCTATTACGTTGGTGTTTGGATAGGTAGTGTCCTAAATATGCTCAAGTTGTTCTATGTTTATTTGGGCGCGTAATTGCGTTGTTTGTTTACGTTTCGTGATGTTGTAATATGTCCTGTACTATATAATTAATTCTCATTATTATTATCTTTCCAGAGATTGTTCTAAAATAATGTCTAAGAGAGAACAAGGTGACCGAAATGAAAGAAAGCTGTTGGATGCGAATGATTATGAGAATTTAATAAGTCAACATAGTGCGTTTGAATCGTCGAGATCTAAAAGCCAAGAGTTACCCAGTTTTCCCGGATTTACTAATGCTGAAACACAAACGAAATCTAGCGATATTAAAGAACAGGCAGTTAATTCAAGTTTGGGAGCATGGCATTACAATCCTTGGTGGATGCTTGCCAGTACCTCACGTAATTTGCCTTCACAAGATGACTTTTCGGAGAGCAGTGATCAAACAAAAATAAAACAAGAGCGCACTGGAGCTGGTACCCCAGATAGAGATCCATTGCAAACTGATTTAGAAGCTTTTCACACAGAGACAGTGACACCTCCAGTGGGGTTAGATTCTTTCTGTGATGATTGTTCTGATCCATTTTGTGACTCAAGTACAGGAATCTGCCGCAAACTATTTCATTGTCCACACTGCAGAAAGAGTTATCCCACCATTTTAGAATTTAATACACATCTTACAGGAGTACATCCAGCTCAAAAACCTTTTCGATGTCAGATATGTTTGGAGCCATTCCACAAAAAATCACATTTACGTAGACATTTCGATTCAAACCATACCAGAAAAGATGTTAATAAGTGTTCAGTGTGCTCTAAATACATTAAGGACAAAAGTAATTTACGCAAACATATGCAAGTTCACACAGGCAGAGTACCTCAGAAACAGTTCAAATGTGATCTATGCAATAACAAGCGTTACATGTCATTAGACCGACTTAATAATCACAAGGTGGTATGTACAGGTGAAAAAGTATTGAAATACTGTGACATGTGCACTAAAGTTTTTGATAATTCAAGATCTCTGAACAGTCACAAGAAAGTACATGCTAGAGAATTGAAATGTGAGAATTGTGGGGAACAGTTACGTTCCTTGGAGCAATTTACAAATCATAAAATGATTTGTCAGGGAACAACATCAGAAGCAAGTAGTAGCCACAACATGCAAATAAACACGAGTGGACCGTCCATGAACAGATGCTGCACACAGCCAGGTCTATGTGAACATGACAAGCCGGCCTATCTGAATATACCTGGTTATGCAGCAAGCAGAGTACTTGATGCTACTCTTTCTTCTTTAAAATCAGAACTGAACTAATAATTTTGCCTAATGGCCCACAAAGTATATAATCAATACATTTATTAAATGAACAGTTTCTTTACAAGATTACCAAATAGAAAATGACAGTAATAATTTTCACAATTGAGAATTTCACAAGACTGATGCAAATATCCCGCCTCACGACTTGCTTTATTATTACCATTTAAATTTAGACTTTAGTTGTAGGTTTAATACAGTTATGTATTAAGTAAAATATCTGTTAAAACATGTTCCCATATATTTATATTAAGATTTATTAATGTATTGGGATATGCTTTAATAGTTATGATCCACCTTTATTTTTAACCTAAAATTAAATCTCGTTTCTAATGATTTTGATAAATTTTGACCTAATATTAAACTTTGGTCGTTAAACAGAACCTGATCAGACATGCAACAATTATTTGTACATTTGTCAGATATATTTTTTATTGTTTGATAACTTTTCTATAAAAATGCTTTTGACTGATTTAGAGTAAATGTGGACGTGCAGTATTACATACATTAAAACAATTTTTATTTTTCTATATTGGAGGAGTTTAAGAGTATGTATTTTTATAATTTTAAGTTCATAATATATTTAGTTTTGATTTGTGTACCTTAGTTGTATGTTAACTTTTGTCTATTAAGGTGTATGATGAGCATACTTTCCAGTGCTCTTATACTCCAACATCTTATAAATATAAATGTTAGTGTTGTCTCACACATATATATATATTATATTCGAAAACCCAGGTAGTGAAAACTAATTAAAACCTTATATGCATAACTATGGGATTATCGTTTCATGACCTTAAAGTTGTTGTGTTATTTGGATTATTTGGAGAAGTGCAATGTACCATTGGCAAAGCCTTAGCATGTTATAGTTATTTGAAGTATTTGTTGTCCTAAAAATATTGCTGCAGTTTATATAAAATGTATAAATGTATAAGGTTTTTTTCGTAACATTTTAATACACCTTAATTGTAAGATTTGAGGCTATATCTAAAGCTAACAATCATATTATGCTAATTATAAAAGTAGTTATTTTACTCTCAAATTTTATCTTGTACACATATTTTTTAAACTTACTATTTTTAATTTTATTTATTTTGTTCATGTTATGTGGAAGGGGTACTTCTATTTGGAGGCTTTTTATTCATAATCAGTTGTTGCTATTTACAAATGTTTTTAATACGAATAGCTTAGTTTATTATTAATTTTATGGAATAGTTAAGTAGTTTATATTTTGATAATTTTATTTTTGTAAGTTCCATGTTATGGGAATTTAGCTCTGACTAGCCACCGAAATTTTATATTGGGTTTATAATACCAAATTTGTTTTTACATTTAATTATAGAATTACTTAAACAGTGACTTCAATAAGGCGTTTCGGTTGAATCTGGTTTAGGTTAGAATAAATACATGTTATATGATTTACTGTATTGTTTTGTTAGCTACTATTTTGCTACTCGATAATCAAAACGACCTGAGCAAAATAACACATCTATTTTAATAGTTTTACTTATAAAATACTTAAGAATTCTGTAAACATTATGTTTCATAATTGTGAATTTTTCCTTTTGTTTATCGAGTAGTTGTGGTATATATTCTGGTGTGGATTTTTAAATTGCGGTCAGTTTCAAAGTTGGAAAATTAGAATGTGTAAAAAAATAACTAATCTTTTTAAGCACTAAGCACTGTAACAAAATAATATAAATGACTAGCCTAACCAATTAAAAATCATCTATTATAGATAGGTATATAGAGTACCTAAATCAGAAAATCTCGAGGAAAATATCAAATTGCGCAAGTGATCAGTGAACTCATTCTTGAGTACTAATCTTTAAGAAAATTATGTAAAGAGTATATTTTAGTATGAAATAATCATAAAGTATTTGACTTTACTTTGTTATGTACCGAATTCGACGGCACGGCAAAAGTGACAATAATAATATAATTCATCAAAGGGGACAGTCTGCTTGTAACAAACGTGCCTGATGTACATTTTATACAAATAGTACACTTGCATTTGAAATATTTAGTCTAGAATTCGGTACCTTGTTGTTTCTAACTTTTTTACTGGAGCCTTTCTCCTTGTTTTCTCATCATCATCAACAGCCTTTAATAGTCCACTGCTGGACATAGGCCTCCCCTAAGGAGGTTTTGGCCTACCTCTATTCTTCTTGTTTACAAAAGCTTTATCTCAATTATCATCATCTTACATTAATGTGGAGTGGGCGCAAAGAGTTTTCGCATTTCAACTATATGCAGGCGTCTCTAAACCGTTTTCTTCGTTGGCCAACCCTCAGAGCTATGTAGGACGGCAGGTCTAATGGTTGTCTTATATATTTGTCGACACTGGACCTCGGACTAGTCTTTACCGACCAACACATTTCGTTTGCAAACAGCATGTTCAACAGTTGTTTGGTGTTTCCTGCGAACGACCTAACATAACTGGCTAACATAGGCTCTCTGTACATTGCATGAATCAATTCCAGAAGCCAAATTTTCGTAATAAAAATTCCGTCACAATTCAGTTCCGATCAACTCTCGATCTCAAAACCGTCATAAAAAGGTATTTTCGTAGTACAATAGTAAAGTATTACTAAAACTAGCAGATTACCTATACAATTTTCAGTTACAATACGATATAAACACATTACAGTCAATGTTGGATGTTTAATACTTTACTACGAAAATACATTTTTGACAGTTGTGAGATCGGAACTGTATTGTGAGCGAATTTTTATTGCGAGAATTGGCCATTAGATACTTAGCAACGACTCATTCTTGCAAAGCCCTACCCACCTAGAAGCCCACTACCGCCTAGAAACATGACCACCACTGAACCTTCAGGTTCAGTGGTGGTCATGTTTCTAGGTCAACACTATATGCAAGTTTTTGTAATCACGTATGTTTTACATAGTCGGCGTATTGCGAATATGGCATATGTCTTCCCTCAAAGAGTTTCTCCCAAACTTTCATACTAAGCAACGTGAGCTTTATTCCTCGATAGTTGTGCATTTCTGCACATCTTTGTTAAAAGTAAACTTAGACACCATTTATTCAGCACTTCATGCAGCAATTTAGAGAAGAACAAAGTCAACCACCGATTTTTATCCAGCTTTTCATATTGTCATGATTTCGGTATTTATAAATTTCACATACAATCTTAATGTTCATGGCTGAAAACAGAATGTAGTCTGCTGATTTTATAATTTTGATAAGAAGTAACTATATAAAATAGTTTTTTGACAACTCGAATTATGATAAGGTTTGGTGAGGCTTAGTTTTCAATTCGCGTTGACTATAAAAACGGAATGAATGCTAGTTTAAATATTTACCTTTATATTGCCAGCGAATATATATTAACAAAATTCAGATTTTATTACAGTTTAACTGGACATTGTCATCATTTCAGCCATAGAACGTTCACGTTTCTACTTAGGCACACCTTAGTGACTTCCAAGAAGACGGTCTATTTTTACCAGATCTTTCCACCTTGTTGATGGATGTCTAATGCTGAGCACATCGGTTCTATTTCCATTCGAAAAACTTTTCGAGCCTAGCAACTTTTCGTTTGAAATGCTATTTTCCTGTGGTTACACTTCTATTTTCTGATCCCTTTGGATTTGTTTGTAACCTTCGTCTTCATATCTCGTTTTTTATGATTCAATCTCGCAAACAAATTCAAAAATCAAAAAGAACTCATATTTTTTATAATCACCGACTTTGTGACTGATTCTACCATTTGTTTTGATTGATATTATACAGAAATTATATACCATTAGGTACCTAAATATTCTGTCTTTGTAGTTATTTTAGCATGGTGTGTAACTTTGAATGCACCTAGGTTTAAGAAAAAATGTGTTCATATGAATTTAGTTAGGTACATAGAATATAGTTCATCTATTTGATTAGAGAAGTAGACTGTAAAACAGTGTAACGTGAATTATCTATACGAACGCATGATTTGCCGACGAAACCTTCAATCGTACGCTAATTTGGACTTTTCTTAAAAGGCATTGTCGTAGAAAGCAAAAAAAACTATACTAAATGGTTTTCTAAACCTACCTACACTAAGAGAAATTGTTTTCAACCTCAAGTTCCAATGCTAGTTATCACGAATAAATAACATTTCCTTTCTGTTGAAACGTTTTATTATTTCCCAATGTTCACGTCGCCACTCCTACCGTTAAGGTGGTTTTATACCGGCATGGCGAGGCGTGGATGGGATAGGCGCGAGTTGAAATCACGCTTTTATACCGAATAGACTGAGGCGGCCACAAAATTTCAAGGGTATCTGTTATATTGATGAAAACCATCAAGAATGATAGTATTCACGTTAGTAAAGAATAAGCGCCATAATTGCCTGGATTCCCCATTACCCCAGGAATGGGGGAAGTAATTTTTATTGCAAAATTCACATACTAGGTCCATATGTTATAATGATCAAATCTACGCCAAATTGTAGAGTTTAATGTTATTGAAGATAATCTTTATAAAAAAATTTGAACCGACTTCAAAAAATACTAACAAAGAGCACTAAAACATTGTTATTAAGCTATTGCATAGCTTCTATCGCGGGACTCGAGCGTGGAGACCGAATCCAGAAATTCCGTAACGAAAATAACCTAACACATCCCACGTGATACTTTTTAGTTTTGCCATCTATCGATGAATAGCAGAACTTTTAATGACTTCTTTGAAATATCACGCTTGTCTCTTTAGTTCAGCAACTTGCCTCTAGATGGCATTGGTTCTATCGGTGTTACTGAGCATGCGTAATCCCCTTCTTCGCCCCGCAATCTAATTAATATCACAGGAAAAAAATACTGCACAAATAAAATAAATAAATAATTATAATTGCATAAGTTGATAAAAATGCTATGCGATAGCTTTACCGCGGCAGTCCCCGAGTGCCACACGTCTTTTTTCATATTATAATAACAATAGTCCCTTCTAGTCTGTTTGAAGTCGGTGCCAAGCCCGATGCACAATAAGTAATACTGGTTTATGTCAGCTTTATATAAGCACAATAAAAAAAATCAATATAATTGTAATGAAATATATATATTTTACAAAGTAAATAAATACTCTATTCTTAGACATATACTTAGAATAATAACGCATAGAAAAAAGTGAGGCAAATAAAAATATGCCATTTTGGCATAGGTAGCCGATGAACGGCGGGCGTCAGTGCTCAAGGTCAAATTGTAGTGCTAACAGCTCTCGTAATTTTAATACAAAATGTCAGTTTCTGCAATTAACATCGGAAAAGCATAACAAAAATTCTAACACACGTGGAATGTTTATATATTTTGATGTAAAACATTTATCAAATTTGCACTGAACGCACTTGATGAATACTTTGATGAAAATGCCTTAAAACCAAATCCATCGAAACTCCAATTATGTTCGTTCCATCTTGGCAATCGCTTAGCGGGTAGAACGCTGAAATTATCGTAGGCAGGCGTTGATATAGATCCCAGTCCTACCTAGCGCTACCTTGACAGAGCGTTGACGTATCGAAGACATTGCGATAACACCAAGCAAAAAATTGGAACTAAGAATAAGTTGCTGCGTCGGCTCACATCATCGTTCTGGAGAGCAACTTCTCACGTTCTCCGTACCTCTGGTCTCTCGCTCTCATTTTCTGTCGGAGAGTACCTACGGATGCCCAGTGTGGCATAGATCCGCTCACGCTAAGGAGGTTGATGTTGCCTTGAACGAGACATGTCGGATCATAACAGGCTGCCTCAAACCTACCCCGTTGAGGATGTTGTTTCAACTTGAGGGCATTGCTCCTCCAGACGTCCGGCGAGAGATAGCTTGTGCAGTGGAGGTTGATCGATGCAAGAGCAACATGGCACATTGGGGCCACATCGATCAGTCACAAACGCGCTGTAAATGTGGCTCTCCAATGCAAACCATGCCAAATTTGCTTTCTTGTTCATTGTGCCACTCTAGCTACACTGTAGAGGAGCAGCGGAGAGCAACGGACAATGCTGTGGCTGTGGTGGAATTTTGGGCTGACAAAATGTATGTCTGTTCACCCGTTGCTACAACGAAGAAGACCTGCTGTTGCTTGAACAGCGCACGGTGGTCGAGTGCCAATTTTATCCAAATGATACGAATGAAAATTCTCCCCAAGTGAACGTAAAACTGGACTTCACTTGATATAATTATGTACCTATATAGGGAAGTGCACTCAAAGCGTCTTTTTTTTTAACCTGCAATAGCTATTGCAAGACTAAGTTCTTTAATGTTGCCACCGAGTCGCTCACTCTAGGAAGTATAGGTAGAATAGTTTTAAATTGAGAATTTATATAGTATAATTAATTACCCTATTAACGATTTAGGATTACAGTTATTTTTGCAAGTCCTAGATTATTTTGTCACACTATCTTAATAGATACACTATCTTACATTTCTTCACTATCTTACACTTACACTATCTTAATAGATAGATGGATAGGTGTTAAAGAAACCGATGTTGCTTGTACAGTAAGTCCCAGACTTAAGAGAAATATGATTACCTCAAAAACATAATACTCGTACCTATGTAAAATATGGGAGGTTCGCAACTCAATCTCAAAGAATTGTGAGATCTAATTGTTACCTTATTGGTTTTCTCGTAACATTTGTAACATTTGTAACCATATTTGTAACCAATGTTGGAGATTGATATGGTTTAGTGGACAATTCTGTAATACATATAATTACTAAAGTAAGCCATGTGAGGCGTACTTTAGTTAGTAACGTAAAAGTTTACAAAGTAAATGACTCCAAAGTGCTACCAGAGAAAGCTGAGAAAAACAAATTGACCATAAATAATATTAATAACTTCACACATCTGACACACGTCCCAAACTAGCTAGAGCATTGTACTATGGTAACCAGACTACTGATAACTATACTTATATAATTCTAAATACATACTACTATACTAAATAAATACATACTTCGTTCGCGTAGTATTTGAAAGCGTGGTGGGTTCGATTCCCGGACTGGGCAAAATTTTAAAGGGTTTTTCTGGGAGAAAAAATAGCCTAAGTTACTCCTTATATAGACAGCTACCTGGCAGTAAAATATTATCAAAATCGGTCCAGCCGTTTAGAAGATTACCCGGAACAAACAGACAGACCGACAAAAAAAATGTAATCTGGTTTTTAGGCATAGGTATCCTGCAAATAACCGTGTAAGAATTAAAAAAATCCATTATTATGACATTACAAACAGACACTTCAATTTTATTTATTTGTATAGAGAAATTGTAGTGACAGAAAAAATGATAGTGTTCAACATACAATTCTTTGTCCTGAGTGAAAATCAAACACACAACCACTGCCATTTATGTTCATAATTGTCAAATAAGAGTTGATATAACATGACTGTCTATATCTTATATATAAAATTCTCGTATCACAATGTTCGTTCCCGTACTCCTCCGAAACCGCTTGACCGATTCTCATAAAATTTTGTGTGCACTTCGGGTAGGTCTGAGAATCGGCCAACATCTATTTTTCATACCCCTAAATGGTAAGGGCGACCCATCCCTAAATATTTTTTTTAGGCAAAGCAACGTTTGCCGGGTCAGCTAGTAATTTTATAATATATTCAAATTTAATTCATATTGATATCATATAATTAGAATTTACTCAATGATTGAGATAAAAAATAAAATAATTTCTTTTTTTATTAAGTAGGTATATTTTATTTTTTAATATTGGACATTAACTAAATCCTACTTAATTACAACTCGTCCTCTTTTTACTGATTGCTTTATTAATTTACTCTTCTTTTCCTTTTTCTTCTTGGCAATATTTTCTTTTCTTTTCTTTTGCTTTTCTTCTTTCTTTTGTTCAACACCCTGTACTCTATTATCCCACTGTTTTTTACTTTGCTTCTTCTTTTGTTCCTATAAAAGTAAACCATATGTACATTAATAATTTCAAATTATCAACCAAACTCGGAAACCGAATTTACAGAGATTTAGGAGATTACTTGCTAGGGGATCTCAAGTACAAGGTATATGTATGTATAGTGTTAGTAACAACTAGTAAATTTGCATAAATGTTATTTGATTAAATAGTTGTTTAATTAGGTAAATCACAAACTTACCATTTTTTTAATAGTTTTTTTTAGTAATGTAGGATCATCTTTCACTTTTTGGCCTTCAGCCTTTTGCAGAACATTTTTCCATGCAATTTTATCCCTTATAATTTTGGCAGTCCCACCATCTTCTTTTTCTTCTAAATGCTTGATTTTCTCTTCTTGCTGTTTAAGATTTTCTAATATCTTTTTGGGGTCTTTTTCACCTTTGTTTATTTTCTCTGTAAATTAAAAAAGATAATTTTGCTTTACAATAATCCATGAAATTGTGACACTTAACTGCTAGAGTTATGTATTAATTTTTAATCACCACCTACCTTTTTTGCCTACATTTGCAAAATCAAATTTAGAAAAAACAAGTTTGCCTTCATTATTAAAAACAGGTTTGGCAATATTTATATTAGGTTTTTCTTCCACTTTTTTCTGTTGATTTGTCATTTCAGAAAATGGTCTATCTACAGTAGGTTTTAGTTTAGTTTTGTTGATTCTTTCTCTTTTCTTAATCTTCTTATTTAATTTACTACTCAAACTTTTTTTCTGTAATTTATTTCTGAAACTGAATTTATTTTGAGATTTGATTTTTTCTAACTTATCTTCCAGTTCAGCTATACTACGTGCACGTTTCGGACCTTCAGTTTCTTCAGCATTTTCCTGGCTTCCCTTTACAATTTCTATATCCATATTATCTTCATCATCACCTGTAATTATAAGATAATATCTTTATTTGTAAAGCCTGACCTAATGTAATGGGAATAATAAAAAAAAGACATTTAACAATAGATTCAGCGGTCCATAAATTATATGTTTACCAAAGTTTAAACTTTTTTGTAAATTTGTTAGTGCTAAATAAAAAACTTACTTTTTTAATACCAAAGAAGTAATGAGTGTAATTCAGATTTTGTGTCAATTCTCAGAACAATAAACATAGCCTTAGCCCATTACTGTTTTAAAATTAACCTTTGCTAAATCATTGTTTAATTTGTAGGTTTTTACCATACATTATGGATAATGGATTAAGATGCTGGTAGGACAGCAAAATTTGTTTTTAATAAAAAAAACAAAGTTAATGTTTTTCAGAATTGAAACATCATCTTGACCTTAAAGTATTATCAATGGCTGGCTCTCTCTACTTTTGAATCATCCTAAAAGTTACAAATTAAACACATTATGTGCCAAGGCACACTGAGGCAAACCTATATCAACCCGTCTGGCCAGCGTGGCATAGTAGGCCAAAACCTCCTTTCTAAGAAGAGACCTAAGAGCAGTGGACTATTAAAGGCTGTTGATGTGATGATGATGCACACTGGGGCAAATGTTGTGGGCATTGCTATTTCATATTTTTGCATTTATGACATCTCCTGGTCCTGAACTATGATTTTTTTTAATTGTTCTCGTAACTGAGTTTTTTAAGTCTTTCACATAATATACAAAAATTCCATGCTTCTTAACTACTTATATCACATTTTTTAAGCAGGGTTACAAAGTTTCTACACAAAAGGCAGGGGTTACAAAGTTTCTACACAAAAGGCAGGGGGGCAGGGGCTACACTGGCCTCTAAAGTCGACTACTCAAGGTGAATTGGTTTTACATGTATATCTATACACTGGCCTGTGAGCGCTGCAATAGGGTGTATAATGACATTTACATGTGGCTTTGAATGTGGTAAGTATATTCCTTCAAATGATTATAATGGTAAAGGCTCAAGTCTCACCATAAATAAAATAATAATACATGCATAAGTATAACAATACTAAACTAGGTGCATTTAAGAGAGTGACATTTACTTTGACTAACTACTGACTAACCTTTCATTTGTTGCGGTAATGATGTAACTGAGAACACATTTTTAAGGAAAGAAAATTCTTTACTTAATTCAGCTTTAATTTTTTTTATTTTCATCTTCTTCTGTTGTGTCATTTTTTATGGCTGAAAATGGAACACATAATATTAATAAAGGGAAAAAGCTTTTATTTCAGAGATCATGTTTCAACAAGTTTATAATACTTAATTAAAACAAAATCATAGAAATCCTTTCATTTTCATGGAACATCCAATGCCGAATCAAAAGTATATTTAGTACATTTCGACTTCCTAAGATCGTCAAGAGTGTATGATATTCCATGACTTTTATCATACGGCTCTGTGGCTAGATGCGCCGCCTATTTTATTTCTTTTGTATGCAATGTATGTGCTCTGTCCGTCAAAAATAATGTTTATTCATAGTCTAGAACTCATAGTACTCACTGTACTTAGTTTCAAGTCTTACCTTACCTTATAATATGAAATAATTATTTTAATAATATTAGAAATTAACGTCAGAACACTAAAATACACACAGCTATTTAGTGGTATGATTTATAAGTATAAGACACGAGTAAACATAACCTATAAGCAGTCACTTTCAAAATATTTTTAGTGCTGTACTGTATGTCTCATCTCTTATTTTTCAATATACTCTGTGACTATAAGCACAGATAACTATATACGAGTACTAGTCAGAGACAGATAGTACCTCCGCTAGGAATATATGTATTCTGTGGATACATTGAGTTAAAACAATTGAGTTAATAATTGTAAGTATTATATCAATGTGTGGATAGGACACTGCAAATGTTACCGGTCACCGTACCGTACCGTAATGAACCGCAAATAGTGTTGAGATTTAGCACAAATTCAGATGTCGGCACGATTGGATAGTGATGACAAATATAAAGAAGGAAAATGGTCACATTTCAGTTTATGTTTATTATGTATTTGGTTGCAAAGTTAATTGAATACATTATTTCAATCGTAAGTATTCAATAAACTTTGCTCAAAAAATAAAACCAATTGTCAAATTTAAAATGATGAAGAATAAATGATAGGTGGTACCAATTCTATAACAAGGTCGTGAATGATGAATTTCGTAGTCAAAACCGGATGCTTTACAAATCAGTCGAAAAACTAACCTGAGATTGGATAAAATTAGTAAAGTAACAATCGAATATCTTTTTGAAAAGTCTACGTTTTCTTTTTCAACGGGGTTTTATTCTTTCAAGTGTTCTGATAACTTAAAATAATTTGAAATCGTCTTTTATATAGACTAAAGTCGTAGGTCAAGACACATAATAGCAACAATCTCTGTATTGTCAAATAGTTAGCAAAATAAATTTAGTAAAAATTATACTTATACAAAATCTATGATGACCACCGCCCGTTTCCAAGCGGTTGAGCCTTATGAGAAGAAATGGCAAACAACTCATGGCCACTCTTTTGCAATATGCAGACAGAAATACAATGACATCACTTAATATACCACAACAGTGTTTTGATGTGTGCCAATATGTCCGTTATTAATGACTAAAAGGGAGAAAACCATAAAGAAGATTATTTATATACCATAAAGAAAACAAGATCACATAAAAGAGAAAGTGAAGTGAAACTTAAAAATTTTTTTTTTTAAATGAAAATACACTAGCCACATTTCTGTCTTCTAGCATTTTTGTCTTCTATGTAATTCACAATTGAGTAATAGGCTTTCTGACATAATTTATGTTTTATTGCGGATTTGAATTTGTTAATACTTGTACTTGTTAAATCTTGAATATTATTTGGAATTTTATTATAAAATCGGACACATTGACCTTGAAACGAGTTGTTTATCTTGGTTATCTTTTTAGGTAGGTATTACAAGTTTATTTCTATAGAGTATTATGTTTATAGAGTGTACATCACTTCTTTTCAAAAAGCTATTTTGTTTTATGAACATATATTACATTTTCATATATATTTATTGACATGCTATCATTATATTTGAAATATCATTGCATGCTATGTCATTTGGTATGTTTATATCTTAAAATTTCTGCTTCAGTTAACAACGATTACCTACAATATAAATTCCTTGAATTTCTTACAAAAATAGATTAATGTCGACAGCATTCCCCCACAGTAGAAAACCGTACGACATTATGCTATGAAAATAACTGAAGTAAACAAGTCATGCTGTCATCAACATCAGTCAACTCGGTTTTTTCTTACTGCGTATGCTGCTGAGCTGAGCCTACTCGATAATTTGTCAATATGTGGGCCCCATTGTAGCTTAGAATCTAGTGTTATACCTAAAAATGTCGTAGTATCCACAAGGTCCAACTCGACATCCTTAATTATCACAGTAATTTTCACTGGCTTGGCGTTTGGCATAGTGAAATAGTATACACTTAGGTTTTTGTTCATTTAAAAGCAAATTGTTGAACTCAAACCAATGAACCACTTTCGAAATGGCGCTGTTTACGTCTGTGAAATTAGGAAGTGTCCGTTTTAGTCTAAATAGAAGTGATGCAAACAACATAATCTCGAGATTGTCCTTGACAAGGTGAGGTAATTCGTTAATATATACTAAAAACAGAAAAGGGCCTTGAATAGAACCACGGGACGCCCATTTCTGCAACAGAGCCTGGAGACCGCTTAGCATTAATTTCAACTTTCTGAATCCTATTATTTTGAAATTAAGCAAGAAGTTCCAGTGCTTCATTTCAATCAATGTAGACGATGCTATTTATAGTGTTATCAAAATCGAAATTTTGGTGTGACTACCATTAGTCGACGAATTGTCAAGGCTTATAGTACAAAACTACTGTCAACTGTCAAATGAATTTGGGAATTTTAAAGTTCGAAAGGTTGCATTGCATTGTGTACAATATAATTATCAAACTGAATTAATTCTTGTGTAATTTTTTGAATGAGACTAATACGAAAATGACATTTTTGGGACTAAGGGTACTGGATGTCTTGTGGAAGCCTACCGTAAATATAGTGAGGTTAGAATTGAGTTTATAGATATTTTTCTGGTGTATTAGTGAATTGCTAATTGGTTTATTATATTCACAGACATAGATATCATGCGGATAAAACTCGCCTAGTAAGGAGGTACGGATACAAAGAACAAATTTGGAGTGGAGGTTTACTGCCCAGAGCCCTAGGGAAGCCTTTGCCAATACCCGAGTATAGGTAATTCAAATTAATATTTTTTTTCTAGAAGATTGCATAGTTTTTGGAGTAGTAGATGCGAAAATCCTCTTTACTGTAAGTAGTGTTATATTGGCAAATCCAACCAGTTCAGTTATTCACTAATTATTTATTTTTCTCATTAGCGCTTTGACTCTGTAAAAGCGTAGGTATTTCTAAAATTATACCTTGTATACACGAAAATATGATCAAAAGTAACTATGTAAGTAAAAACGTATCCATATTTCAATTTACATTTCCAGACCATCAAATGCTTGGACTGAACGCAGAGCTCTTTTTGGACAAAATGATTATATTGACATCCTTGGCCCAGGAGATTTGCATCCAGTTAAAACACTGTACACAGTTCCATCTTGGATTAGAGGTGTTAGTGGCAGCGAATACCATGTAAGTACTTTAGGTTACTGAAAAACAATATTGACTACTTATTACCCACATGAATAGTATAGGAGTCCTTGTTCTGCAAATGGAGAGGGTAAGTTGTCAAAAACAAACATAACAATTATTTCATAAGTAAACAATTTAAATAAATCAATTTTTGTTTAAGTTATTTAGATTTTTTTTAAGAAACAGTAACCAAGTTTACTGGCGTATTAAAATATTGAATTTCTTTTCTTGAAATGTACAATTGTATCCAATAAGAACAAATACACTATTCCAGTATATAACAAAGTAACTATAAAAAAAAAAACATTACTCTGCCAAATAATCTCCTTTTTTGATTGTGCTGTTAACAACTTTATATTTATGAAAACTTTTTGCTGGGAATGTGGCAGACTTAATGTCTGAGGCCTTCTCTATTAGTCTACAGTAGACTGATGTTTCAGTAATTGCAATCTAAAATAAGTATAAAACTGTTATATAACTTGATAAATCTCCCATCACCACCCCATCTGATCCTGAACTGGGTAGAGCCTGTTCTGTGGTAATTTGCTCATAAACATACTTATAATAGTTCCTCTTATAGCCATTTTTTTTTTTTTTTTTTTTTCCGTGCGGAAATCCCCTCGGATACCACCTGTCGGTGGCATGTCGGACTCGAACCGACTAAAACCGCACGCCTTCGCCGGGTACTAATAGCCGGGGAACCAGGTATACCCTAGAAAAACCAGGTATACCCTAGAATCCTCTTATACCCTGACATGGAACAAGTGATTTTACTACTCACACAATAATGGCAGGAGCTCTCATAACCTCTGGCTTAGAACTAGGGCTGCCAGAAGGATAAAAAATCAGGGAATTCCCCAGACTGTTGCGTCTTGCCCTGTGTCCAGAAATTAGACCTTACTGTCTCACATTCCAAAAATTTTATTTAATCATAATATACTAGCAACGAATGACATGGCTGACCTGACAAGATGCAGTACCTAGTTTGGAATGTTCTATAGCGACACATGTTGTGGCGAAAACATTTCAGCATGGTATACTGCAGTGAAAAATTATTGAAGCAAAACCAATGTTGACAAATGAATACCACAAATAGCATAACATTTAATTCATTTTTAGGCCCGCTTTGGTTTTTAGGGCATCACAAGATAGGTTCTGTAGTGATTTTACAATTGTTAGACCCTCTACAGGTTGTTAAACCCTCCTAAAATCATAAAATTGAACATTTAGCCCGATGCTCTCCATAACATTCATGAGTTTGAAATACTGATTCAAATATACAAATTAATCTAACTTCTTTAAAGTTTAAACTCTTACCAAAGCCTAACAAAGCTTTTTAATAGTTATTATAGTCCATCTAATTTAAGAGGTACCGTTTGACAGTTGTGACAGATTGAAAAATAGGGAGGGGGTCAAAGAAATTGAGTACTACAATATCCAATTAATCGATTACAGGCTTACACAAATATGTATGTTAAAAGCCCCTATATTATTATATCTTAATTTTAACTAATAAATTCCTCTGTGCCTTGTTTTGGCGTTTCTTCCCAGATCGAGTCTTAGGAAATGCCAGCGCCTTCTAACTGTAAAGTCCGACTTGTAAAAATATCTGAAAAGATTTACTTGCAGATAGATATAAATATCATTTCATAATTTGAAACTTTAGCATATAAATGTGTGTAGGTGAATGTCAGAATTTTAGAAATGGGAGGTATTTTTTTCGGGTTTTTTAGTTCCACCCTAACCTAGCTAGATATAACAAAAATTGAGTGCTTCTTGTTCAGAATTAGACATGATTTAGACTCAAACAAATTTTGCCTACAAAGAATTAATCTTTGTAGTCAAAATTTGTTAAAATTACATTAACTTACACGTTTTTAATTTTATTTATGCATTTTCGTTGGCAGTTGGATGTGAGCTGATGAAAAAGAAAAGTAGCTTCATAATTTCATAGTTTTACTGAAAAGATTATTGAAGTTGTGCTAGTTACGCCTATACAAAATTGTTTTGTCTTGAAAAGAATGAAACGTCAAAAGGTACCTCTTAGATTAGATGGACTATAAACCTTTTACTTTGATTTTTTTTAAATCTTAGACCATATCCTCAATAATGTCATACAAACTACTACATTGGGCCTGCTTCTTCTAAAGTGACAGATAACCCTATCTGTCGCCCTTAGGCAAGTGCTCTTGAAGACCGACGATCGTATTGCACTCTTTCGCTGCTAGGCGTCTTTTGCGTAAGGACGCCCCGTACTCTTTCTGCTGCCTTTTCAGCTAAAATAATCTCGTAGAATAAGGCGGTAAATGTCCAAGCACTGTGTCATTTCGGTCCACGGACTAAACCATGGCCGTGATAGATGCGGCTGTTGAAAAATTGCGCGTTACTAACTGTTGCTGCTTTGTCCTCGCTGAGCACTCCACTTAGTCATGGACAGCTACACAATAGTGGCGCGGTTGGTTTCGGTATATACAACATTGGTAGGTACTTACCGAAGCAGCATTGCCCGGCGAGTTCCTGCATCAGCCAATAGGAAACACTACTTTGTTCTGTGGAGTACCCCCGCCCTAATCTTTTTTTTAGTGCTCGACCAATAAGACCTGGTAGTGTTGGATTTAAATATGCTATGATTTCAACTGTTTATTTATGATTATTGTCATTGCCATTTTAAATTAATTCTGTAAACTTAGGAAACGAAACACTAATATTTTCTTCAAATGTTTATTTTGTATAATTTACAGATTCTTCTTCGTAAGAAGAAGATGTGGTCAAAAACTGCTTCACCTGCGATTCGCCCAACTAAATGGAAAGAACTACAAAAAAGAATTTCCTTCTTGTATAGAAAGTTGAATAGGAAAACAAAGACTGGATTTTCGCCAGATTAGTTTGGTTTCTTGCAATAACTAGATAAATAGTATGATGATGAAATGTAGAATTTTAAGATCATTAAAAGTGTTTGAAAATGATATTTTCATTTTTTTACATAATTTTTCCAACTAGTTCAGTTTAGTTTGCTCTGTAAAAGAACATTTTTAAAGTATTTTAACAAATGAGTAGTATCACGCAATTTTGTATACATACCTAATATACATAAACTTTCTAAGTAAAAAACGTGAATGAGACGAAATGCGCCTAAAGGAAAAGTATAATGTTAGTTCTTTGGTACATAATACTTATGTGCTCTCCCGCAGAGCCATCATAATAATAATAATAACTTAAATTAATATATACCGATCAATTATATCTTAAAATGATGTACGTCAAACGTAAAAAATGTACCTATGCCGTTACCACTGTACGTACACTAGGTGAAAAAGTAATGAGCATCGATTGTGGCTTTTCTGCGAGCATATTCCCTAGCAGACCCATTTAAACCAGTACTCAGGCCAGATAAAAGCTACTGGTCTTTTTTTTAAAATGAAAACTGATGTACGAATACTGTTTATTGCGTACGTTGTTAAATATCATTAAGATGTGATGAATGTTAACTTAAAATACTGCAGACCGCTTTTTTGTACCCATGCGAACTTGGTCGGGTATTGTATGAATTGCGGGGGTTTGTCAATATTTTAAATGTATTACGTTAATTATTGAGTGTAATAAAATGAAATTGTACATGTGAATATTTAAAATTAATGCACTAATTATTGGAATAGGTTTATACCCCATTTACTTTGAATCAAGTGTCGCAATTTTGTTGACAATTCTTATTTTCGTTCTAATATATTTCGTGTTTTTATTAGGTTTAGTCTTGTCTTGTCTTGTCATTTAAGCGATCAACATGTCTAATTTTTTTCATTAAAGGCGTACAGTCCGTGAGGCGTAAACTGAGCTTAAGCATTTTTGTGAGTGATAAGTGACAAGACAAACACTTTTAAAAATATTTTTTAATGTTTTAGGTAGGTACATAACATAAGTGGGAGAGGTATTCTAGTTTAAAAATAAACTTAATAAGGGCAAATTGTTAAAATAAAGGCTATGATAGTTATGTATGACTGATGAGTTTGTATGTACTTATGTTATATAAGTGGGAGAGGTATTCTAGTTTAAAATAAACTTAATAAGGGCAAATTGTTAAAATAAAGGCTATGATAGTTATGTATGACTGATGAGTTTGTACGAGGGGTGATCAATAAGTAAAGATAATCGAGTATTTCTAGAACGCACAAAAACCCAAATTATTTTTTTTCTGCTTGCTTATATATCCACTACTCCAGCTTCAAAAAAATGTATTAATAGGACACCATTACCGGGAGATACATTCATTTGAATACGAACTGTCGAAGAGAAAACATCAAAATGGAGAAAAATGAAATGAGCTGTCATCAAGTACCTCTGCCTGAAAAAAATGTCTACCAAAGACATACACAGCGACTTAGAGGAAACATTGGGGGAGTCTGCTCCTCCATATTCCACAGTCGCACGCTGGGCAAAGGAATTTAAGCTGGGCAGAACCTCCACTGAAGATGAACATCGCGAGGGACGCCCTTCCACGTCCCTTACTGGCGAAAACGTCAAAAAAGTGGAAGATATCGTGTTGGCCGATCGAAGGGTGACCGTAAGGCATGTAGCTGAGGTCACAGGGATCTCCTATGGCAGCGTTCAAAAAATCATTGTCAACAAAATGCATATGAAAAAGGTCTCTGCGCGTTGGGTACCGAGAATGTTAACCGACGAGCAAAAAAAGAAACGAGTCGACATTTCGAGGGTGAATCTTCAAAAGTTCCAGGCCGATAAAGAATTGTTTTTGTCGCGTTTTGTGACCATGGACGAGACCTGGATCCACCACTTTGATCCCGAAACCAAACAACAATCAATGACTTGGAAACGAGCTTCCTCACCAACGCCGAAGAAATTCAAAGTGTCAAGTTCAGCGGGAAAGGTTATGGCGTCTGTTTTCTGGGATGCAGAAGGAATTATTATGGTGGAATATTTGGAAAAGGGGGCCACTATAACAGGCTCTTACTACGCAGGCCAAATAAGAAGATTGCGAGAAGCTATTAAGTCAAAAAGACGCGGTAAACTGCGCGCTGGAGTGCTGTTTCACCAAGACAACGCCCCGGCTCACAAAGCCGCAGTTGCGATGGCTGCCATTGAAGAAACGGGGTTCGAACTGCTCGAACACCCTCCCTATTCGCCAGATCTAGCTCCCAGTGACTTCTACCTCTTTCCTCGGCTCAAAGAACACCTCCGGGGCAACAAATTTGAGGACAATAGTGAAGTGATGGCCGCAGTAGAGGCATTTTGGGAGGATCAAGACAAATAATTTTTTTCTAAGGGAATCATGGGCTTAGAAAAAAGATACACTAAATGTATTAACTTGCAAGGAGACTATGTTGAAAAATAAAATACTTTTTTTAATCTAATAGTTCTGTTTCATATTGATTATCATTACTTATTGATCACCCCTCGTATGTGTACATATGTAAGTTTGACTGAGAAGTCAGAGATCAATAAATAATATTAAGTATAAAAAGTTACACTGGACCGTCTGATGTGTCGTTTGTATTAATAAAGAATCGTTCCGTTATATCACCAAGAACGGCGTCGTGACCATGAATTTTTTTTCTTCTTTTTTTGCGTGGTCACATACATTTTTCCATTCTTGTACAGTGTTAGTGTCAACTTTTTCTTTCGCTAACTTCATTATTGTATCCATATTCATTGACACGTTTTCGCCAGGTATCCTTTTATCATTGCCCAAATATTTTCAATTGGGTTGAAATCCGGTGGTAGACGAAGGACGCTGTAACCATGTTCTTTTAGTGTCAATTTCATATTCAATAAATATTTGTTAGTTTGCAGTATCAATTGATAGAGTTGAGGTTTAATCATTCGATCGATATTGCGGTAGTTGAGCCAGTCAATCATATCTTGTTTACGACTATTTGAGTTGGGAGCGGGATTTTCTAACGAATTGTGGTAAGATGCATTGTCTACCACCACAACGCCATTGGGCTTTAAACTTGGAATTATTTGCGTTTGTAACCATTTCGTGTAGTTTTCTGCATTCATATTGTTATGGTAATCACTACTTTTGCTTTGAACATCATCAGTGCATTTGGTATGAAACCGTCCTCTCCGCCGGCATGAACTATTATTAAACGATTTCCTTTAGAAATTCTTCAATTTAGAAATTGGTTTCTTCAAACCAGAAGTGCTGCCATCTGAATAAGATTTCGAAGAAGTGTGAGCCGTGTCTATACCTATATGTTTCGTCGGTTTAAAAGACTGACCGTCCCTGAATGTGATAAAAATAAATAAAAAATGATACGTAGATAATGTATCATGTTTTTCCATTAGATTTTTTCTACTATCTTGTCCTTTTCTATTTAAATCCTAAAGGAGCCACTTCTTTACGCAATGATCAAATTAAACCTGGATAGTTTATTTCTGTCTTCACCTTATCATGTATTCGATTCATAGTTGGCACCTCTTTATCAGTGATGTGAAAGTTGTAAACAGTTCTTCGGATTACCGTTTTAACAAAATCGTCAATGATAATAATATTTTTCCTGCATCTGGTCTTTTTCAGAGATTTAAATTCGGTTCTGTCTTCCAAAAAAAAAGACGTTTACCTTCCGATAAAACTCTTGACAGTGGACAGCGGAATTCCCGTCTATGTCGCTACCAATTGGGTTGATGTAGTGACACTCGGACATGTCTTTATCGTTTATGTCTTTAAAATAACTATTTAAATTACACAAAATTTCTTTTACTTGGTTTTTTCAAGGTTTTCGTATTCTTCGTTTGGTTTGTGTTGGCAGCCATTTCACTAATAAATCGAACACAAAGACAAAAATTAGGAATTAAAGACGTCACGCTGCTACCAGTACAATAGGTGAAGTGAGGAAGGTGCGCGCCGAAGTTGCGCGAGGGACACACCGCGCCTCAAGCCGGTTGCCAAAAAGCAGTATAAACCGGTTTAAACTAAACAAAGGACGCGTCGCGCTCAAGGACAACGTCACGTCACACATGCTAAGGTCAGCTTCGGCATGGCAGACTGTACCTTCGTTTTTTTAAGGTTTCGTCTGTCGTCAAAGTCACGTCGTTATGTCATTTTACAATATTTACTCCTGAGGGATAGAATATCAAACGGGACGGGCTTCGTATAAATATTGATATTATAATAAAAGAACAGATTCCAACTGGAATAATAATATATCACATTCCTCGATCTTACTGTACAAGTACAACTAGACTACAGACAAGCACTTATATATTATTACATTACATCAGTAACACGTATGATACAGTTGAACTAGCGTCAGACGGAGTCCCACTCGATGAGGTAGGCGGGCGGCGCGCCCGGCGCGTGGCGGCGCGCCTGTACGCGGAAGGTCTGGCCCGCGCGGAAGTACGACTGCACGCGTGACTTTAGCGCGGACAGCTGCTCTGCCTGCTCCTCGGTGCCACCGCTCGCCTTGTGAGGACTGAGCTGTAGACTCTTTACGCTGTTAATACTAATATTCGAAGGGTTGTTGCTCGTATTCCGTCGGGCGTTTTCATAATAGTTTTTTTCTTGCCTTTGTCTCAGTCTTCTACCGTTAAATTTTGTGTTATTCGATGAAGCGATCGCTCCGTTTTCGTTGGAATTTTGAGCGGATTTATTAGCTTCATCCGGAAGGGGGCACGATTTGTTGAGCTGAAATCGAAGGAGGATTTTACTTTTTTTTTTAAATCGAAGGATGATCGGCGTAAAGACGGAGCTGCATACAGTATATTTAAAGTAAATACGATCAAAATAAATATTGAGGTTTAGATAACCTCAATCAAAACATTTTTGAGAGAAAATAAATGTATAAAAACCGTGCTAGGTTTAATGCGACTATACCTGTGACTGTAAATATTTGCGCGGTCTTCTATATTTTCTTCTTTTCACCTCGCCGTTGGGCCCGATGACTATATCTTTTTCGCTGAGCTTCCTTTTCATAGGTCTTATAAGAGGATTTCCTATCATTGGATTTAAATTAATGGGTAAGGAGAATCGTGACTGAAATGTATTTTGCTTGCCATTTTGTTTATTGTGCGCACTCGACGAAAAGGTTTTCTTACCAGAGTAAGTAAATTGCATTAAAAATGGGTTATTTTTACCCTGAAAATTTTTAAGTGGAGGTATGATGTGATCTAAGGTTCCTCTGCTAACGGACGTTTCGTCACCCGACGACTCCATATCATAAAAAGTGTTAGGGTAAGAGGGCTTACTATTCATGTGGTGTAGGGACATTATTTTGGAATGTTCAATAATGTTCTTAGTGGACAACTTAGATACTTCTAAGTTCATAGTTGCTATTCGCGTCGAGTGAGTGCTGATATCGATGTTAGTTACATCACACTTCACCGCGTTTGTATCGACTACGTTCTCTTTGGATATTTTATCTAATGCTACGGAACATGGAACTAAGGAAGGGTTATGAGATGGCACTGCAGGATTTTCACAAACTTTGTCATCGTTGGTATCTGTTACATTTAGGTCTGTACTTGTTTCTATATTATCAGCTTTGGCATCAGAGTTTCTAGAAGAAGAAGTGCGTATGGACGGTGAAGGTTGTTCGTCGGCTTCTGTAGGTTTCTCATAGGAACTAGTTGAATCATTTTCTGAATACGAATTGAGATTTTCATGGAACCGTTTGCCCATCATTAAATTTAACCAATGACCATCGACCGGCACAATCATACTGTTACGTTGATTTTGCACCATATTTTTGTAGGAACTTTTGTCGGAGTTGCTGCTGGAAGGCTGCAAACTGAAAAAGATTACAATTGAATAATAAATAGTGAACATAATTAGTTTTTGTCACTTATTTTCTAAATATAATATTTATTAATCGTATTATTACCTGTCGTCAACGCAAGGCGTCGGCGACGGGGTCCTCGGCAGGAATCTAAGTCGCGGTGCAAGCTCCCGGACTTGTTCGTCAGTCAACGGTTCCCCTTTCTTGATCTAATTAAACAAAAAACAAATCTATGTTTACCTCTTTGTTGTTAATATTAGGTCTTTACCTATGAAATTGCCGTTTTGTATGCAATAAGTGAAAGTACTTATTTTTACAAACTTTTTTATTTCTGTTATTCGAAGTAATCACACATGCAATCGACGCATCTTTGCCAACGCATTGGCAGTTTATTGATGCCCTTCTTGTAAAAATCGGCTGGACGGGCGGCAACAAACTCTTCAAAGGCATTTTGTACTGCCTCTCGGGAATTGAATTTTTTACCCACTAAAAAGTTGTCTAAATTTTGGAAAAAGTAATAGTCGGTAGGGGCAAGGTCTATTATTTAATGGCCTTACTTCGCAAGTTAACGTAATAACCCTCAGAAAATAAAACCGAACTTGATTTTTAATTTATGCAAATAATGTAATAAAATTTATATAATAATAAATTAATGCAAAATTGTAATTTTTAAAAAAAAATTATGGTACTTAATTAAAGAAATAATGCAGTGCATATTTATACCCTACTCGGAGCCACTTCAACCGAAGATATGTTTACCACTTCGCAGCTAATATAACTTTAACGATTTTTTTTTGTTGGGACTAATCCCACCCACACGCCCACCATTGTAACTCCTGTACACCAGGATCCACAGCAGTGACCCACGAACACACCGAGTTATGACACTCGGGAAGTCCCAGGAAGAAATTAAACTGTCTTGGAACCCGCAACGAAATTAATCAAAAGAAAATTGAAGGAATTGGAAATACAGTAAATCCACTTTCCTCCTTAGCAAAGCGGGAGACAAAATGAAGTAAAATGGGCATACACCCTTTTAAACAGGGAAGCACCACGGCCACAAAATATTCTCCTACGTGAGCTATATTTGATTTCTATAATATGTATGGCAGAATCGCCTAAACGCACGGAAATTCACCCTAGTTGACACAAGATCCCCATAGTATACCGCCCCAGATGTCACCTGTAAGCTATTCAGCATTATATTACGTTCATTATACCAAATACTACATTTCTAGAGGATATGATGAGCAGACTGTTCATAGTGAGAGTTAGGTGTTGAGCATTGACACAATGGTGACTCGACTAATTTAAATGAATAAAGCATGCTCTTAAAGTTACCATGACCCGTAAGAAATTGAGCGACACAGTGATCCACCTCAAGCCATGTCGTCGACAACCGTTCGCGAACAGATGGAAAGAATTGGTAAAGATGACGCCCCTTGGATGATTCATCCCAGCGTTGTTGCCATTCGTCTATGAGTGCCATTGGACTGCTGTTGAAGCAATCTTGTAATTTTACCGCGTTCCCGCGCGCCCAAAAAATCGCAGTCCATGTTTTTGTTGTCTTGAATAGTACATGGCTGCACGTCTCTGCACCTCGAGATCGACCGGAAGCACACCAGCTAACACCGGCAAAGCCTCAGTGCTAACCGTCCTATATGCCTTGCACACGATGCAACTTTAATGATTATTGATAGACTTGCAACGAATATTCGGTTACTATTCGGTATTCGGCATATTCGGCTGTTTTTATTATATTCGGCCGAATACCGAATATCTACATATTATTCGGCCGAATACCGAATACTTAAATAATATATTTTGTCATTGAGAAATAATTGGTAAAATGAAAAATTAAAATCGATTGATTACGTATATATTCATATTTTCATTTCTGTTATAATCATTTAAGTAGTCATTGGTGCATAACACAGGTACATAATCATCTTCTGAATTGGAAAAATGGAGGATTCTATGTATTTGAATTATTGTGGTAATCAAAATTTAGAAGGGTAAGGTTCTCATATCTTTTATAATCATTTATTAAGTAGTAATTGGTACATAAAACAGATACATAATTTAATTCACGTCTGTACAAGTTTTAGGCGCTAAAATCCAGCCGAATACTTTTGCCTAATATTCGGCTATTCGGTCAGGGGCCTCGCCGAATATTCGGTATTCGGTATACTGCCGAATATACTATTCGTTGCAAGTCTAATTATTGATACTATTCACGACAATTACAATGACAAATCAACAAATTTATTTTGTCTGACTGAAATACGTTAAAAACTTCGGGCGATGACACCACACTTTTAAAAGTTAATTTCGAGTACAGTTAAAGGTGTTTACGACATGTCTGTAGCCAAGGTGGTGCTCTACCTGCTCTAGCGCCGAGAGCTGCTGCGGCGGCGGCGGCGGGCGGCGCAGGCGCAAGCCCCAAATAGTGGCACGTTTTTTCATTTCACGACCGCATTTAAATCGCTTTCGAGACGACGTTAACGCAGTTAAAATTCTTTCTCGGCGTTCGTTCACTGGAGTCCGCCACATCTGTTAAACAAAAGGTTGAGTAACTAACACTGTCACATATACAGTGTTACTGGTTCAGTCGACCTAGAAACTTAAGATGGTTTCACAGAAAAAAAACTTAGTTGATGAGTATAAAGAATTAGCGTTCAACCCTTATAGTCGGGCTGTCACAGGTTCAAAAAACATGTTTTCTCAATTCTAGATGGAATTTCATGAAATCTGGCAAAAACTAAAGGTACAAACATAAATGACCTATTAAAAAAGTTAGAATGGACGAGGCCGGTGAGATTCTTTTTTATTGCAAAATAACTTTGAAAGCCGGTTATTCTCAGGAATCTCGCAATATCTCAGAAATAAACCATTGTCGCGAAAAAAGATCAAAAAACTGGTTCAGTTGATGAGTTTGAGTAGGTATTAAATATTTTAAAGAGTTGGAAATTTTATTTTCCAAAAATAAAAAGATAAAAATGAGAAAAGAAATGATATCGTTGATATTTAGGTATCAAATAAGTATTAATATTGTTAACAAAATGCACCCGGTCCGTTTTTTCAAAAGCAATTTGGCGATCTATTGAGTTATATTGAGTTAAGTAATATAATTATTTTTATATGTTAAGTTTAAAACGCTATAAATCCTATCGCCGAAAATTGATCTTGATGAAACCAATTGGCATCGGTAGGTATTAACAGTAACCTTTTAAAAAGAAAATAACAATTTATTTAATTGTTTTTAACAAAGAAAAATTTTATGGTTCATAATTTCGACAATTTACAACATATGTAGATGTGTGGAATAAAATGCATTTGATTACGCCGATTTTTAGACTTTTTTGTTTACTTTATTTTTGGTTTTGTTTGTTTAGTTTTGTTGTTAGATAGCTGACATTACGTACATGTTTTTTGATAAATCTGCAGTTTGATTGTCTTAGTTTTTTTTGTTTGCTAAAAAAAGTTTTTTTCAAATTTATTTCTTTTTGCTATTTTTAACCATCTACCTCGACCCAGTTTGTTAACTACAATTTTGGTAATGGAAATTATAAAACAATGTACACTACACAAAAACAGTAAAAGGAAGCATAAAATAAAAATAAGTTAAAAATGGTTAAGGCAAAATCTTAAAAGTCCAATATCTTGAAAATAGTTAGGTTTGAGATATGGCAGCAATGATGGCAACTACAACCCCTTAGAGTATCGAGGTCGACTTAACCTGTACCCTGTAACCCTGTAAATGATTTTTTAAAGTCGAATATCCATTGTTTATACAAACCTTTTCAGGTAATTGAAGTGCATGCCAGTTATCCATTATGTAAGGCATTATGACGTTGTCGAGGTCGAAATAATTTGGCGCATTATATGCGGTAAGATTGTATAAAACGAGGTGGGCCAAATCCAACCAACACAGTTCCAGCCGCCGTAGGTATTCCGCTCCTCCGTTGCAGTCGGCGCAAGCAAATATGTACAATCTAAAACGACATTCAGTAGTTAACTTCAAACCAATTTACACACATTTAACTGTTATAAGTAGTCTATTTTCATTCTGGAGTAAACTTACAACTATTATCATAGGAGACAGTGAAAGATACCGAGACATAACATTGCTGTTATTATGTTATGATAATTCTCAGGTAACTGAAAATAAAACGTCGTTTCAGGTATTTCGACTTTGCATCGAAGAAGACATTATGCGGCTGAAACTGCGGGGAATAGCTAGTTTAAAATTGTGTTATCGAAAACAGTGGTATGCCGTTTTCTTACTATGTACAAATTCTAACCTGTAAATATTATACTGTTACGAGCGGGGTATACAAAAAATAAGTTGTCAGTTAATTACTTTTATTGGACTGTATTTACAAACACTTACTATTACAAAAAAAAAATCACTATATAACTCGTTAGTCGCACTAGAAATTCGCTTCGATGTTAATTTGCTGTGTCGTATAACTATACTGTCCCGTACGGCCAACACGCTCCTCTTTTATAGTGTTATCGAAATTACTAGACTAATTCCGAAGATTCGATGGAATGTTCCGTTCAGTATTCTCTTCTTCCGATATTCAAAAAGGCAACTAAATTTTTTTATAATCTTCCTATATTCGACACTAGATACCACTGCAAGCAAGTATCGGAATTAAGATCCATAATTTCAATGCGTAGCGATGTGCCCCTCTTGAGACTAGAAGGCCTTCAGACACAACAAAAGAACCCCTCCATCCTATGGCGCAACTATGGCTATTACATACATATTATTAGACTTACTTATCGCCAGCATAGAGTGGGTATTGTAAACTCGGCACACATCTTTGGTGAAACCAGCGAGAACATCGACAGCAAAGTAACATCTGTAAAATTATTTTTTTATTTATGGGTTTAACAGTACTACTACAAATTGTAATGTAATCATTAACTTTCTGTAATTTTAGGGGGGCAAACGAGCAGAAGGGTCACCAGAGGGCTAAGTGCGAGTTTATTACACTTCTACTCGATCGTCACGATGACCGCGTTCGGCTCTGCGATTGCCCGCACCGAAATTTCTACTCAACGCGCTCGCTGACGAGAGCGAGTCGATGTGAAATAAACTTGCACTCGGCATTCTGATGATAAGTGACTACCGCCGCCCTTTGACACGTGCAAGACAAGAGACACAAGTGTATTATTTATGGGTAATTTCAATTGTGTGACGAAAGACAAAGCCTGCGTTTCCTTTATAATACCTATCCCAAATCAAAGTATCAATTTTTTTATGATACCCACCTGGGCAAGCCAATCGCTTTTTTGTCCACAGTAACAATGTTCTTGATCTTTACCAGTGTCAGAAGTCACAGATGATGTTGTAGAGGCCGTCTGAAAAATAATTATTAATTAAAATAGTAGGCCAAAACCTCCTTTCAAAAGAGAGGCCTATGTCAAACTGTTATAGGCTGTTGATGATGATATTTAAAATTTAATGTATAATATTGTAATGTATGTTTACATTCTAATTTTTTTTTTTGCTTTTTTTACACTTTAAATAATTAACCGATCATTTCATTACGACATTTTACATACACTTTGTCAAGGATTCCGTCCGAATGGGATAAACTACAGAAGTAACAAAAATATTTTAAAACGATTTTCAGGTTGAAAGACAATACTTAGGTGTATTGTCTTTCAATGCCTTAAAATCGTTTTAAAATATTTTATAATTTATTTAGGATTTGTATAAATTTGCTAAAACATAACGATGAATGTCGAAGAGGTCAGCAAAAAGGATGCCAGACTGGAACTAAAATAAATTATATTATTTCTGATTGAATACGTAATTTAAGAGTACAATGTTATTCACTGCGTTAAATGTATGGACAAACGTACATCACAAGGTGGGGTCAGTTCCTGGTGTTGCCTCCTTTGCTGTCCACCCTTATATCTAAATAAGTCTGATCTCTTCAGTGCCCTGTTCTCAGCCGCCGCCACTCTGTACCTTTGGTCCACGCATCTTTTGCAGTGCCATGATGCACCTGTTATATCAAACAATTTTGAAATACCATTAAAAAAAGCACGATTATGTTCCTGTAGAGTTAAGTTACTTGGCACCTTGAGCTACGCAGCTTGACAACCTACGTTTAATTAGAGGCAGTAAACTTTATATTGATAACTTGACTTGAAAACCATTAATGTGCGAAGTTACGTGTTACGTGTAGTTCATGGACTTGTACTAACTTTATTTAAATTTTCTAAATGTTCGTCAAATTGCGTAACACAATGGTCAAAGGACGTGACTTTTGAGCCAACGCGTAGAATGTCTATTTAAAAACTTATACTTTTCTTCTATCTTGTTTATATCTTCTTATTTAGCCACTGACCCCTTTTGTTAGGCCATGTACCCGATATAGAAGCATTTTATCGGTACTCTATTTTAAATAATACTCCTGAAAGCTATTATTTTTGTCCCCCCCTTTGTTTTTCTGCAGCATGAGATTCCGAACCAGACCGACCGAATTAGATTAGGTTTGTGTTTGAATAATAACATGAACCCATTTTTCTTGCCTATATTCAAGAAAATCTGATCAGGCAATTTTGGCAAGTGTTTATGCAGGAACAGGTAACTATTTGGCATGGGCAGCCGGGTGCTTCAATGCCACTTTTTTTTTTGCGTTCATATACATAAAACAAAATCGTAGGAGAAAGTTTATTTATGAGGGATTTCATAACAGCATAACAACCCAAAATAAACATTTTTAGCCAGTTCTGCTTGTTAGTAAGCCTGGCCGAATGTCTTCCTAATCACTCTTTTGTATGCACATGCAACGAAAAGTAGAGCACGGCATTCGATGCGGTTTTTGGTATTAGGGTTTTTTATTAAATTGCCATTGTTTTACATTAGCTTTTCCAATTGTTCTAGTTTGGTTCCAAACGATTTTTAGTTTAGGATCCCGTGAGTTCTATGATATTGCCATAAGTGTGGGTGCCTTTCAAATCATTGTCTTGACTCAGCAGGATACCCAATTCCTCATCAACTAACAGAAGAGGTGTTTGGGCCGATTGAAACGATCCTTATAGACAAATATCATACAAAAAAATTATGATGTACGTCGATTTTTAACGGTACAATTTTGAGTGCTATTAATTTAATATAAATAAAAATGAATCGCCAAATGTTGCTAATCGTAAAATTTGAGAACTGCTAGACCAACTTAGATTTATTTTTAATAATTTCGTTCAAGCGAAGGAAGGTTGTCATGAAGAGAAAATCCTAAAATTGAGCGGCAAATAATAAAAACAACACTTTTCTTTTCCCATACAGAGTAAATTAAAATACTTGTCCCTTTTTTTCGTCATTTGACGGCAATCAAAACTAAACAAAGCCTCGCTTTCGCAGTACAAGCTCTGCTTAATTTGAAACTAGATGGCGGTGTAAATCAGATGTCCAAAAATGTTATTATTATTTATTTATTTCAGAACGAAGTCTAACAGGGCAGCTAGCTAGTATTCAATATTTTTCTTTTAAGACTATAAGCTTTCTATAAGCTTATAAAAAGTTGACCACCCATGTAGTCATTCAAGGAAATTGATGATTTAATAGTCATTTAATAAATGACTATTAAACCAGTCTTTTTTAATAACAAAGAAGATGTGTAATAAATGACATTTATATGATAACAATAATTAATACGTACCGTTAATCCACGCATCTACGGGCGGCGAGTGACACTTAGCGTGGTACCCTCGTCCGCACATGTCGCATGCAATGATCGCGTTCGTCGCAGGACTAGAAGCGGGTCCTTCCCTACGCTTACACACCACACACATAATTCGCCCATCGTCCGCCGGTGGAGCGCTAAGTAACTTGAGAGAAGATACAGGAGCCCACGCATGTGTGCCGTCTCCAAACTTAACAAGACACTTCGCGACGCCTGCTCCCACCTCACATGAGTCATTGTCATTGCTGGTGCTTAGTTCTACGATAGTTCCTGGTGGGACCAAAAAGTTGTATGAACTTTCTATATTTTAATATTATTTTTCAATATTGGTTAAAGAGGCAAACATTGGAATAAAAACGATTTTGTCTAGAAAAACAATTTCTTTGATGATATAAACTATCAAATTTTCAAATTATTTTCAAAGATCATATAAAATCACCTAATAAAAATTACATAAAAAACGTTTGTATTACTTAATGTTGAAAATATATACATAAGTACAGTTGTGGTGTTTTTATGTATAATATGTATGTATTTCCAAAGAAAGTTTATATGTATATTTATATCAGTTGTCGAGTACCAGCGCACTCAACGCCATCTAGTGTGAATGTGGTAGAATATTATATTGTTACTATAGTAACCCAAAAATTAATTGTATACACACCTAAATAATACCGTCCATCTTTATTGGGTACAAGCACATCATCACCACAGTGGAATGGATTGGCATTGTTTTTTTCCGTGTTCGTAGTAGAGTCTGGCATGGCATCCTGTGTTTCTTCTTCTTTTTTTTCATTCTTTTTGCTAGCACATGGTGTGATCGTTTTGTCAAGATCGTTCAGTAGTGCATCGATCAGAGACAGCTGTTTGGAGACCTCTTTGAAGAAGAAAAACAGTAAAATAAATTTATATGACGATTTGAGGCTTCGCAATACAATTAATTGAAAATAGCAATGAAAAACAGCTCATTTGGAATATTAATATATAATATTTGTGCCGGAATTAACAATAAGATACATAGAATATAGTATAATAGGAGCTCGTAAAATAGTACTGGATACATAGGAGCGCGACTTAACAGGCGCCTTATCCGAATGGCTTATCAAAATAACATTTCCAGGAACATTTATTATGGCATATCTTTGTTCTGTTATTGTTAGGAGTAAAAACTATCCGGGCACGCCGTTATCGCGGCGGTAAGACCGATTATAGAAGGTTGGATCGAGAGGCATCACAAAACCCTCTCATACCGACCGACGCAGGTGATCACTGGGAAAGGATTCTTCGGAGATCACCTGTGCCAGATCCGCAAGGAGCCAACGCCTGCGTGCCACCACTGCATGGCCAGGCCCGTGTACACGACGCTCCACACGCTGGAAGATTGATTCATGGGTGGAACAGAGGCGTGCCTTCGTGGCGGCCACCGGAGTAACATGATTGCCGCCATAGTACGGAGCGAGAGTGCGTGGACCTTCCCCGGCTCCTTCTGCGAGCAAGTTATGTTTTGCGAAGGAGATGGCGGAGCGAGACCGGGAGAGGTTTAGAACTCGTCAGGAACGAGAAGGGGTCAGGTACCGCAGACGACTCAGGCGACGGAGGTCGTTCTGCGACTCGTTGTCGACTGCGTTGGCGTAAACTTGACTGTGGTGTACCTCGAGGTTGCATTCTCTCTCCTTTATTATTCAAATTATTTATTAATCACATCACTCCTAATCTTCAATGTGCGTACCATCTTTATGCCGATGACTTGCAGCTCTATTATCAAGAGCCTCGGCTCGACAGATGTCATAAACGAGGGCATTTTTATGGTTAACAATGACTTCGAGACTATTAATGGTTGGGCTGATGGGTTTGGTTTGGCTGTAAATCCATCGAAGTGTCAATCTATCATCATATATGGTTACGCCTAGGGAATGTAGCATAATGTATAATTATGGTCTCTAACCATCTCCTATGAAATTCAAAAGGTAATTCCGGAAATTATCAGTTTCAACAAACAATTTAACGAGTGTGTGTTACCCCAGCAAAATAATGTCGAAAATAGTCATTTAAATGTTATAGATAATTAGTTGCCCAGCTTCTGTAATTATTGCGCACGTTTTTAAATTAATTGCACTAATCGTTTTTTAGTTATTTTACGAAATCATTTTCTTCAGGGGTAACGTTACCTCCGCCAGACATTTTCTTTTTTAATTGGAATATTGAAATAAATATTAGCTATATAATTAGTTGTTTAGACAAGGTAAATGTTGCAAATTATTTTGGATTTGTTTTTCTTAGGCTGCGAAGGTTTTCGAGATCCTGGTGGAGTAACGTTTGAGGGTTTGCTGGATCTATGAAACAGGTAAGCCGATCCTAACCATCTTTTGCACATATCTTCTTAAGGATTCGTTTTAATATGTTGTGCAATAAAAAAACAAAATAACGCTCTATTAAAAGATTATTTAATAAAGTATAAAAAGGCACCTAACACATTGAATAAGACCTGTGAATACTTATTTTGAATGTAGTGTAAAGAACAATGGCGAATTCGTAGTTGAGTAAATATAATTTAAATGTCTTAAAAAGTCATTTATTGTCACTAATTTCTGTAAAACCCCAGGAAAATAAAGAAAAATAATATAAGCTTATTTGATTATTTTAATTTCCTTTATCCGTTTAGTGTTACCATTTTACAGTCATTGTTTTCAAGTAATGGAAATACTATCCAATAAAGTATCGTAATATGGTAATCAGATAATAGTTTTATAATTGTGAGTACTAAATCAATAAATAATGTTGTTTCTGTAAAAGATCCTGTAGTGCATTATAAGGAGGTAAAAAAACAAAGTGGCAACTGCAAGCTGAAAAAACCAAAGGTTTTTTGACAAGTCTTGACTGCGCTGTGTTTAAATATAAAGACTAAACGTCTGACGCGACAGGCGGCGGATAGCCGCCGCCGCTTAAATTAGTTTAGGTTTAGAATTTACAATTCATTACATGTTGAAATATGTAATAAATTAAAAGGAATATATTTATTTATACATCATGCACTTTTGGTGCATTGGCGAACTTAATGCCTATTCTCTATCAGTCAACCTTTGGGTGATGTAGAGAGAACAGGAAGTAGGTGCATTTTGGTTAAAGTTTAATAGATATTAGATATTTAGAGATATACTTACTAGATATTGTATATTATGCAGATGTACATAAGTACACGATGATTATTTCATGCATCAGACACATTAAAAGGAACATAAAAATATAGCCTAGAAAAGTTCTACAGCTAGCGGACTATAATAACTCTTTATTAAATTTTTTATTTTATTTAAATGACACATACAGTTATAATTATCAAATAAACAATCATGTATAACAATACAAAAACCAATTTGAAAAGTCGATAGCCATAGATAAATTTATAAAATAAAGGCAACATTGTGCAGCTATGTTATAAAAGACTTATCTGGCGACTCTTTTAAAAAAATACAGTGTGCATAACTAAAAAAATCTAATGCTTATTTAATGCTTATTAATATCTTTTTTCCTAGCCTTTCCCAAACAAAAATTGTTTTACAATTCTGAAAATTCTACATTCTGAAAAAAAAACCTAATTTGTTTACATTTTTTTCACTACAAGATGATGTAATTTGATTTTAATATTTTATTGTATAGAGACCTGCCATTGTTCTTTGTGTGAATTGTGTGCTTGTTTTAAATTTATATTTTAAAAGCTTAAATTTATATTTTTGATGAAAAAGTGTAAATCATTAATTTAAAAAATGAATTAAATCAGAATTGCTGTCTGTAATGTTTTTAAGTATAATAATTATTAAAAAAATTTATTGAAATTATTTTACCAGTAAATAAAAAATCTTTAAGAAAAATGTAGTTTTTTGTAACACTTGTGTACATATCTGTACTAAACTAGACAGCATAATGTACTACACAATCTCTTTTTTGTAACCATGGTAAACATGGTCAGGTTACCACGGTCTTGCACTGCCTAATGACTTTTGTTTAATTATCTCATTAATTATTGTATGTAATATGCTGAATTTTACAGGTATAAAACTGAACCAAGCAACTAATTATTAATATAACAATTAGTTTATATTAACTATTTATTACATATAACACTTAGTTTATATAAAATAATTAGTTGCTTAGATCAGTTTTATTATATCCACACCAGCGGCGTGCACAGGATTATGACACTAGGTATGCGGCGGAATAGGAAAACCATATAATACGCCTGGCAAACATAATGTTTGTGTGGTGCAATTTTAAATAGTAGGCGTTTTTAAGTTATTATATTTTGTTTTTTCATTTATTTACTATTAATTAAAGTCATCTAAAACGTACGAACGTTTTATTAAAATGTCTCTGCATAGCAAGTAAAGCACTGCATTTCTGCCTACAAGGAGCGCACGCCCCTGATCCACACAGGTTTATCGGTGGCCAAATAATTCCGCGCGCATTGTGACCGTGAATGTGAAACTTCACATACATTTAAAGGCAGTCACAAGCTACAAAATAACTTAATAATTCGTAAATAAGTCTTTACTGGTCTTATTCATAGTGTTAGGAGGTATGGAAGTGTTATAACTTAATTACATAATCCTTTAACAGTGCATTATTTATGTTCCTTTATTGCACAACAAATTAAAGTTGTGTAATAAAAATGGTAAGAATCCAGCCAAGATCCAACAAACCCACAAATGTTCCTCCAGCTGGATCTCGAATAACTTTGCAGCTGAAGAAAAAACAAATACAAAATAAGTTGCAAAATTTACGTCATCTAGACAACTAATTATATAGCTAATATTTATTTAAACATTCCAATTAAAATTGAAAATGTCTGGCTGGGGTAACCCAACAGAAAATGATTTTATGGAATAACTGAAAAATGAAAGTTTAACAAATTTGAATTAAATGATCACAACAATTATAGAATCTGGGCAACTAATTATCTATAACATTTAAATGAGTATTTTCGACAATATGTAGCCGGTGTAATGCACACACCAAACTAAAACGCTTCAGCTTTACTATTTCTATAGAAATGTTTAGAAGTATTACACAAAATATAGTTTTACTAAATTCATCTAAATGATTATTCCTGAGTATTTAAATTCAATTATTAAACTTTTTATCTGTCTGTTTGTGCTGGTTAATCACTTACTCAATCTCACTTGCATATAGATAGGTTTATGTAAAAAACATTATATTTATATATAGACCAATAAGAATGTCCTGGTTTAAAAATTTAATAAAACATTTTTTTATGAAAAATGCATCCGATTGATTTATTTGATGGATAATTTTATGCAATTTATGTTTTAAATAATATATCGGCTAAATGACCGCCGCCGCTCTTTTTGCAGTCGATTTGACGCGGTGCACCATTTCGGCCGGTATGTCGGCTATGGCTCGTCGAATGTTGGTTTTTAGGTCACGAATTGTAGCTGGATTATTGCTGTACACTTTAGATTTAACGTAACCCCAAAGAAAATAGTCTGAAGGTGTTAAATCACACGATCTTGGTGGCCAACTGATCGGTCCATTTCTCGAAATTAACGACTCACCAAACTTTCCACGCAATAATTCCATGTTCACTCGAGTAATGTGAGGTGGTGCACCGTCTTGTTGAAAATAAAGGTCGTCTGCATCAATATCATCAAATTCCGGAAAGAAATATTCGGTTAACATCGAGTTATAGCGCTCGCCATTCCCAGTAACAGGGTATCCTTCGTCACTTTCAAAGAAGTACGGACAAATGATTCCACCGCACCATAACCCGCACCAAACTGTTATTTTTTGCGAATGCAATGGTGATTCATGAACCACACGTGGATTTGACTCACTCCAATAGCGACAATTTTGTTTATTAACAAATCTATTGAGCCAGAAATGGGCCTCATCTGAGAAGATGATTTTACGATGAAAATCGTCATCGGCTTCAATAATTTCCAGTGCATAATCGGCAAATTCACGACGGATACAATGGTCGGATGGCTTCAATTCTTATGCCAAAACAATTTTGTATGGGTGTAGGCCCAAATCCAACCGCAAAAGACGCCAGGTGGTCATTGGAGAGAGCCCTAACTCTTGTGAACGGCGTTGAACTGACCGATTTGAATTCGCATCAACACTGGCCTGAACGGCTGCGATATTCTCTTCACTACGGGCTTTTCTTTGTCTCACAGGCACAGCAGTATCGTGGAGTGAATTCACTTTCAAATTTTGTTATTATGCGATTTATAGCGCGCACAGAAGGAGCACTATGACACAATTGATGATGACACAATGAAATATAAAAAAATCACAATTTTAGAAAAGATAAAAAAAGGCAAATTCATATGACATACTTTTAACAATGTTGAATAGAAAATATTCATTTTTTTTAAATGATTTCCTGAATCGGTTTCCAAATTTATTTCTCAATTAGACATAGTAGCTTACGTAGGTGCTAATCAGACACGCCTGCTTCAATAAGTACCTCTGCCGTATAGGCAGGATGTCAACATCTGCGTTCCACCAGCATTTGGCTAAAGAGGCAGCGAAAAATTCACGGGAGAAGACGAATATCTTCCCGTCCCAGCGAGGACTCACCAGGAGTCAGAGAGCCCGAAATTATTACAGGCCTCCAAAAAGCGGTTGCCTGAGGACAGTGGACAAGACTACCTTTCGCCCTTTTTTTTTTGTTGACGGGGTGGAAAATCCCTTCGTATCTCCTGTTCCTCGCAGACTCAGGAGCCAGGGATATTTAGTGATTCCACTAAAAACCACCCCCTCGGCCGGCCTCAGGTACTCTGGGAGGACCCAGACCATTTTATTTCAGGTCCTCCCCGAATTGCCACCATGCCTAATCAGGCCCTATCTCAGGGGAAAACATTCCCCCCCCTCAATCGCGGCGTGGTGGATCAATTGGGTCTTATTGCAATCAGGCCGCCATTCTATCCCTTGCCACATCAATCAATCTGCCACCAAAGGTTCCGTCGACGGCTGGTCTCGTCGCCGACGTCCTCTACAGTCGGGATCGGCCCTCTCCCGATCCCGTTCAGCGATTTCTTTCTGGAGCATTACAACTTCACAAAAAGAGACCACTGCGCCCCATCCCTCCTCACCCGCTAGCATGCCAGCAATGATTGCTGGTGGGGACAGGTCTCAACCGATTTGGTCGACCAGGAGGACTTCGCGTGCAGACGCCCACTCGGGGCAGTCTTCCAGCGTGTGCTGGGCGGAGTCCCTGTCGGCTGCTCAATCCTGGCATTGTGCCGTCTCCTCGCGTCCAATAGAGTAACGAGCTTCTCTCTATTGGAGGGAAAAGAATCCTCCGCCCATGAAAATAGAGTCGCCTCACTCGCCAGGCAAGTCTGTCAAGGTTCTTAAGGATTACCTTTTTAGGGTAAATTATTTTCAACTTTTTAGTTCTGCTAGTTACAAAAGTGTGTTTTTTTTTAAATTTAATTTATTTTTTCTTTCTTTGAGGTTGTATTCAGTGGAAAAAGAGAATTTTTTTTATTTACTTTTTATGTTCATTACATTCACATTATTTATTAAAATCTATGTGGCTAATAGGTAATTATGGTTGTGAAGAGCATCGCAGAATTGTTTAAATACACAAAGTTTTCAAAATATAATTTTTGTACTTTTAACTTTGTTAAGTGATTTTTAGTTTATTGTTAGATGTTTAATTTTTCTTTATCCTTAGCATTGGGAAGCATACTAGACAAGGTTGAAATATTTTAGTTTCTTCGATACTTGATAACGTCCAGTATAATGGATGTCAGTTTTTAGGAATCTGAAACTTTTTGGATGGCATATCTTTTATGATCTAAATTTAAACCTTGCCCGATAGGGATATACATAAGCCAACTACAACAAACCAACATTGATCTAACACTGTATTAACTTTGTCCACTTCAATTACAACTTAAAAACTATATTTATAACACTATAACTTTACTACAGTTAGCAATAGAATTCATCTAATCATACTACCTATGTATATATATATATATATACTTACTTGAGTTTTGTTTTAATTCCAAATGGTGAGCAAAAAAGAAATAATATAATGTAAATTAAACAGAAATTTAAAAAATAGAAAAACTTTCACATATGTACATTAAGTTTTATATGTCATAGACTAGATTGGAATATTTGATTAATTTAACATTAAGTACAACAACAATACTAATACACTAATAGTTAATGTAAAATGAACTAAGAAGAATCTGACTGTATAGTCTAACATAACAATATGGTAGGCTATCCAATCAAGTTCTAGCTGCTATTAAATCCACTTTGTTTTCTCTATGTTAATACAAACAGTAAACAAAGTGGATTTAATAGTAGTCTTTCTCAGGGTTTCTGTTCCACATATCAATGTATTATACACCAAACGGAAGAAATAATTGTAATATTCATAACAATTATTTGAAATTGGAATAATTTGAATAATTGAATATGAATGATTTATACACAGCAGAGAAAACCAAACATGACTACACACCTAAAAAATTAATAAATATATAATAACTAACCAAAAGCCTTAAAACTTAAGGACCTATCAATTTGTGCTGATATGTTACAATATTTTATCCTCACTTATACTTCCCCATATAACATAAGGAAAACTTTAGTTTAAATCTGTAATGGGAAATATAACAGGATCACTCAAAACATTTGTAAACTACTTTAGAACTTTACATCTTATTCATAGATCTTGTTGATAAAATAACTGTTGTTTACTTATTTGAATTATATCATTGTATTACACAATTGTTCAGGTGTCATAGAATCAAAAATACTGGTTGAAGTATTAATAAAAACATTATAGTACATTAAACCTTTTTGCTTTTCCTTACCAAAATGATAACATTTTAGGAACGTTATTTTAAACTTTTATGAAAGGTTACAGAAAGGTAAGATTTCTATTGTTTTATCTCCAGTAAATTTATCATTGACATGGGAAGATTATCCGAGCACGAACCTACCTGTTCGAAATTATACAAACAAATAACAGCGCATAGCCAGCATAGATACTGATTAGTGATTTTGAAATAATTATTTAGAAAATACAACTTTTACGACTGTTATGAAAAGGTTAGCGAGGGCTCAACGAAGTTCCCGAGTAATCCAAGTAAAGCTATCATCACAATTTACCAAAGCATTATGAAAAATGACATTAATTCTCCAGGTAACAAGAACAAGGTACTCACCAGCGTTGATGTCCATTTCACTGACTATTTTCTTTCTTAATTACAGCATTGGAGAGGCATAGTTTTAACACACATTTTATACTGTATCAGCAAACATGTAAAGCATTGGCGCTTTTGCGGCCATTATACTAGTCAAACGTTTCACAGTTTTCCCGCGGTAACGAAATTTATTATCAAACTGATGGTTCAACTTGAGAGACATTAATTTTATTACTTAAATACACTTTATTTTATTCAAATCAAACACTTTAATTACTAATATCTTACTAAATATCGACAAAAAATCAACAAAATAACCTTTCTAACTTCTATCGGAAAACAACCCCCCCTCCGAAGACGTTGTCCCCTCCCTACTTCAGAAGTTTAGTGTTGGTATTTGAGATTGACATGGTTAACAGGGTAATATTTTTTTAATTGAATGTAAAAGAGATTTGATTAAATATGAAATTTTATAAAATAAGTGGTTAATTACCAACTTGAATTGCTAAGCAAATTCAGTTATTAAAACTCCTTGTCGACTAAAGTGGATTTAATTATCGATATTTTTTTCCAAATTTATTGTCAAAAATTATATGGCCTTTATTTTTATTGTGATTTCAGATCTTCAAATACCTTTTTTAAGATAATTTAAGTATTACTTATGTTGTGCATAAATGAGATCCACACTAACATTGTAACCAGATTGCAAAAATTCCATAAGCAATTTGGTATACTTTATATTTTTTAGTAGATTCAGTAGGTACTTCCTCTTTTCCTTTTAATTCAATTGCTCTATGGGATATCGATGATTCTGCCAACATCAGTGTGGAAGGTAGATTTATTATTTAATAGGTTGAAAATAGTTTTAAGACATAAAGGGGGGAATTATTTGATCCTAACAGTTTGTGTTTGTGGTTCTGTGGGAAGGGAGAAAAAAATTCAGAAGGTAGTTTAGCTTTTTTAAAACGTACTTATTGATGGATACGATGCAGTGTTGCTAACCTAGTGGATCTGCCACTAAATTGGTGGTCTCGACCCCCCTCTTAGTGTTAAAATATTGCTTGTAGTGACTAGTAGATTTTTCTAGTGGTTTATTAGTAATAGTAAGACTATAGAGAACTTAAGAGATGATGTTGAAAGACGAACTGTGAGAACTGTTTGTGTACGCAAACCTCAACAACCTTTGATAGGGAATTAAGGATGGAGATTGAACGAAAGTGCTCAGGAAGAGAAGGATTATTAATTTTAGGCAAAGGGGCATGTATGTTGTATGATATAGGTTTTGTGATAAAGAGAGTCCCCCTCTCTTTATCACAAAACGGTCGGAACCGGAGTGTCGAAAAAGAAGTCAATTATGTATTCTATGACTTCGAGGTCGTAATCTAGAATGGTAACTATTATCTACGGCTGAAGGCATCACAACCCATTTCATTAGAACTGATAGACACGATGATTTGATTTGATACGATGACGACAGAATGCACCGGCGAAAGTTCAAAGTAGACAATATTAAGTCTAAGCAGACTAAATCGCAGTTTGTGGAATTAGCAACATTTGCTATTACTCTCTTAATATTGCCTTATTCCAATTCCATTTTGAGACACTATTTAGCAGAATGAATGTAATGAAAAACAAGCAGGGGCAATACAAATTTGATAGTTTATCTACTATGTTCAGAAAATGCTGTGGTTCGAGGTTTTTAACGATACTGCTATTAGTACTATTTAAAATTAGTATCTGTTGTTATTGAATATTTTTAGGGTTCCGTACCTCAAAAGGTAAAAAAGGAACCCTCTTAAGATCACTTTCTTGTCCGTCTGTCCTTGTGTGACTACCGATTTTCTCAGGAACGAGTAGAAGTTGAAATTTATATCAGATACTGAGGTCTATGGTCTAGGGACCATAGACCTCAGTAGGTGTATAGGTTAGGTGTATAAAAATCATGGTCCTGAGTCAACACAATAAAAAGAAATGGGCAAATTTCGATTTTCGCATACCTAAGGTAATAATTCCAAAAAAAAAAAAAGTTGAAAATTAGGATAAATTTTGGTACTTACACATTTTCACGAGAATCTACGTAAAATCTGAGTAGGTACGGAACCCTCGGCGCACGAGTTCGACTCGTACCTGACCGGTTTTTTTATGTTCCTGATCATGCCTTGTTGATTTATTATTTGTATGTTGATTTATTGATTAATAATGAAGGAGACTTATTATTAAATTACTTATTATTTTCCATCGTAATCTCTAAAAAAAAATTGCGACTAATAGAGTAAGGCCGTTTTTGTTAGTAGTTTTCTGGAGGGTATAAACGTTGAAACTGGTGGGCAGTTAATTTAACTGTTCGCAGCACTGATACGATGTGTCAAAACGTAAATGTCAAGCAGATAAAGTGAAAAGTAGTTGCCAAGAGTCAATAACAATGAAAGAATAAACACAGAAGGAAAATTCAAGTATAAATATTGTTTTCAATCTTGTTCAGTACTTAGTAAGTGACCTATTCGCCTTGTTAACAGATATGGGTAATTCGGGGCTTAAACAGCATTATGATACGGCGTCTAAAACAGGTGTGTTGCAGTTGGCTGAATATAAGCTAAAGGAGATACCCATTGAAGCCTTACAATTAAGTGATACTTTGAGAAGTTTGGATCTATCGAAGAACAGATTGACCAGTTTACCAAATGATATCTGTAAATTTAAACTTTTAAAACAACTCAAGTTGGATGCAAATAAAATAGAATCATTACCAAATTCTATGAGTGATATGCGTAAACTAGAGATGTTAAATGTCTCTAACAATTTGATCACGTGCCTACCGGAGACTTTTGCTAAGTTGAACAATTTGAAACAAGTTTATTTAAATCACAATAGGTTAAAATTATTTCCTGAACAATTATTAGGACTCCATAACTTGGAAGTATTGGAGATATCAGACAATAAGATAACTGAAGTACCTACTGGAATGTCTGAGCTCTATGTAACCGAATTAAATTTAAGTCAAAATGAAATATCAGTACTTAGTGAGGATTTATATCGAGCTCCAAGACTAAAAATATTGAGATTAGAAGAAAACTGTCTGAGCTTGGATGCAATCAGTCCCAGTTTACTTCGTGACTCCAAAATTCACACAATAAATTTAGATGGCAACCTGTTTGAACCCAAGCAATTGGCATCAGTTGAAGGGTATAATGAATATACGGAAAGATACACAGCAATGAAAAAGAAAATGTTTTGATAGGTTTGAGAAGACTGGTGTAGATTAGAGATCTAAACCATGAATACACTAAGAGAAGTGTGACATCTTAATCAATTACTTTACACCAAAACTAGTTACTTATACTACATTATTTATAATTCTTATCACATTACATTTCTTGCTTAATTATAAACAATATTTTCTTTATTAACACTTTTATTTTATTTAAATCCTTAAACAATCTTAAATAAATTAAATATTGATTTAATTTAAATCATCTGTGGTTAATAATAATGATGAAATTAGTTAATTATTGTATCCCTGTACACATATTATAGAAACTTTAATGATTAGTGTTTTGGCATACTACTGGGGTGTGAAGCATTTTGCAGCTGACTAGTATCTGTGAAGCAAGCATGCCTAGGATTTTGCCATGTGGGGAGCTGATATTAGATAAAGAGCCTCTTTTGTCCAGGAATGCACCAGAGGCAGAGAGTGCTTAATGATATCAATAATTTATGATGGTCTACTGGTCTCTACAAATTAGATTCAACAAGACAGGGCCATTTGCACATAACAGTATTATATCAAGTACATAGTGTGGTGACAGATTAAGAATATGGAGTGTCACCACCCCCTCTTCCTCCCGTAGGTGTTTGTAGAGCCGACTAAGGGAGCAAACTATGTAGGACAGCACTGCAAGGAGAACAAAAACTTAACATGTCCAGCAGTAGACGATTCAAGGCTATAAATTATATAATAATATGGTGTTCTATTATATCAGGGTGTGTTATAATTTATCAGTGAGTTTCTAACAAAAATAGGAAAACCTTTAGCATTTGGTTATTTAGTTCACTTATCATAGGCGAGGAGCCACCAATCCTGAAAGCTCCGTGATCATGGATTCTAATATTTTTAATAAAAATAAAAGTTAACGCTTAGACGAACAAGATTTTCTTGGTCGACGTGGGTTTGATTGGCCGGATATATTTTATTTTAATTTAAATAATTAAAATAAAATATATCCGGCCGGTTACGTTTTCCAAAATTTAGGCAAAAGTTGTCTCAATTTTCGAAAAAGTAATAGTCGGTAGGTGCAAGCTCTGGTGAGTATGGCGGATGAGGGAGAGCTTCCAACCCCAGCTCTTGCAGCTTGGAGACTGTCTGTTGCGCAGTATGCGGTCGCGCGTTGTCGTGAAGGAGCAGTGGGGACGACCGATTGACCAAAGCTGGTTGCTTGGTACTCACCAGACCTTGCACCTACCGACTATTACTTTTTCCAAAATTTAGACAACTTTTTAGTGGGTAAAAAATTCAATTCCCGAGAGGCAGTACAAAATGCCTTTGAAGAGTTTGTTGCCTTCCGTCCAGCTGATTTTTACAAGAAGGGCATCAATAAACTGCCAATGCGTTGGCAAAGATGCGTCGATTGCATGGGTGATTACTTCGAATAACAGAAATAAAAAAGTTTGAAAAAGTAAGTACTTTCACTTATTGCATACAAAACGGCAATTTCATCATTATTTAAATTAAAATAAAATATATCCGGCCAATCAAATTCACGCCGACCAAGCAAATCTTGTTCGTCTAAACGTTAACTTTTATTTTTTATTGAAAATATTAGAATCCGTGATCACGGAGCTTTCAGGATTGGTGGCTCCTGGACTATCATATTTATCACATTTAGTAAAGAACAAAACTGGAAAAGTCCATTATTTTAAGGTTTTATTCTGCGGTACATGAGCCTACGGTATATGAGCCCGTTCAGAAACAGCAACATCGAAATAATTACGTTTCTTTGTTGATAGCATTGTTTGTCTTTTTATTTAAAACGGTTTTTTCTTTTTTGAAGTCAAAGCGCCTGTAGGAATACTTGCATACTCGTCTAAATCTCGACTATTTACTTTTAACGCTTGTGGCGTCTCCCACGAGTCCCACTTACAAAGAAACAGAAACATTCTACAGCGTCATCTAATGAAGACACACTGAACTACGGAGTAACTTCTGAATGAGAATTGCTAATCCTGTATCGCGATATAAGGAAGTCTCTCGCCGATTAGCATATAAAACACTTTCCAACGTCAACCGTAGGGCCGCGGCCCGACAGGCATGAACACCTCGCCTGGTCAGAGGATCCTCCCTTTGTGTTGGAGGGACATGACACCCAGTGGCGGATTAACCCTAAGGCAAAGTAGGCACATGCCTAGGGGCGCGAGGTTACAAAGGGGCGCGCGCGCAGTACTTTTTTACAAAGAAAAAAATGTATGCCTAACTTAAAAATAACTGTCGGTAAGTATGCACATACACAATATAAAAAAAATCTTAATTCTAAAGAGACGCTTAAGATTGACATCTAGGACTTATATTACGTTACTGCCAATAATTCTTTGCTTTCATTTTCTGATACCTACTAAGATTCAGTTTAGTGCGTGTACACGAAAATGTAGTTGCTACAACTGCAGACTGAGACTGATATTACTCTACAAGATGTAGTAATAAACCAGGGTTGTCCAGTCAATGGCACTATACGGATCGCCCAGAATAAGGAGCGTTCTGAGGGTACTAAGTCTCAGAGGGTGCTGGCAGATCTTTGGCATAGGATTTAGAGAGCATGGACCAAATGCCGCTTGCCGAGTCTCGATGACTCGTTGGTTGTCCCGGCTGGAGGCTCCACGTACTGGCTTTGGTGCCGTGGAGGCAATTCAGCCGGTCACCGTCCAGTGGGCAGGGTGGCAGCACGGGACTCTTACCTTCCGACTTACGCACATCTTTTTTTGGCACGTCTGCTTAGGGAATTATCAGCAGTCGATCGCTATGAGTGAATTGTGTCGCGCCTGTCGCCACTGCAGTGCAGTTTGAACTCGGCTCAACCTACACTGGTCAACGTTGCGTTGGGCGCTCATTGCAGTCATCAGAGAAAATTGCTCGCTACCAGCCGTTACACGCTCCATGGCTTGCGTGCCTTCTAGCGCTTTATGCCGCCTTGAGTGTCTTGAGGTTTTCCCCTCCCACTCGCCACGAAGGCTTAGGTACTGCGAAGAGGTAACGTGCTCATGTAGCGGACGTCTTTTAAATGAGAGTTTATCCCTGAAGGTGCCCACACTTTTAGGCAGGTGCTAGAAGGGTACGGCAGCCGTCATCTACCAAAGCAGGACCGCTCTCGATCATTGTGAAATGTCGTCCGTTATTCCGCAAGGGTTGATGTTAGGTCCGCTCCTGTGGAATATCTGGGTGTTCCGCGGTGCCTTCTTGGATGATGTCGCCGTCACGTGCCATGCGGATGACACGCTCGTGACGGCGTCTGGTAAGGCACACCGTGAGAATCCGGCGACTCGAAGTGTCTTTGCACAAAATTTGAGGCCTTGTTCTTTAATGAGCCTCGAAGGGGGCCACCTGAGGGATCCAGTTTCGTAGCAGGAGGCACTCGCATCGACATCGAGCCCTTGATGAGGTATCTAGGGCTCGTACTGGGTCGTGAAATAGAGGACTAGAAATCCCAATTCTGCTAGGTCCTCATGGAGGAGTGGAGGGAAAGACTTGGGCAACTAAGCGCCGGGCATGCCATTGTAGTTGCGCTAAGACCTGTTATGGAGGATTGGCTGGAGAGGAAACACAGGATTCTTTCATACCGGCTGACGCTGATCCGTAAGGAACCGATAAAAATAAAACCAAACCAAAAAAGCCAAAACGTGGACACAGCCCTCCACACGTGGCTGAAATGCTCGGCTTGGCGTGGGTGAAGCAGAGGCATGGCCTCGTGACGATCATCGGAGTGAAGAATTTTTAGTTAACATGATAACGGCCATGGTACGGAGCGATGGCAAAGTTATGCTAATGAAGAAGAGCCACCTCCACCCGAGCGGGACTTTAAGGGTGGGGTGACGGTTTGAGGGGGTTTCCACAGTTAAAAAAAAAAGAAAAAACCGCCTCAGACGACACCCGTTGCTCCACATGCTACTTGAATGAACTAGATGACTGATATAACATGTACAGTAAAAATGCCATATAGACACCACACGCGGACAACTAAAACGTGTTGTCGACGCCCCTGTTAACAAAAAGCAATTTCAACAAAAACACGTCAGTTTTGGAGTATGAAATAATACTTAGTATAGGTACACCATACAGGTCTCCCAATTGCCCAAGTCGTTGAACTCGATGACTGTCCTTTTGGCCAGCGTAAGTTTGTTTAAAGGACTAGTTACTAATAAGTACAAGTGACCCACGCCTTTACTAAGTTAATAGATTACAATCACTCGGGTAGTTCTAGTTTACCACCCTACTCGTGTACATACACAACAGTAGGTTTACCGCCCTATTATTACACCTCAGAAGAGTTTCTTTGTTCTTGACCTTATATATTTAAGTTCAAAATATTTGAACGAGTATTTGTTTTCTAAAAACAGCCACAAGTATTTCTTTGTAATTTAACTCTTGATTGTACAGATTCAAACTATTGCCATCACCAATAAAAACTCATTACAGTGACGTCTTACACGAATGACTACGTACAGTGTAAGAATTTATCAGTCTCAGTAACATTGAACTTGAACCTTAATAGTACTTATAGTATTAAGTACCTACCATATAACTAGTCAAAGTTTCAAAATTAGCATTGACAGATATCATAATAATGAAACCTTCTTTCTAAGGAGAGGCCTATGTCCAGCAGTGGACTATTAAAGGCTGTTGATGTGTGAAGTGATAATAATGAAAAATGGTTGCTAAAATATGAACCTTTCTAAATGCTTATTATTTTTGTTATTGTAAATTTCGTTTAGTTCTTGAGCAAATATGTACTTCTTTGCAAGTTTATGAATCTGATGTCGACTGTACCATGCAATGCAATCAATCATCGATGCAATCATTATTATAAAAATAATATGACCAGTACGACGTTACGACGTTCAATTTAAGAAAGTCATCATCAATGAAAGGTATTTTGTTTCAGTATTCTAGAACGATTGTCTAAAATTAAAATATACATAATAATAAACAAGACATATTTGTGTAAAAATAAAAAAAATACCTATCCATGT